TTCTGGTTTATTGAGAATTTTTAGCATTAAGGGGTGTTGAATTTTATTGAAAGCCTTTTCTGCATCTGTTGAGATAATCATGTGATTTTTGTCATTGGTTCTCTTTATGTGATGGATTATGTTTATTGATTTGTGTATGTTGAACCAGCCTTGTATCCTAGGGATGAAGCCGACTTGATTGTGGTGGATAAGATTTTTGATGTGCTGCTGGATTCGGTTTGCCAGTATTTTATTGAGGATTTTCACACTGATGTTCATCAGGGAAATTGGCCTGAAATTTTCTTTTTTTGTTGTGTCTCTGCAAGGTGTTGGTATCAGGATGATGCTGGCCTCATAAAATGAGTTTGGGAGGAGTCCTTCTTTTTCTATTGTTTGGAATAGTTTCAGAAGGAATGGTACTATTCAGAAGGAATGGTACCAGCTCCTCTTTGTACCTCTGGCAGAATTCAGCTGTGAATCCATCTGGTCCTGGGCTTTTTTTGGTTGGTAGGCTATTAATTACTGCTTCAATTTCAGAACTTGTTATTGGTCTATTCAGGGTTTAGTTTTGGGAGGGTGTATGTGTCCAGGAATTTATCCATTTCTTCTAGATTTTTTAGCTTATTTGTGTAGAGGTGTTTATAGTATTCTCTGATGGTAGTTTGTATTTCTGTGGGATCAGTGGTGATATCCCCTTTATCTTTTTTTTTGAGACAGAGTTTTTTTTTTGTTTTTTTGTTTTTTTTTTGAGACGGAGTCTCGCTCTGTAGCCCAGGCTGGAGTGCAGTTGTGCCATCTTGGCTCACTGCACCCTCCACCTCTTGGGTACCAGTTGAAGCAGTTCTCCTGCCTCAGCCTCCCGAGTAGCTGGGATTACTGCCATGTGCCACCATGCCCAGCTAATTTTTGTATTTTTAGTAGAGACAGGGTTTCACCATGTTGGCCAGGCTGGTCTTGAACTCCTGACCTCATGAGCCACCACGCCTGGCCCCCTTTATTATTTTATATTGTGTCTATTTGATTCTCGTCTCTTTTCTTTTTTATTAGTCTGGCTAGCAGTCTATTTTGTTAATCTTTTCAAAAAAACAGGCTCCTGGATTCACTGATTTTTTGAAGGGTTTTTCGTGTCTCCTTCAGTTCTGCGCTGATCTTTGTAGCAATTGTACAAGTTGTTTCTTGTTTTCTGCTAGCTTTTTAATTTGTTTGCTCTTGCTTCTCTAGTTCTTTTCATAGTGATGTTATTAGGTGTCGATTTTAGATCTTTCTGGCTTTCTCCTGTGGGCATTTAGTACTATAAATTTCTCTCTAAACGCTGCTTTAGGTGTGTCCCAGAGATTCTGGTATGTTGTATCTTAATTCTTATTGGTTTCAAATAACTTATTTGTGCCTTAATTATTTATCCAGTAGTCATTCAGGAGCGGGATTTTCAGTTTCCATGTAGTTGTAAGGTTTTCAGTGAGTTTCTTAATCCTGAGTTCTAATTTGATTGCACTGTGGTCTGGAGACGGTTATGATTTCTGTTCTTTTGCATTTGCTGAAGAGTGTTTTACTTCCATTTATGCGGTCAGTTTTAGAATAAGTGTGATGTGGTGCTGAGAAGAATGTATATTCTGTTGATTTGGGGTAGAGAGTTTTATAGATGTCTATTAGGTCCACTTGGTCCAGAGCTGAGTTCAAGTCCTGAATATCCTTGTTCATTTTCTGTCAAAGTCTCTTTGTAGGTCTCTGAGAACTTGCTTTATCAATCTGGGTGCTCCTGTATTGGGTGCATATATATTTAGGAGAGTTAGCTCTTCTTGCTGCATTGATCCCCATGTAATGCCTGTCTTTGTCTTTTTTGATCTTTGTTGGTTTAAAGTCTGTTCTATCAGAGACTAGGATTGCAACCCCTGCTCTTTTTTGCTTTCCATTTGCTTGGTAAATATTCCTCTAACCCTTTGAGTTTATGGGTGTCTTTGCACGTGAGATGGGTCTTCTGAAAACAGCACACCGGTATGTCTTGACCCTTTACCCAATTTGCCAGTATTGTCTTTTAACTGGGGCATTTAGCCTGTTTACATTTAAGGTTAATATTGTTATGTGTGAATTTGATCCTGTCCCTATAATGCTAGCTGGTTAATTTGCCCATTAGTTGATGCAGTTTCTTTATAGTTTCCCTGGTCTTTTACAAGTTGGTTTTGTTTTTGCAGTGGCTGGTACTGGTTGTTCCTTTTCATATTTAGTGCTTCCTTTAGGAGCTCTTGTAAGGTGGGCCTGGTGGTGACATAATCTCTCAGCATTTGCTTGTCTATAAAGGATTTTATTTCTCCTTTGCTTATGAAGCTTAGTTTGGCTGGATATGGAATTCTGGGTTGAAACTTCTTTTAAGAGTATTGAATATTGGCTGCCACTATCTTCTGGCTTGTAGGATTTTCTGCAGAGATATCTGCTATTAGTCTGATGGGCTTCCCTTTGTGGGTAACCTGACCTTTCTTACTGCCCTTAACATTTTTTCCTTCCTTTCAACTTTGGTGAATCTGATGATTGTGTCTTGGGGTTGCTCTTCTCGAGGAGTGTCCTTGTGGTGCTCTCTATATTTTCTGAATTTGAATGTTGGCCTGTCTTGCTAGGTTGGGGAAGTTCTCCTGGATAATATACTGAAGAGTGTTTTCCAACATGCTTCTATTCTTCCCATCACTTCCAGGTACACCAATCAAATATAGGTTTGGTCTTTTCACATAGTTCCATATTTCTTGGAGGCTTTGTTTGTTCCTTTTCATTCTTTTTTTCTCTAATCTGGTCTTCACACTTTATTTTATTAAGTTGACCTTCAATCTCTGATATCTTTTATTCTGCTTGATCAATTCGGCTACTGATACTTTTGTATGCTTCACTAAGTTCTTGTGCTGTGTTTTTCAGCTCCATCAGGTCATTTATGTTCTTCTCCAAACTGGTTATTCTAGATAGCAATTCCTCTAACCTTTTTTCAAGGTTTTTAGCTTCCTTGCATTGGTTTAGAACATGCTCCTTTAGCTTGGAGGAGTCTGTTACTACCCACCTTCTGAAGCCTACTTCTGTCAATTAAACTCATTCTCCATCCAGTTTTGTTCTCTTGCTGGTGACGAGTTGTGATCCTTTGGAGGAGAAGAGGTGTTCCGGTCTTTAGAATTTTCAGCCTTTTTGTGCTGGTTTTTCCTAATCTTTGTGGATTTATCTGCCTTTGGTCTTTGATGTTGGTGACCTTCGGATGGGGTTTCTGCGTGGATGTGCTTTTTATTGATGTTGATGCTATTCCTTTCTGTTAGTTTTCCTTCTAACAGGCCCCTCTGCTGGAGTTTGCTGGAGTTACACTCCAGACCCTGTTTGTCTAGGTATCACTAGTGGAGTCTGCAGAACAGCAAAGATTGCTGCCTGTTCCTTCCTCTGGAAGCTTCGACCCAGAAGAGCATCCACTAGATCCCAGCTGGAGCTCTTCTATATTAGGTGTCTGTCGACCTGGCATGGGGTCAGGGACCTGCTTGAGGAGGCAGTCTGTCCCTTAGCAGAGCTCAAGCATTGTGCTGGGAGATTTGCTGCTCTCTTCAGAGCCAGCAGGCAGGAATATTTTAAGTCTGCTGAAGCTGTGCCCACAGCTGCCCCTTCCCCCAGGTGCTCTGTCCCAGGGAGATGAGAGTTTTATCTATAAGCCCCTGAATGGGGCTACTGCCTTTCTTTCAGAGACGTCCTCTCCAGACAGGAGGAATCTAGAGAGGCAGTCTAACTATAGTGGCTTTGCTGAGTTGCAGTAGGTTCTGCCCAGTTCAAACTTCCCTGTGGCTTTGTTTACACTGTGAGGGGCAAACTGCCTACTCAAGCCTCAGTAATGGCAGATGCTCCTCCACCCACCAAGCTCAAGCATCCCCTGGTCAACTTCAGAGTGCTGTGCTGGCAGCAAGAATTTCAACCCAGTGGATCTTAGCTTGCCAGGCTCCATGGGGGTGGGATCTACTGAGCTAGACCACTTGGTTCCCTGGCTTTAATCCCCTTTCCAGGGGAGTGAACAGTTCTGTCTCACTGGTGTTCCAGGCACCACTGGGGTATAAAAAAAAAAACTCCTGCAGCTAGCTTGGTGTCTGCCCAAATGGCCGCCCAGTTTAGTGCTGGAAACCCAGGGCCCTGGTGGCATAGGCACCCAAGGGAGTCTCCTGGTCTGCATGTTGCGAAGACCAAGGGAAAAGCATAGTATCTGGGCTGCAGTGCACCATTTCTCCTGGCATACTCCCTCGTGGCTTCCCTTGGCTAGGGGAAGGAATTCCCCATCCCTTTGCACTTCCTGGGTGAGGTGACGCCCCACCCTGCTTCATCTCACCCTCTGTGGGCTGCACCCACCGTCTAACCAGTCCCAGTGAGATAAGCCAGGTACCTGAGTTGGAAATGCAGAAATCACCCACCTTCTGCATTGACCTCGCTGGGAGCTGCAGATTGGAGGTGTTCCTATCCCGCCATCTTGCCAGCCACTCTTCCAAAGTTAGCGTTTATGAAGTACAAGAAAGGTGGAGCTGAGAGAATGAGAATAAAGTGGCTCTGGGTGAGTACCACCATGGAACAGGAGGGGATAAGCAGGTCACAGAGAACTGAGTTAGATTATCCAGAGTATAGCCAACCTGAGCTCCCTGGTGGGGTAGGCAGCTGTGCAAAGAGCTGAACGTTGATCATGGACAGCAGGACTAAGCAAGTCCTCACCTCTTTACTGTATTTCCCTTCTGCACAAGGTGGGTCTACATCCAATGCCTGCTCCCAAAAGGAGATGTGTTTAATATGGGCCCAGACTCTGCCAGGGTAACAATCTGCTTGAGGAAAATGGCCAAACCAGGCCCAAATGCATAGACGAGCTGCCAGGACAAAAAGTGGCAGGGCATGCGGGGTTAGGTTTAGCTTTGACCTTGGATTCTTCTGTCTTTGTAATTTCTACGTGGAATGCACAGACTCAGGAGTCAGGTTGGGGGAAGGGTAGTTTAAAAGCCTCACAGATTAAGAATCACGTCAAATGCCAAGAGACCATAATAATTAGAAACACTTTAATTCCTAGCCACTTGGCAGCACTTAAATATCAGAGCCATCCAAGCATGCCAGCCTTTGAACTTGCTCAGCAAGAGTAGATGATCACACAACTCAAGGTAAATCAAAATTAGATGTAGGTTATTTATTGGTGTGACTTTTTCCTTTAGTGAGCTTCTTTTACACAGCATGGTGTAAATAGCATCAGATTGAATGAAAAGTTTGTTAAATGCAACCATAAATAATTATAATAAATATACATCAAGTAACTTTACAGCACACATTTTTTAGGGCCAAGGTTTGGATCTGTCTGGACCTCAATGTGCTCTCAGAGAAGCAGCCATGTTAGCAGCAGATACCTCACAGCTGTCATCTACTCAAGTGATGGCCAACAGAAGCTTCTGAACTCCTCCTGGGGAGGTAGCTAACAAGTCCATTCAAGGGATGAGGACTGGAGGGAACCAAGAATTTAAAGATACAGGGAGGAAAAACCACTTCTAATAAATCCAAAGGCTCTTTCATGTAAGCAGAAATGAAAACAAGAGGATCCTTGTCAGGAATACATCCTGGATATGACCCCCACACTCAAGGGAGCTGTGGCTGCTGGAGGGGCAGCGGGCTGACCATCTTTCAAAGCAGGGGGACTGCTTGCGGGTGCTCACCTCCAGAGGTGACTTGCATCAAATATAACTGATGCAGCTGTCACTCTAGGTCTATCTTGTCCTTAGATCAGGGGATCCTTTCTATAATGGTCCTTGATGCATTTCCTAAGAGTTACAAAGAGGAGATGGATGCTAACGGCTCTATCTCTAGAACTCACAATCTTTCCAGCAAGCCAGGGCACATCTTTCTTGGACCAGCATCCACACTGCAAAACCTTCTAGACAGCACTCACTCATAACTTCCAATATTCACAATTTATACAATAAATACAGCGATGCGATTCTGTGAGACCTGGCAAGGTCCAAAGAGACAGTGTCCAACAAGATGGCCTGTGCTGCTCAGGAACAGAGTACCACTGGACAAAGACCTATTGGGGGCACAGATGCACTGGGGCAGTGGGTGAGCCTGGGGACAGCTCAGCCCTGGCACACACACACACACACGGGGTGATGGGGGTGCTGGACGGGACTGGCCAGAGGGATGGAAGGACCCCACTGGAGTCTCCATCTGGACTTGAGTGTCTGGGTCACTAAAGCAGACCCTGAATTGAGCAGAGCACCTCAGGCCACACTTTTGAAAATGGGGATGCAGCCCTTTCCCTTGTTCCCAAGTCACTGCAGGAAGGAAGGGGCATTTCTGAGTGTTTTGTGCTCCTTTTTCGTGGGCTAGGCTTGAATCATGTTTTTCCTCTTCAACCAGAGTCTCGGAGGAGGCCCCCACCTGAGCACTGTCCCCCACCTCTGGGTGTCTTCTCACCCCCTGCAGCTGGGATGCACCCAGCCAGGTTCTGTGAACTAAGGTTGGGATGAACCCTTGAGTCTCCTGTTCCCGAGGAGGCCTCAGATGAAAACTATCAGACCAGGCAGGGCCCAGAAGAGACAGACGGCAGATAGGGGAGTGTGTGGGAGGGGCAGGGGAGAACCACGTGGGCTTTTCCTCAGAAAAACCAAGATTGGGAGCAAGTTCTAAAGCAGTAACATGAACACATAAAGCTCCCTGTGTGTCTCGTGTGTTTGGGCAACTGGCCCAGTCACCTCTAGGTGGAGGGAGGCCTGCTGGGGCTGCCTCAGGAGTAACTCCAGCTTGAGGCCGGAGAGCAGGGCTGGCCACAGACTTATCTGTGGAGATGTTCTGCTAAAAGCACGGACACTCTGTGTGGCTGAGGCCATTGCACCCCTGGCTTCCTGCTGGGTGGTTCTGTGATAAGGAACCAGCTGGGGCCTTATGGCATCAGTATCTGGTGGTCACGAGGGACAATGTCCAGGAAGATCAAATTAGACACAAACTGTCTGGGAACTAAACTATCCTACAAATAGACCACAAACAGGCAGCAAAAGAACCAACCCATCACAAAACGTACAAAGACAAAAGGTTAAGTCTTCCAGGAGGACCTGGAATGTGGACGAAAGTTCGGAAAAGCAAAATGTTGCCACCTCCTCACGCAGGGCCCTGGAGGGACGGGCCCTGGAGGGACGGGCTGCAGTGGCGGGCTTCCCAAGCCGACAGAGTGGATGCCTCAGTGACAGCCTAATTCTGGGGCTCCCTCCCGTCAGCCACTGAGGGGGTCTTCGCGGTAGTGAATGGCACAACGAAGTTTCTCCAGCATGATTTCCAGAGAGGAGTACTGGGGAAGCTTGATCATGAACATGCAGGTCTCCACGCGGATGTAGCGAGAGTCTGGGGAACCTACAAGAAACGGAGCCAAGGTCAGAGGGCTGGGACCACGGCTGGGAGGCTCCCAGGGAGGCTGGGCTGGCCCCATTTCCAGGTTTGCCTCCTTGAGTAGCTTCAAGCCACTCCTGGGGCCCAGCAGGAGGGGGATGAGGGCCTGGGAACCTGGGAGAAGTTCTTGGAGGGGAAAAGGGGAGATAGCTGCTGGACAGCACGTGTGCCAAACTGCTGATGGGTTTCTCTGCCCAGCAAATGATTTTGTTTTGTTTTGTTTTCCACCATTTTTCTGCATTTAAAAGTTGGAAGATTTGAAGCATTCTGGATTTTCAGCTTGTTTTAGGATATGAGAAGGTACCTAACTGCAGGCTTGGATAGCTGGGTCCTGCCTGGCCCAAATCCTCACTGAGGTGTGGGTTTGGCATGTGGGGCTCCTGTTCACTGTTCTCCCTTCACGCAGGGCGTGGCAGCCCCAGTTCCAAACAGAGAAGGGCTAGTGTGTTCCCACTTAGGGGATGGCCAGGGGAGGGCAGTACCTGCTGTGCCATCTGGGGGGGCGATCTTCATGGGGTACGGGGGCACGTGGGCGGTGTCAGGGCCCCCGTCTTTGCAGGGGCAGGTGAACGGGATGCGCTCCTGGTTGCAGGCGAACTTGATGAACTTGCACAGCTCCTCCTGAGTGAACATCTCCAGGGCCCCCCAGAAGAACTCGATGTGTTGGTCAGTCTCCATCAGCCCCACCTGGTACATGGTGTGGGCCTGGGGAGGAGAGGCCCAGGTGTCAGGAGCCCCAGAGCCCCGCCTACCCAGTGCCTCCCCAGCCCTGGGGTCTGCAGGCCGGGCCCAATCCCGGAGCAGAGTGCAGCGTGTGAGCTGTGAGCAGAGGGAGATGACGATACAGGTCTGTGGCAAGGTCAGAGCTGAGACCAGCCACTGCTGATGTCTGCTGCAGGAGCTGAGGGTGACAGGGAGGCAGGCCTGGGGCACCTACCTTGAGGAACTCGAGGTTGATATAGGGGAGGCCGCAGGTGCGCAGCTCCATCTCCAGCGGGCTAAGCGTGGTTAGCAGCTGCAGGGGGATGATGGAGCCCAGGCCAGCCCGCACAGCTGTCACGCACTCCACGTTCTGCAGCTCCCGAAGCCGCAGGCTCCGGATGGCTGCCGCGTAGATGTCCTTGTTTTCCCACCTGCCCAGGTGAGAGGCACAGGTGAGGGAGAATGCTGCCAAAGAGGCTGGGTCTGGGGGGCCACACCCACTCAGCCAGAGGTCCCGGATTCCCTCAGGAGAGGCCTAGGCCCAGCCACCCTGGTCGTCCCAGTCCTCTCCTGCCTCTGGTGTTGCCACCTCAGAGCTGCTGTTTTCATAGTAAGCTCCTTTTGCTAAGGACCCTCTTCCTTGGCACCCACCATCCTGCCTCATCTCCCTCTGGTGAAATCCACCTGTCACCTGACCTAGGTCCTTGTGCCATTGCCCAGGAACAGATGCTGCTGTCACACCCTGGCTGGCTGGCCGGGCCAGCTCCCGCCACGCGCACACACTCACGCCACAAGGATGTGCCGTCCCCGGCTGCACAGTTCCACCTCCTCGCCCGTCATGGTCAGGTAGGTGAACCTGCAGCAGGGCTTGTTGGGACTGTCTGGGCTCTCGGTGGCCAGGTGCTGGGAGGCAATCTCGGCGCACAGGGCCTCCAGCTCAGTCTCGTCATTGATCTGGAGGGTGGAGGCAGAGAGAGGCTCATTATAAGGTGCTGGGAGGTGGAACCCTGATCTCCAGAGGTGGCTGGGCAAACCCCAAGCACAGCTGGTGGGGTCTACCATTGGTTGTGTGGATGGGCATGTGACACAGGTTTGGCCAATCAGAACCTGCCATCAGTTCAGAGCCAGGATGTGTGTGACCTAGACCGGGCTAATGAGACCCAAATTCCAGGCCTTTTCCCATGACTGTTTGGAGGCAGCAGTCCCCTCTCACTGGAATGGACCGACTGTATGATGGGAAACCCTTTACTGCTGGAGGCCACCTCTGCCCACGTGCTTGGAAGGACTGCCTGAGACTAATTATGCTTTGTTTGTTTGTTTTTTTGGGGGATGGAGTTTCACTCTTGTTGCCCAGACTAGAGTGCAGTGGTGTGATCTTCGCTCACTCTGCCTCTCGGGTTCAAGTGATTCTCCTGCCTCAGCCTCCCGAGCAGCTGGGACTACAAGTGTGTGCCACCACACCAGCTACTTTTTGTATTTTTGTAGTAGGGATGGGGTTTCACCATGTTGGCCAGGCTGTTCTTGAACTCCTGACTTCAGATTATCCGCCCATCTTGGTCTCCCAAAGTGCTGGAGTTAACAGGTGTGAGCCTCAATGCCTGGACTTTTTTCTTTCTTTCTTTCTTTTTTTTTTTTTTTTTTAGCAATCTAGCAACAGATGATACTGTTTGAACAGCAATATTGGTTTGAATACCAATACCAGATGACACCTGGATTTGGCCCTGCCTGAAGTCAAACCCATCATGGTTTTTAAGAGCAAATAATTTTAAACAACTTTTTCTAAAGCTGATTGGAGTTGGGATTTCTGTCCTTTGCCACCAGACAGCCCTCTGTTCTGTCTGTAGAGATGTACAGGGTACTCCCTCTCATCTGGCAACCAGGATCAGGGTCTAGGGGAAACTGATTCGCACTGTGCTTGTTGGGCTACCGGGGAGATGACAGAGTCGGACCCAGAGGAGTCTGCAGCCTGGGGACAGTGACAGGTGGGTGTCTGGATCTAAGCCTGGACTCTCCTTTGTAGCAACCTCCCTACCTCTCCACCACAGACACTCCACTGACACAAGTTGAGAGCATTTTTCTTCCTGGTACACACCCCCTACACCATGTGGTTCTGCACCCCACACCCTTTGGGACCCTGGCCATCCCTGTAACCAGAAGCCTCAGCTGGCCTGTCCGCTAGGACCCTGATCACACCCCCTGCTGCCCCAGCCCGCACTGCCCCCCAGAGCCCCAGGAGGTCTCATGGGAGGAGTGCAGGAGACGCATAAACCCCCAGTCCACTGTGGGTGTCCTTCCATCCTTTAGATAATGCCTCGTCATCCCGGTTTCTATTGAGAAGCCACTGGCATCCAGGACTCTTGCTCTGCTATTGTCTTGCACTGGCTGTCCTGAGTGATGCCAGGGACAACGGTAGAGACCTGAACAGGCAGTGCCTCAGTCGGCCATGGAGTATTCTGCCAGCAAAGGCAGAAGCAGCTGGCACCTCCTTCACCTGAGGCCCAGGAGAGAGCAGCCTTTGCCAGGCCTCAAGCACGATGTCCACTCTCGTGGCCTTGAGGGGCACTGGGTGGAAGGTCGCTCTCCACATTCAGCCAGAATGGCTCTTTCAGCTGCGGGTGCGTGGTGCTGGGGAGCCTGGGAGTCAGAGCAGGCAGCCCTGGGCTCCTGGTGGCTCTGCTCCCTGCTAGCTCTGAGGGCTGGGGCAAGTCACGTCCCTTACTAGCCTCACTTTCCTCCTGGCCTTGTGATGATGGAATAAAGCCCTCGCCCTCCACCACGCAGGAGACAAGCCTGGGCACTCCCCGAGGACAGGGTGAGAGTCCAGAGCCTGGCTGGCCTGTGACAGGGCCTCAGTGATGGCCACTGAGTGAACAGAGGGACTGTGGACCCCATTCCCCTCTAGGGGGGCACTGGGCAGACAGCACCATGCGCTCAACATCTGTGCATGGCCTAAGCATGCCCTGGACAGGCAGGAAGGGCTCCATCCTGATGCCTCCCATTTGGTTGACCCCAGATGGTCCTAGGGTGACTCCTGCGCTCTGAAACAACTTTTTTTTTTTTTTTTGAGACGGAGTTTCGCTCTTGTTACCCAGGCTGGAGTGCAATGGCGCAATCTCGGCTCACCGCAACCTCCGCCCCCTGGGTTCAGGCAATTCTCCTGCCTCAGCCTCCTGAGTAGCTGGGATTACAGGCACACGCCACCATGCCCAACTAATTTTCTGTAATTTTTAGTAGAGATGGGGTTTCACCATGTTGACCAGGATGGTCTCGATCTCTTGACCTCGTGATCCACCCGCCTTGGCCTCCCAAAGTGCTGGGATTACAGGCTTGAGCCACCGCGCCCGGCCTGAAACAATTTAAGGCCTGCACACTACTGCCGTTCCCCCAGGGCCTGTTCACTCAGATCCAGGAGCCCCTGCCCATGGCCAGGCGACGGGCACCAATGTGGGAGGGCCAGCAGGGCTGGTCATGTCACCTCCAGTCTCTGCTGCCAGCATGGAGGAAGGCCAGAGGCCTCTGTCCTCATGAGACACATCTCCCCGGCAGATGGCTCACACCGCTAAGGTCCTCTGGCAGAATCCTAACCCAGCCTTAGCAGGGAGCTCAGGTCTGCATGGAGGCCTAAGCGAGGTGAGGGGGAGGCCCCCCAGGAGAATTGCGCCTTTCACTCACACTCTCAAACTTCTTGACGTAATTGTAGGTGAGGATGTCTGCTTCCTGCAGGTCTTGCTCAGGGTCCAGGGGCTCGCCCACCAGTGTCTTCCAGAAGGAGGGCAGGAGGTCCAGGGGCAGTGGGACATCTGCCCGAATCGCAATTCCCAGCAGCTGCCCCAGGAAGTGCAGCAGCTGCTCCTCCCCATAGGTGATGGGGCTTGGGGTCAGGATATACTTGCCCTGGAAGTGGAGGTGAACATGAGGTGACCTGGGCGTGGGTACTGTGCCCACCAGGAAACATGCGTTTTAGGCCACCATACCCTGTGGCAGACAGGAGAGAAGTCACTGCAAGCTCCCAGAGCTTGCCCAGCCAGTGTGGCAAGAACCTGTCCCCACAGACTGGGAGGGTTTCTGAAAATGTTTAGCTCTGATGAGACACACACTACCCTGCCACTATGCCGGGACCTCAGCTCAGGGGCATGGGGCCTCTGCCCAGGCTCCGCCTACCTTGTTCTTATTGACAGCCGAGCTGGGGCACAGCAGCAGCAGCGACAGTGAGGAGCTCTGCAGCTCCTTACACACCTGCCACAGGAAGTGCCGGAAAGAGCCGCCTGCAGGATAGACAAGATACATGGACACCTTGGGCGTCCCAGGGGGAGGCGGCACCGTTCCCTCCCTCTCACTTGCTGGCCAGAGCAGCCACTCCTTCCACAGCCTGTCTGCTGCTGTGGGGGTTGGGAAGAAGCTGCCCCAGGCTTGGGAGGCCTCAGTCCAATCCTGCTCTTCACTCACGAGCAGGGCCACCCAGGGATACCACAGAGGGAAAGATGTCCCAGAGGCTCAAATGGGAGAGTGACTGTACCTAACCAGCAGGCCATTAGAGGATTCAGTGAGGTCACTGCAGGTCCTCACGCAGGCCACCTCTCACAGCTGCAAGCCTGCCTGAGTTGTGGACTTGTTTGGTCCATGTCTGTCCCCCTAGGCCAGGCTGAGGGCAGGGCCACCTGTTTCACTCAGCACTGCCTCCCCAACTGCCCAGGCTCATGTTTGTCCAATGGATGCGTAAGGAATGGACAACTGTGTGAACGTGCGAAGGGCAATGGTAACTGCTTAATTCCTCTCCTGTTGCCATTCAAGATGGGCCTTTGGTTTCCCTGCAAATCTTCTCCCCTGCCCTTCCCTGTGTGTTCTATCGGTACCCTAAGTTCAGGGAGCTCTGAGCACAGCTGTGCCCATACCCTGTGCCCATACCCTGCTTGGTCAGAACCATGTGAAAACCCAGTGTGGGGGCCCAGTGCAGGGGCAGATGGCAGGCCTGGCCCTCACCTCTGCTTCAAGGAGAAGCAGGCGAGTCCTGACTGCTGACTCCTGGAAGGCCAGGGGGCTGGCTGGACCCTGGAACCCCAGTTGGCTGCCTGACCTTGGGAAGTGACTTGGCTTTGTGGAGTCCCAGTCTCCCTATGTGTAGGATGAGTCAGGGCTGGCGCTGTGGGCACGTTTGCTGCTGTGGGGAGGATAAGGTGTTGAGCGTGAGTCTGGGTTTTCAGTGAACCAGAGCTGTTCTCAGAGAGGCCTGGGAGGCCTGCCCATAGAATGCCAGGTCCCTTGTGTGGGAGGCAGCTGCATTCCCATGGGGTAGATAAGAGGAAAGCGGAGAGGGAGCTGGGTGGGGGCTCCCTCCTGCCCAGATAGCCTTTCCTGCAGTGTGCCAGCTGCGGAGAAATGAGGTTTCTTCTCCATCTGCAGTGGAAACATGTCCTGAATGTCTGGGGCAAAGCAGGAGAGGGTCGTGAGGGAGCACACGCTCAGCTGCCAGTCCTCATCCCTGCAGAGTATGATGATACCAGGTGCCATCTTAACCAAGGGCTCCCCAACACCCTGCCAATCAGCACGGAGGGTGCCCTGAGCAGAAGTGCCATCCCCAAGCCCAAGAGGGACTGGCTGAGGCTCCCACGGGGCTGGTCTGGAGGACATGGGCGTGAGGCCACTCTGGGTGCAGACCTGGCTTCTGCAGAGCAGGTGCTGAGGATGTGGCTTTTACTCTTGGAAATTGAGGTCTCGGGCAGCTGGGGCTAAGGCTGGACACTAAACACAGCTCCTCCAGCGGGGAGCCCAGCAGGCCACCACTTACTGGTGCCGTGGACCTCCTCCCCAGTGAAGCGGATGTTAAAGGCATATGTGGGGTCGCCGCCGCTGGCCAGTTTGACGCAGAGCTGAGATGACGGCACCGAGGCCAACTGCCGGGCAGCCTGGCAGAAGTAGGAGTTTTCAGAAGCTCTGATTTCCCCTGGAAAGTGAGATGAGTTGATCAAAGCACCCCTCCGTGGCTACCCTCTGCCCTTCCCCTGAAGACAGACTCCAGGCCTAGCAGGCCTGTGCCTGTCCTGGGAGCCCCACTCCCTTGCTTGGTCCTCTGTACCTTCTCTGCCCTTAGAACACCTTAGAGCTTTTTGTGTCTTAGCACTTGTGGCTCCCTCTGCTGGACCCACTCCCCTAGGCTCCCAGTGCTTGGCCCCTTCTCATCTTCTAGAGGCTTCCGTCTGCCTCTCAGGGAGGTCCTCGCTGCCCCCAACCTGCCGCCCAACTCCTCTCTCATTTCTTCTGCATGTGTTCCTTCTGTCTGTCTATATGCTGTGGCAGAGACTCTGGGGAGCCTCCCCAATGCCCTTTTCCCCCTTTTCTTTGAGGCCGGAATCCCCATTTTTGGCAGGCACATGGCTGATCAGAGCAAAGCCTGCCCCGCCTGACCCTGTGCAGCTGGCAGGCCCCAGGAAGCCAAGCTCCTTCTGCTATGCCCCTTCCTCTGCTGCCTGGAATGAGCTCCTGAGGGGACCTTCCAGCAGGAAGCCACACACCGGGATGTTCCAGCAGAACAACAGGAAGAACCGTGGCACCGCCCTGGACCCCCTGCTTCTAGAAGCTTCTTTTGGGTTCCAGAAATCTGCTAGTGTGTTTAGGCACTGCTATTTTGCATTTTTTGGTATCTGCAGCCAACCCCACCTCCCACAATTTCCAGCGGGTCCAAGGTGATCTCAGGGGCTGCATGGTCCGCTGTCCGCTGCACGGTAGCATTCAGCACTCGATTCATCACTGTCACCTTCGTGTCATAGAAGATCAGCCCTAAGGAGAGGGACATGGGAGAGAACTGGGTGGGGCTGCATCGCTTCCCTCCCAGTCCCCCTAGAACTCGCTTCAGTCCCTAGGTGTGGCACTCTCAGGGTCCCTGGTGGCAGCACAGCCGGGTCCTGATGGTGGAGGGCGGTGTGTCGGCCTCCACCCAGCAGCTAGGTGCATTTACCCTTTGTCATTCCCAGGAGACACCCGATTTCTAGAAACAATACAACAAGCTAGAGTTACAAAACAGAATGTAGAAAATGATACCTATTTTTAATTTAAAAAAAAGACAAAAATCTCTTTGTGTGCACATGCATCTATTTGTATGTGAAGAGAAAAGCCTGGAAGGATAGATACTCATCTGTTAATAATGTTCTCTGGCATGTAGGGATTTGCAGGCGAGATAGTGAACAGACCATATATTTTGAATTAATTTAAAAACCTTAAAATAATGTGATTTTTCAGAGCATATGCTACTTTTATAATTAAAGTAACTTCCCTTGGGTGGACCTGTTGCTCCAGAGGAGCCCTGCCTGCTAGATGAAAGATTGGGGGGAAGTGTCTCCTGGGGTGCTGCCCAAGGATCCTGCCCATGGTTTCTGGCCCTGGGTCACCTCTCTCTTCCAGCAGGGCTAGGGTGGGCGCAGGCACTGACCTTTGGCCTCCTTCAGGAGGGCAGCGATGCTGTGGGTGTACATGGGTGTCTGGCGCAGCTCCACCAGGGGCAGGAAGAAGGTCTCCAGTGTGGTGTTGAGGGACTGCAGCAGGGCAAAGCGCAGGCGCAGGCTCTCGATGGGCACATCTGCAGGGCACGGGAGCAGTGAGGCTGAGATCTCGGCCCAGACTGGCTGAGATGCCTAACTCATAGGCAACACAGGGGGTCCCTATCACTGGGACCGGGATTGGATGATTTTTTACTTGGGACCCTGGGGATGCTGTCAGTGAGTGAGCAGCCCCTGATGTGCCTGTGCCTGTGCCAAGCAGACACAAAGGGCAAGGCCCTGGCTGGCCAGACGGAGGTGCTGGCTCTTAAGGAGTCCAAGGCCCCCTCATCTACCTTGAGGGCCATGCCAGGGCTGTGCATGATATCATTCTTTGTGCCATTTTTGCAACCTCCTGTATCATTATTTTTTGAAATAATGATACAGGAGGTTGCAAAAATGGCACAAAGAATCCTGTGTACATTTCACCCAGTGTCCCCAAAGGCAACATCATATCAAAACCAGGAAACTGCCACTGGCATGCTGCCCTTCAACCCTTCACTCTTCACACTGCTGTGGCAGACAGAAGTCAGGGACAACCTCTTACCCACCTTTACCTCCTTGGCACCCAGGAGAGAGCAAGGGCCTGGTACGAGTGTACTGAGCTGCTTGCCAACACCTTATTGTAAGTGGGGAACATCTGGGAACTAACAGTTTATTTTTTGTATGCAATCCTAGTTTTTAATAAAAACATGGTGTTCCCTGTTATGAAGGCTAACAACTCTACTACGAGTTATCAGACTATAAACACTTTTCATGCCCCATGGGAGCCTGGCCTCAGTGGGGCCTGGGCATTCTCCCCAAGCCTGTGCATTTCCTTATCTGCTACCTGGCTTTGTTGTCATGGGCATTAAAAAAGGCCCCAGACTAATTAGGCCACAGCCCCGGCTCCCTGCCTTTCTCTTCCTGCTTCATCAGCCCCCTCTTCCTTGCACACCTGGCATGTAGCAGGTGTTCATAAGTGTTTGTTCAATGGACATCTAAATGAATCTAGTCCTTCTAAACACCCCGTCATGGGGCATGCTGGCAGCAGGCAACAGGGAGGGCACAGGCACAGGGCTACATACTCAGGAGACAGGCCACTCTGGGATCAGCAGCATCCGCGGGGTCCAGGTACACCTCATGGGGATGGAGCCGTGCGGGTGTGATGGCAAGGTGGCGGCATAGCTGGTTGATGTACTGCACAAGTGCCACATCCATCTCCAGAGTCCACTTTCTTGAGGCCTTCTGTGCATGTCGGACATCAATGCAGGCGCACCTGGGGGTGGGGACCGGGGAGAAGGGCAAGGTAAGGTGGGGCACACTGGGTGACTGTTAGATTTCTCTAACATAGCCATGTCCTCAGCTCCTGCAGCACATTCAGAAGATGGCCTCGCCTCCCAGGTGTTTCTTGGTGCCTGGACAGCTCCTCATGGGGAATGCGCTTTCAAAAGAAGCACGCCAAGCACGCTGGCGGGAGTGGGAATGGTGCACACTTCTGGGAAGTGGCGCTAGGCACCCACCCATGCTTCGCTACTGTGCATGGGCAGTTCACAAATAGCATCTGCCTGCAGTGTGTCACAAGACTTGCTTTTTTTTCCCTTAGAGAGAAAAATCTTGCTCTGTTGCCTGGGCTGGAGTGCAGAAGGGCAATCATAACTCACTGCAGCCTTGAACTCCTGGACTCAAGTGATCTTCCCGCCTCAGCTTCCCCAGTAGCTGGGACCACCAGTGTGAGCCACTACGCTTGCCTAATTTTTTAAAATTTTGCAGAGATGGGGTCTTGTTGTGTTGCTCAGGCTGTTCTTGAGATCCTGGGCTCAAGCCATCCTTCTGCCTCAGCTCCCCAAGTGCTAGTATTATAGGCGCGAGCCACTGCGCCTGGCCAGTCACAAGAATTCAGTGAGGATGCCTGTGAAGCACACAGCATGGTGCCCAGCACATTCCAAATCCATAAGAATTGTCAGCTGCTGGTATCACTGATGTCATTAGTCTTTTCCCAGCAAGCCCATTCCAGAATTCACCTGTGGAGCTCTTAGAACAGACGGGCCAACATATGCTTCTGAGGGCACTGCTGCAGGGGTGAGTTACCACAGCAGTGTCAGACAACCCAGCTGTCCATCGATAGGGGATTAGCTGAATCAATTACACTGCACCTAACAATGCGATGCTAGAAAGCCATGAAAATGATCAAGTTGACTAATATGGGAGGATGTGGACGATTTTTAAGAAGCAGACTGCAGGCCAGTCAAAGTGGCTCATGCCTGTAATCCCAGCACTTTGGGAGGCTGCGGCGGGCAGATCCCTTGAGGCTAAGAATTTGAGACTCCAGTAAAACTCATTTCTACAAAAACAAAAACAACCAACCAACCAACCAACCAGTCACAAAAATTAGCTGGGCACAGTGTTGTGTGCCTGTGGTCCCAGCTACCAGGGGAGCTGAGGTGAGAGAATGACCCAAACCCAGGAGGTTGAGGCTGCAGTGAGCTGTGACTGTGCCACTGCGCTTCAGCCTGGATGACAGAGTCAGACCCTGTCTCAAAAGATAAAAAGCAGATTGCAGAATAGTGTATCTTGTCTAATCCCACATCAGTGGGACTGAACAAATCTACTTCCAGAAAAACATTGGGTGAAATATTCACTGAAGCATCACACAGTAATGCTGTGGGCACAGAATACCGGACATGGCCTTCTGGGTCTGCACACACTGTGTGAGGTTTTCAGAAAGGGTGCATGTCCTTAGTCCACAAATATTGGGCTATTAACCCAAGAAAGGCATGCAGGTGGGCAGATGCCTGGCAGAGCCACTAATTCCAGAGACTGTGGCACCCTGAGTGGGCCACCTGTCATATTGAGAACATTACCCTGGGGGCTGGGGGGAAGGGGGCAGCATCAGGTGTTTCCTTCCTTCAGGCCACCTCTGTCCCATCCAAGGAGTGCTTGAAGACAGATCTAAGCCTCTTTCACAAGGGGGTCCCCCATGGCTCTCTAGGCTGAATGATCCAAGCAGAAGCCTTTGGCTTCCTTTAGAAAAGTCCATGGTACCGGCCGGGCGTGGTGGCTCAAGAGGTCAAGAGATTGAGACCATCCTGGTCAATTTGGTGAAACCCCGTCTCTACTAAAAATGCAAAAAATTAGCTGGGCATGGTGGCGCGTGCCTGTAATCCCAGCTACTCAGGAGGCTGAGGCAGGAGAATTGCCTGAACCCAGGAGGCGGAGGTTGCAGTGAGACGAGATCGCGCCATTGCACTCCAGCCTGGGTAACAAGAGCGAAACTCCGTCTCAAAAAAAAAAACAAAAAGAAAAGTCCATGGTGAGGCAGGATGTGTCAGGCCATTACCACTGCCCCAGAAGGCCCCTATGAATGTGGCCCTTAATTGGGTATTTTTTTTTTGAGACGGAGTCTTGCTCTGTCGCCAGGCTGGAGTGCAGTAGCGCAATCTCAGCTCACTGCAACCTCCGCCTCCTGGGTTCAAACAATTCTTCTGCCTCAGCCTCCCAAGTAGCTGGGACCACAGGTGTGTGCCACCACACAAGCTAATTTTTGTATTTTTCGTAGAGAGGGGGTTTCACAATGTTGGCTAGGATGGTCTCAATCTCTTGACGTTGTGATCCACCCACCTCGGCCTCCCAAAGTGCTAGGATTAACCCCGCACCCAGCCTTATTGGGTATTTTTTTGTTTTTTGAGACAGGGTCTCACTCTGTCACCCAAGCTGGAGTGCAGTGGCATGATCTCGGCTGACTGAAGCCTTGGCCCCCTGGGCTCAAGTGATCTTCCCTCCTCAACCCTCCAAGTAGCTGGGATTACAGGTGCATGTCACCATGCCCGGCTAATTTTTGTATTTTTAACAGAGACAGGGTTTTGCCATGCTGCCCAGGCTGGTCTTGAACTCCTGGACTCAAGTGATCCACCCACTTTGGCCTCCCATAGTGCTGGGATTACAGGTGTGAGCCACTGCACTCAGCCTGAGTGTGCCCTTCTAGAGATTACAAATGCATCACTTCAGAATCAATTTGCAGTCCAATTTGTCCCCTTTCCACTTAGAATGCAGCTTCTAGTCCAAAATAGGTGATTCTACTTTTCAACAAAACCTCCAAAGTCATCCCGGTTCCTGATTTCCAAAACAAATTCAGAAAACTTGTCCCTGCCACCATAGTGCAAGATCCATTCACGGACTGATCCTGAGCCTTCAACGATGGTATAAATGCTGGCACCAAGCAGAAGAGCATACCAAATGTTTTGGTAGCCATTTTCTTTTTCTTTTTTTTTGAGATGGAGTTTCGCTCTTGTTGCCCAGGCTGGAGTGCAGTGGCGCTATCTTGACCCATCACAACCTCCACCTCCTGGGTTCAAGTGATTCTCCTGCCTCAGCCTCCTAAGTAGCTGGGATTACAGTCATGTGCCACCACACCCAGCTAATTTTATATTTTTAGTAGCGACGGGACTTCTCCATGTTGGTCAGGCTTGTCTCAAACTCCCAACCTCAGGTTATCTGCCCGCCTCAGCCTCCCAAAGTGCTGGGATTATAAGTGTGAGCCACTTCACCTGGCCTTTGTTTTTTTTTTCAGTGGAAGTTTCACTCTTGTTGCCCAGGCTGGAGTACAATGGCGAAGTCTCAGCTTGGCTCACTGTAACTTCCACCTCCCGAGTTCAAGCAATTCTCCTGCCTCAGCCTCCCGAGTAGCTGGGATTACAGGCATGCGTCACCACACTTGGCTAATTTTTGTATTTTTAGTAGAGATGGGGTTTCGCTGTGTTGGTCAGGTTGGTCTTGAACTCCTGACCTCAGGTGATACACCTGCCTCGGCCTCCCAAAGTACTGGTTTACAGGCATGAGCTACCGCACCTGAGCTTGGTAGCCACTTTCTTTTTTTCGAGATGGAGTCTTGCTCTGTCACCCAGGCTAGAGTGCAGTGGTGTGACCTCGACTCCCTGCAACCTCCACTTCCCAGGTTCAAGCTCCTGCCTCAGCCTCCTGAATACCTGGGACTCCAAGCGCACACCACCAGGCCTAGCTGATTTCTGTATTTTTTTTTAAGAGATGGGGTTTCACTATGTTGTCCAGGCTGGTCTCGAATTCCTGACCTCATGATCTGCCTGCCTCAGCTTCCCAAAGTGCTGCGATCACAGGTGTGAGCCACCGTACCTGGCCTGGTAGCCATTTTCATTGATTGATGCCAGGTGTACTTCCTGTGGACAAGGCTGAGTAGGGTAGGGGTGTATGTGCGTGCGTGCATGCTCGCAAGTCAGAGGGAGGGCAGGGCAGGGTGATTTCTGGACTGCGTGGGATGCACTTACAGCTAGAAAGGGGAAACCATATTTAGCCCTGGAGTCCTGGTGAGCTGTGGCCTAGCTGTGCCCCTGCCTGGGAAGGAGGGAGGGCAATGGAGACTCGAGGCAAAGTGTGACTTTGAGGACAAGGTTCTTTGGGGTAAGAAACTATCTGTTATGGGACTGAACTGTGTCCTCCCAGTCCCCCAGCAGATACATATGTTGAAGCCCTAATCCCCAGAGTGACTGTATTTGGAGATAGGGCCTTTAAAGAGGTGATTAAGGTTAAAGAGGTCATTAGCATGGGTCCCTAATCAGACAGGACTGGTGTCTTTGTACGAAGTGGAGAGTAGGACAAATAGGTACTGAGGGAAGACCCTATGAAGGGACCTTGAGAAGGTGGCAGTCCGGGAGCCAAGGAGAGCAGCCCCAGGAGAAACCAGCGCTGCTGACACCTTGATCTGGGCCTTCCAGCCTCCAGAACTGACAGAGAACATGTTTCTGTTGTTGAAGCCACCCAGTGTGTGGTGTCCTGTCACGGCAGCCCGAGCTGACCAGCGCAGTCCCCAAGTCAGCATGTGGAGAAAAAGAACCGGTCTGTTTAACAATGGGTTGGAAACCCATTTAGCACTTAGGAAAAAAACAGAGATTAATAACGCAGAAAGCATTACCAACAGGGAAGATGGACCAGCTCCCCAGAAATTACGCTTTTGGCTGAAACAATTTCTGTGCAAGGTGACAACTGGGTTGAGTGAACCCTCTTACCTCTCAAAATGAAGATCATAACCACAGGACAAGATCGCCCTCCAGACACTGCGGATGTCTTGCTTGGCTCGGTCAATAACAAATTTGTGAAATCCTTCCAGCGTCAGGTATTTTTCCTCTGGGACTGGTGGAAAGGGTTCAGTGTGAGGAATCTGGCAAGGCCTATGCACATCACGTACCTCCAGTGCGTGTGCTCTCGCCACAGCCTCTCCCTCACAGCCCAAACCACCTAACTCCCCTCTCTCTCCCGTAACTCTGGAGACTGTCATTTGCCACTGCAACCCACTGTGCACAGGATACTCATAAGCCCTCATGTGCCCAGGCCCCCAACCGTACCCCCTCAACTGGCTGTAGTTTCCCCACGTCCCCTCTTCCTATGAATCTCAGAAACATCCCCGACTGACAAAGCGATTTTCCAAACAACAGAATAGCTTTCTCTAATGCTGCCTGGTCTTTCTGGAGGCTTATATTCTACTGCCCCAGCATGGGCCACTAGCTTAGGCCAGTCCCCTCTAGAAGAAAGTGTCCACCCAGATTTCCCAATCTTCACTTTTCAGTCATGATCATCTATTCTTCACCCTTGGTGTGCAGTGTTTCTGGAACTGCTATTTTACCTCCTCAAGTTCACGGTCATCAATGATGGCGCCCAGGGGCGATCCCTAGCCAGGAATATTTCCCAGCATCTCTAGAAATGCTGCCCTGCCTGATACCCCAGGGAACCCATAGCCCAGAGCAGGGGCCATCCCAGTGGGAGAGTAGCCAGTGGGGAAAAGCAGAGGCCTGCTCCTGGGAGGCTGCCCAGTCTCCAGGGTGGAAGCAGGTCCCCGCCCGCTCCAGGCCCCACCTGCTCATTCACCTTCTTGTTTTTTGGTAGGTGACTTTTCTGGGTCCTTTTCATCTGGTTTGCTCTTTTCTGGTGACTTTGGCTTCACAGTTGGCTTCTTCTCACTTAAGGCAGTCCTGCTGTAGACCAAAGCACTGGAATTAGACTAATGCACGTTCACACCTCCTCCCGACAGGAAATACACAGTCTAGTGCAGGCATTCATTCTTGCCCCCTCCTCCAACTGAGGGCTTAGACAGGACTGGGTTCAAGACCACCTTTGTTCAGAGTGAGAAAAGTTTACTGAGCAGATTACAAGAACAAATTCCTGCCTTAAATTGTGACAAATCTTGTAGAGACTCTTTTCAAACACTCTACATATTTTAGAGCTACATTGTTCAATAAGGCAGTCACTAGCCAGATGTAGCTACCTAAGGTTAAATTAATTAAAATGAAATACAATCAGAAATTCAGTTCCTGTTCACCCTTGCCACAATGCACAGACATAGACACAGCACTGATTTCCACCAGCACAGAAAGTACTACAGGACAGTGCTGAGCGAAGAACGCCATTTCTACCCAATGAATTAATTTTTAAAATCCTTTGTTTTTCTGGTTAAACAATTCCTCTAGAGACTCTTACTGGGTAATACTTTGCTATCAAGGTTTCAACTCTGAGTACTTGAGAGTCATAGAAAATGGCCCGAGCCATTTTCTAAAGAATATTTTATAAAATTTATATACATATCCATATGTGGAATGTTATGTAGCTATTTTTTAAAGGAATGGGGAATTCTTTTTGTACTAATCTGAAATAATCACCAAAATTAGTATTAAATAAAAATGGCAAGGTGTAGACATGGTATATGGTACCCAGCACTGGGCATATGAGTAGAATTGCTTGTGTATTTACAGAAAGGGTTCTTCTCAAAGGCTGGAGAAGCAACCTTGCAGGCTCAGGGAGGGAACTTCAAGGCTTAAGAATGGTTGAGTGGCTTTTCACTGCATATGCTTTCACATTTTCTACCATTTTAGTCATTCAAAACTTAAGAAAATAATACATAGGCATAAATCAAAGGTCATGGTACTTAAAAGTAGTTGTTATGCATGGGGCAATTTAATTTTTTCCAATAGGCCCTACGCATTTTTTTTTTTTTTTTTTTTGAGGCAGAGTCTCATTCTATCACCCAGGCTGGACTGGAGAGCAGCGGTATGATCATGACTCATTGCAGCCTTGACCTCTGGGGCTCAAGCCATCCTCCTGCTTCAGCTTCTTGAGTAGCTGGGACCACAGGTGCACGCCACCACAGTCGGCAATTTTTTTTTATATTGTTTTGTAGGGCTGGCCATGTTGCCCAGGTTAGTCTTGAACTCCTAGGCTTAAGGCGTTAGGCATTTTCTAATCTTCCTACAATAACTATGCATTATTTGTGTGGCAAAAACAAGTAGGATTTTAAAAAAATTCTGTACATTTTAGATGTTGTCTTCATTTATATGGGTTGGCTTTCTAGCCTGCATGGTCAGGATTTGACCACACCTGTGGATAAAATGAAACTCTGATGCTCAGCTGATGGAGCTAAGGACTGAGAAAGGCACTCAGCAGAAGAGGCCCAGACACCCATCAGGCGCAGTGGCTTCCACCTGTAACCTCGGCATTTTGGGAGGCCAATGCAGGCCCATCGCTTGAGCCCAGGAGTTCAAGACCAACCTGGCCAACATGGTGAAACCCCATCTGACACAATATAAATGAAAAAAAAAAAAAAGAAACCTCACCGGTACAGAAAAATTTTTAAAAATTACCCAGGTGAAGGGTCATGTGCCTGTAGTCCCAGCTACTCAGGAGGCGGGCTGAGGGGGGAGGATTGCTTGAGCCTGGGAGGTTAAGCTGAGGTGAGCTATGATTGGGCCACTGCACTCCAGCCTGGGTGACAAACTATGATAAAAAAAGCCCGAAACCAGGCTCTTCCAGAGGAGCTGCCGCCCCCCAGGCTCCTGCTTGGAGGCTGCCTCCACATCTGCCCACAGCCAGGCTGCCTGGGCTCCTTGGGGCACGTACCTGACGCTGTTGAGCACAGCCTTGTCCTTGGCAGGCGGTTTGGTGATGGGCCGCTTGGTGCTCACCACCTTTACGGGGTGCTGCTCCTTCCCGGCCTTGCTGTACTTGCTCTTGTCAAACTTGGGCTTTGGCACGCCGTACTTCCTCAGGATCTGTGGAGCACAGAGGCAGGGAGGAGGCTCTCAGGTTCACCTTGCGGAGCACCTGAGGCCTGGCCTGGGCACGGTTGGGATGGGCAGCTACCTGGGTGAGCTGATCCTCCAGCACCTTTTTTGGAGGCCGGACATTGGTGAAGAAGAGGTGGAGGAGGTTGCCTGGGGTCTGGGAGTTGATCTGCTCTTTGCTAAGATAAATGTCAGAGACTCTGATGGGCTTCGCTGGTGTCAGGCTCAGCGTCTGCTCTGAATGGGCACAGCTCTTAAATATTTCCGTCAGAACCTCTCTGGCCCCCGGCACCAGCTTCTCCCCTGTTGGACGGAGAGGGGGCAAAACAATTCTGCTGTGAACATGCATCGGGATAAGCCCTGCAAGCATTCTGTTTCCAAACACTGAAAGGGGCAGTGGATGGACACTAGTGGAATGGTGAGCTGCCCACCAAAGCCTGGCTCCCTCTCTGGGCACACTACCAGCACATGCCCAGCCTTTCTTGCCATCAGGGGCGGCCCTGCAACCATGGTCACTGTGGGATGTGAGCTACCCAGGGGCCAGGCTGCTCTCCTCTGTACTTGGCCCCTGCCTGGCTGCTCAGGGAGGACAGGCCCCTCCCTGAGGGTGGGTGTACCTCAGTGTTCACCCCAACTCTGACATCTGCAGGGAATTGACTTCCACTGGACTTGAGCCATTGTCCTCTTGGGGCTATTTATCATAGCAGTTTAGCCTAGAATAATCCCAGAGAATAGATAGCCAGCAAGTATTTTTAGTGGGAATTACAGTGATTGTGTTCTTAGGAAATGTGCTTCAAAATTGGTATGACAAGCTGGTGAAAGTTTTCTGAGATACAAGAAAACTGTCCAGGAGCACCAGAAAAAAATATTTTTTTGTCCCCAAACAAGCACTCCAGAAGCTGCTCTTGCCTTTCCTAAGGGCCAATCATGAACCCATCTGCATGGTCTCAGGAATTACTCCCTTCTCTTGGCAGCCTAGGCCCCTCATTCCCTCTGGCCACTCCTTCTCTTGGGGAGTCTGGCCGAGGTCAGGCCCAGCTGTGGAAACTCCAGCACATCTGGGCTGAAGGTGGGACAGGCAGGTGTGTGGAAGAGAGGGGCTGAGCCCTCAGCGGACACAGTTAAAAACCCTCACATGAAGCCAGGTTCAGTAGCTCACACCTGTAATCCCAGCACTTTGGGAGGCTGAAGCAGGTGGCTTACTTGAGGTCAGGAGTTCAAGTCCAGCCTGGCCAACATAGTGAAAACCCCGCTCTACAAAAAAATACAAAAATTTGCCAAGCATGGTGGTGTGCGACTGTAGTCCCAGCTACTCAGGAGGCTGATGTAGGAGAACTTGAACCCAGGAGGTGGAGGTTGCAGTGAGCTGAGATAGTGCCACTGTACTCTAGCCTGGGAGACTGGACTCTGAGCAAGACTCTGTCTAAGAAATAAATAAATGAAATAAAATAAAATAAATATAAAAAAACCCTTCATGATGAGCAAAATATTTACAGTGCTGTGCTGACCCATTTCGGAGCCTGAGGAAGAGAAAAGATTAGTAATGCTGATCCTATCTTTATTTAAAATGTTAACACTGCTGATCATGAATACTTTACATTAATTATGACTTTAAAAAAAACTGCACTAGAATATTATTTATCTTACTGACTGAGTTTTTTGGAGCTCCATTAAATTGCATACCTAAGACCTCATTTACCTCACCCTGATTCCGTCTCTGAGGGAACATTTCCAGATTTCATGATTGGGTAATTTTTTTTTTTTTAAGACAGGATATTGCTCTGTTACCCAAGTTGGAGTGCAGTGGCGTGATCACAGCTCACCACAGCCTCCGATTCCTGGGCTCAGGTGATCTTCCCACCTTAGCCTCCTGAGTAGCTAGGATTACAGGCACGTGCCACCATACCCGGCTTATTTTAATTTTTGTAGCGACAAAGTTTCTCTATGCTGCCCAGTCTGGTCTCAAATTCCTCAGCTCAAGCAATCCTTTTGCCTTGGCCTCCCAAAGTGCTGGAATTACAGGCATGAGCCACTGTACCTAGCCTGGGGCAATACTTTTAAACAACAAAACCTCTACTCAGTATTACATTTTTGGGCTTGGTGCAATGGTTCATACCTGTAATTCCAGCACTTTGGGAGCCCGAGGTGGGCAGATCACTTGAGGTCAGTAGTTTGAGACCAGCCTGGCCAACGTAATGAAATCCCACTTCTACGAAAAATACAAAAATTAGCTGGGTATGGTGGCATGCACCTGTAATCCCAGCTATAGGGGATGCTGAGGCTGGATAATTGCTTGAACCTGGGAGATGGAGGTTGCAATGAGCTGAGATCGCACCACTGCGCTCCTGCCTGGATGACAGAGAGAGACTGTCCCCACCCCCCCAAAAAATTACATTTTTCTACTTCATAAACACAGAACAACATACCAACTCTATGATAAAATTTCAAACATTAAAGAATTAGATTAAGGCCCGTGTGGTGGCTCACGCCTGTAGTCCCAAAACTTTGGGAGGCCAAGGCTGGAGGACTGCTTGAGCCTAGGAGTTTGAGACCAGCCTGGGCAACATAGGAAGACCCTCTCTGTATGAATAATAAATAAAACTTTTTTATAAAAGGAAAACATTTTAAAAAGAAAGAAGGAATAAAAGCAGAAAAGAAAAGAGGAATTAAAAACAATTACTGAGGAAACAGACAGTCTGCTCCACAAAAGAGCCACCAAAATGGCAAAAGCTAGCAAATGGGACTTTGGAGAGAAAAGGGCTGGAACTGTTTCTTCCCCAAGAGTCAGTTTTATAAGGGAGAGGCATGAGCTGTTCTTAAGCATATGACCAAATAAACCAGCAATATTCATTCTAGCTGCATAGGACAGAACCAGATAAATACACTTGCACTTGAACCAGGGGAAGCCTGGCTACACAAAAAGGAAAAAATGACTTGAATACAAGCCCACATTCAAGCCTGTTGCAGGTGGCGCAAAGCCACCCCTGGTAGCCTCTCCAGCTGGAATGCAGCAGGCAGGGGCTGCCCCCATGGCCTTCAGTGTCCTGACAGCTGGGAGAGGGTAGGAACATTCTTTTCATATCATACAAAGATGCATACAATCAACTCCCACTGGCCAACAATGGAGTCTCTTATCCCGTCTCCCCAGCACTCTCTGAATCATTTTCAAAATCTGCAACCCAGGAGTAGCTGCCAAGATCCTCTTTAATGCAAGATGTTAAAAATAGGGGACACTGGCCTTTTGGCCGGAACCACCATCTTCCAGTAATTGGCCAAAATGACGAACACAAAGGGAAAGAGGAGAGGCACTCGATACATGTTCTCTAGGCCTTTTAGAAAACATGGAGTTGTTCCTTTGGCCACGTATATGCGAATCTATAAGAAAGGTGATGTTGTGGACATCAAGGGCACGGGTACTGTTCAAAAAGGAATGCCCCACAAATGTTATCATGGCAAAACTGGAAGAGTCTACAATGTTACCCAGCGTGCTGTTGGCATTGTTGTAAACAAACAAGTTAAGGACAAGATTCTTGCCAAGACAATTAATGTGCATGTTGAGCACATCGAGCACTCTAAGAGCCGAGATAGCTTCCTAAAACGTGTGAAGGAAAATGGTCAGAAAAAGAAAGAAGCCAAAGAGAAAGGTACCTGGGTTCAGCTGAAGCGCCAGCCTGCTCCACCCAGAGAAGTGCACCGTGTGAGAACCAATGGGAAGGAGCCCGAGCTGCCAGAACCTATTCCCTATGAATTCATGGCATGATAGGTGGGGAAAAAAATAAAAGACCTCTGGACTGTTAAAAAAAAAAAAAGCGGGGGGGGGGGACACTGGGGAGGGAAGGAATTTTAATACAATTTCTTTTCTGTAAGCCTGAAATTGCTCCACAAAAAGTCTACAGATAAAAAAAAAATCCAGAACCCACCTTTAATTGACTTATCATTGAAATAATCTTCTAACCCTGGACTCCCCTGAGTATCAAAGAGACTCTGATTTACTACAGACACGGTTAGAATCTCTTCCGTTGACATTTCCATCAATTCATCTTCACCATCCAAACTTGACAAACCAATCAAATCATTATTGTTAAATAAACTTGCTCGAATTTTTTCAACTTTGGCTCGGGATCTTATCTGTGTGAATAGAGAACAGGGTCAGGATTTGAGTAGCATGACCAGTCATTCAGTATGATTGAACTTCTCCCTCCCACCTTTTCCTGGCAACTCTCTATTGGTCTGGAGAGATGCAAGAGCTGCCCGACTTGGGTGAGCTGGACCTCCTGGGGAACTTTCTCCCACAGGCCAACAACAGCGACTTTTAGCAAACAACTCAACCTGAAATGTCTGCCGCTAAACCCCGCCCAGGTCTGTGGCTTTACTCTGATTCCCAGGGAGTAAAAATCCATGCCTGGCTCTAAGGAAGTCCCCACAAAGGAGGATGATGGATTCAAAGAAGTGATTCTAGGAAAGAAACCAACTGCTTGATCCCTGAACCCTCCTTGCAGAACCTGCTGGGAGAGTAACGCATGCCAGTTCCCTATGTGTACTATTATACAACAGTACAGAAAGGCTTTGATGCAGGATTTCTAAACTGCGAGACCTAGGAAACACCTGGAAAGTGGAAGTATGACTTGCCAGCACTTAGGTCATCTGAAACTCAGAATGGCAGGAGTCTATTCTCACAGTGCTCAGTGAACATCCCTTCTGCCAATGGCAGCACCCAAAAGAACTGAAGGCCACTCAAGATGATATGATGGGGCTGAGTCAGAATGCACTGATGGCATTCACCCACCTACCATGGAAGGCCAGGCCCTGAGCCCTCTGCCTCCTTTACTTTGTGACATGGAACTTGGTATCACTCTCAGAGATGTCATCCTAAGCAGACTCACTGGTTCATTCTAAGGGTTGCCCCAGGGAGCCTCCAAGTGCTCCACCATTATCTACTAGAAAATAACTTCGGAAGGTTTAAAGAGGCTTGGGGGATTGAAATCAGTCATGATTTAGTGGTTGTGCATGCCTGAGAGCTGTTACCTCCACAACTGCAAAGCCTTTGATGGGGCGTGCCACAAGGGGCTGGTTGTCCAGGGAAGTGACTGTGTACATGGAGCCCATGTCTGACACCGAGGCCGTCTCTGCATTGTCCAAGGGCTCACCCAGGCTGCCCAGGCTGCCCAGGCTGCCAGTGCTGCACAGGGAAATGTCTAGGCTCTCCTGGCTGGACACCACGTGGGGCTCCAATAGGCCTGGAGGAATGGGCAGCTCGAGGCCGGCGGGCAGCGGATCCACAGAGAGGTCACTGATGGTCTGCGAGATGCCCTGGGAGCTGCAGATGGAGGCCTGGCTGGTGGAGGCAGAGGCGCTGATGCTCATGGCGGGAGTCAGGCTGCTGGATGTGCTGACCTCCATGCTGTCTGTGCTGGGGAAGGCCAGCGTCTTCTCAGGCTCGGCTTTCCCTTCCCCGCCCTCGGCCTTGTCTTTCGGCTTCTTGGGGTCTTCTTCCTGCAGTGGGATGTAGATCTCATCTTTGAAGACCCCGCCATGGGCGTTGCAGGCCTTGCGGATGGCACCTCTGACCACACCCTCATCCAGGTGGGTGGGGATCCCGGAGATCACCAGCAAGCGGCTGTGGGCGGTGGGGCCCACCAGGGCCTGGCAGGCATCAGCAATGGCATCACTCGTCACGCCCAGCCCCTGTGGGTCCTTCCTGGTGAGGTGGCGGAGGATGATGAGCAGGGTGAGTGCACGGTGGAACCACAGCATGTCCTCGGGCTTGCTGCCTCCGATGCTGAGCACAGTGGGGTCCGAGTCCACCGTGCGGGAGGACTGCCGCTTGCCCGACGAGGAGGCCTTTTCCCGCTTCATCTTGACTTTCTTCCTCTTGGAGAGGAGGCTGGGACTTTGTGGGGTCTGTCCTGGGGAGGACGAGGAGGAGGAGGATGAGTCGCTGAGATTTGGGGCAGTTGCTGAGGTCACCCCGCTGGCTGTGACACTCATGTTAGTAGGCAGGGTCACTTCAGCCACCGCCAGGCACCCTTCCATAAGTGCATGAAAATATGTAGAGAATCTGCCCTGATCACCAGCCACTGCCCCTCCAGAGCCCCCACAAGCGCTGCCTGAGACCCAGTTCTGCGTCTCCTCATCGTATAGCTTGTGGAGCTCTGACTGCAAGGCCATCAGCATAGCCAGGCAGGGGTTCAGCTGGAGGGCGATGGAAGAGGACAGGCCAGCAGGATGCCGCCTCTGCTCCAGGGCATGCACTGTGCGCAGGAGCTCCGCCAGGAGATGGAAAACAAGCTCCTTCACGCAGGCTGCCATGTCTGTGGTCCACAGGAAGTTTCCTAAGGCAAATGAAAATAACAGCAATTACTATGCAGCACTCCCTATGTTCTAGGCACTGTTCTGAGCCTGGATTCAACCCCCATAACAACCCTGTGAACAGTGACTATGCAATTCGGTTCCTTCTTACAGTTGGAGAAACAGAGGCTCGGAGATGGAGGCCTGGCTGGAGGTCACACAGCTACCAGACAGAGAGCTGGGATTCGGAGCTGGCAGGTGGCTCCAGAGGTGACAGCACACTGAAATGGTACTCCTTTTAAACTCCTCTTTTAGTCCATTTTTGCCAATAAGAAAGTCTTACTTTGAGGCTGGCATATTCTTTTTTCTTTTTTTTGAAACAAGATCTTGATCTGTCACCCAGGCTGGAGTGCAGTGGTACAATCACAGCTCACTGCAGTCTCAACCTCCTATGCTCAAGCGATACCTCAGCCTCCTGAATAGCTGGGATTACAGGTGTGTGAGACCATGCCCAGCTGATTTTTGTATTATATTTTTCTTTCATAGAGATAGTTTTCATGATTCGCCACGTTATCCAGGCTGGTCTAGAACTCCTGGGCTCAAGTGATCCTCCCACCTCAGCCTCTCAAAGTACGGGGTTTGTAGGTGTGACCCACTGTGCCTGGCCATGAGGCTGGCATATTCTTTTTGTTTTTTTGATAAAATTTTTTTCTTTAATAATTTTTAAAGCTGCTTTGTTTTTTTGTTTCTTGAGACGGAGTCTGTCTCTATCGCCCAGGCTGGAGTGCAGTGGGGCAATCTTGGCTCAGTGCAACCTCTGCCTCCCAGTTAAAACCTGAAGTAATTCTTGTGCTTCAGACTCCAGAGTAACTTGGATTATAGGCGTGTGCCACGACACCCAGTTAATTTTTGTATTTTTAGCAGAGATGGGTTTCATAATGTTGGCCAGGCTGGTTTTGAACTTCTGGCCTTAAGTGGTCCACGTGCCTCAGCTTCCCAAAGTGCTGGGATTACAGGCCTGAGCCACTGCACCTGGCCAAGGCTGGCATATTCTTTTTTTTTTGAAGATAGAGTTTCACTCGTTGCCCAGGCTTGAGTGCAGTGGCACGATCTTGGCTCACCATAACCTCTGCCTCCCAGGTTCAAGCGATTCTCCTGCCCCAACTTCCCAAGTAGCTGGGATTATAGGCATGTACTACCACGCCTGACTAATTTTCTATTTTTAGTAGAGATGGGATTTCTCCATGTTGGTCAGGGTGGTCTTGAACTCCTGACCTCAGGTGATCCACCCACCTTGGCCTCCCAAAGTGCTGGGATTACAGGCATGAGGCAACAGCACCCTGCCAGCTGGCATATTCTTTTTTTTTTGGGGGGTGGGGACACAGCCAAAGCTGGCATATTCCTAACAAAGAGTGGGCCAGAGTCCCAGTGCCTTTGACAGTGAACAGCATTCAGCTAGATTTTTGTGACAGCAACTATTTTCTTTGAATATATGTATGTATGAATGGATGGATAGCTGGATTGATAAGTTGATTGAGACAGGGTCTCATTGTGTTGCCTTGGCTGGTCTCGAACTCCTGGCCTCAAGCCATCCTTCTACCTCAGCCTCCCAAAGTGCTGGGATTACAGGCATGGGACACCAGGCCTGGCCTGTATTTCTTTTTACTGATGCCTTTTAATTATGCCAAGGGATACTAATTTTGTATTTAGAGAAGTGATGTAAAGGCTTCTTTTATTTATTTATTTATTTATTTATTTTTTATTTTTTATTGGATTATAGGTTTTGGGGTACATGAGCAGAGCATGCAAGACAGTTGCGTAGGTACACATATGGCAGTGTGCTTTGCTTTTCTTCTCCCCTGTAAAGGCTTCTTTAAAACTAAATTTAAATTTTAAAAAAGGAGGCGTTGATTGCAATAGAAACTGTTAAATAAATGCTGCTGGGTGCAGTGGCTCAATCACGCCTGTAATCCCAGCACTATGGGAGGCCAAGGCAGGTGGGTCACCTGAGGTCAGGAGATTGAGACCAGCCTGGTTAACATGGTGAAACCCTGCTTCTACTAAATAGAAAAAAAATTAGCCAAGTGTGGTGGCAGACGCCTGTAATCCCAGCTACTTGGGAGGTTGGGGCAGGAGAATTACTTGAACCCGGAGACAGAGGTTGCAGTGAGTCGAGATCGAGCTACTACACTCCAGCCTGGGTGACAGAGCAAGACTCCATTTCGAAAAAATAAAATAAGTAAATAAATGCTGATAGGCACAATTTGTGGATGTGGCAACAATCATATAATGGTGGCATGATAATGACTAAAGTTTGGGAAACACCGTCTAGAACCACAAGATGGACCGCACATTTGTGCCAAGGTCTCCTTTGTACCAGATGCATATCTCACATTCACATATTCATGTGACCTGGATCTCAGTAGAAAGAGAGAAAGCTCATGTATGTCAGACCTGATTAGGGATCATGAACATTTAAAGCCTGCATCCCACAGAGCCAGCTGAGCCCTCATCCTGCAAGAAAGCCTGCAGTTCACTACATCCATATGGCTATCGTACGGGATAAAAGATCACTGGCCAGGGGAATCCCAAGGGCCTGCTGAAGCTGACTTACTAAGTCCAGCACCTATCAACGAGGGGACCAAGCTTCCTGTTCTCTCAGGACTGACACTGCCTGCGAAATCTGGTTGGAAATAAGTTTGTGACTGTCCTGGAACATGGGCTCTCATAGAACCTTCACAGAGGACAGATGTCCATGCTCCTCTCTCTGCTGGGGCACAGTGAAGGGTCTCAGATGCCAGAACTATTCATGTCACCTCGGTTGTCTTTGCTTTACCATTTAACATTCATGTAAGATGACCTTGGAGAGAATTCTTAACCAAAATTGCACATGGCAGCCTATGAGCTAAAACTCATTCCCAGACAGTGTTCCCTGCTTACGTTCCTCTTATCCACTCCCTGGGTATTTTTTATTTTTTGCAGAGATGGGGTCTGGCTATGTTGCTCCATATCCTGAACTCAAGCAATCATCTTGCCTCAGCTTCTCGAAGTGCTGGATTACAGGTGTGAGCCACTGTGCTTGGCCCTCCTAGGGTATATTAAAGAATTTGACTTGGTTGCCAACACTTAAAAATTGGGAAATTTACATCAACATTTGGATTCCTGGATTTTCTTGAAATAAGAAATTACAGTTCTGCAGGAGCAGGGCCACGTTCTCCTATAGTAGCAGGTGACAGGGCATGTGTCCCTGGTGCCTCCAGCTCACCAAAGTCCCTCCCCCTCCCCCGCCAACTTTCCTCTTTATTTCCCTCATTTAGCTGATCTGTTTGAACCCTGAAGGCATCTGAGTGTGCAATGTTTTCTTCCCTGCAACATTATGAAAAAGTCCAAAAATATAGAAAACCTGATGAAATTATACAGCAAATACCTGTGTACTTGTCACCTAGATTACACCATAAGCATGTTGCTATATTTACTCTACCACACATCTATCCACCCCTCTATTCATCCACAAACCCATCTTAGTTTTTTATTATTTCAAAGTAAGTTGTGGACATCAGTATGCTTCATCCCTGAACACTTAAGCAGGCATATCATTGATTAAAGTTTAATATTTATTTAGAATTTGTTGAGGTAAATTTGCATATGGTAAAATGCACAATTTTATGTTTATCATTCCATGAGTTCTGCAACTTTTCTGACCCTTTGAGGAACTATGCAGTTATAACCTTTGATTTTGCAACGTTGTTTACTTCCACAGCACCCTTCACACCTAAAGTTATAATAATGACCTATACTTCTGTTTTAAAGTAAAGTGGATAAAATTAATCTTATTTTTGTGGTTAGTTGCCACTCCTCAAAATAATGAAAATATCTGCCAAATCATGGATTTGGGAGTATAGGCTGTACCTTAAGATCCATTCCCCAAGCCCACTTCAAATGACAGCAATCTGAAGAAGGCTACAGTTGCCTGGGCTACCTGAGGCCACTCCCTATGCCACCTGGCAAGCTTACTGAGGTACCATGCCAGCTGCACCCCAACCCTAGATTCCAATCCCCAGGGAAGGCAGCCTCACCTAATAGTTCCACCACCTGCAGGAGGACAGATGTCGGAATGGTGTCAGGCTCATCTTCGGATTTCCCTTCACTGTCCTCTGATTTCCAGGAAAGCAGCTGCTCTGCGAAGGCCATAGCCAGTGGGAATTCCAGGGGCAGGGAATGTAACACCAGGACCGCTCCAGGAGGTGGAGACACCCCTGCAAGAAACACCCAGGAAGAAAGCAGGTGATTGGCAGCAGCTGATCCAAATAATACCCACAAAAGGACCTGCTGGGTGTGTAGGTAGAAACAGGGCTAGAGAGCCCACCCACTCATCTGCTCCAGGAGGAGGACACATAACTCCTGACACCCTGGACAGTGGGCTGCAGGGACACGAGGTGATGGAAGCCATCCTTCCAGGGAGTCCACTTACTAAGGTGGATTTGGCAGTGGGATGAAGGGCATGATGGGAACAGAGGAAGACACACACTTGTCATTCAGTTAGATACCAACCAAAATGGGGACAGTAAGTCATACTTTAAAAGATGCCTCACTGGGATATTCCCAGCTTGGCAAAAAAAAAAAAAATCAGTCCTTTAGTATGGCTGCAATATCACTAAGACCATTATGCTTATACAGTGGACCAGCAAGGGGCCCCCAAGACTTAAGACTACTGGCACCTCGGATTTGATTCTCTTTTATCACCTTTTGTCACTGCCGTGAACTACGTGTGACCTAAACTGTCTACAGTGAAAGGAAGACGGTCCCAAGGCTTGATCCCCCTCTCATCCAGCCCTGTACCCCAAACCCCTCTATAAAAACCAGTTGAACAGAGGCTTTGGACAAGTCAGGAGCAAACCATGTTAGCTTGTGTACTTTGGGGTGAATGTTTACATGGTGATAATAGTGGAATGACAGAGATCCTGTTTTAAATGTAAAGTTTGAAAAGTAGCGAGTATAGGCAAGATACTATGAAAAACAAACTGAAAAAAAAGGCTATAAAGTTGTTTAGCAATGATCAGATCACTTAAGAAATGTCCTTTCATTTTATTCCCTAAGATGCAGTGTCTCAAGGACCGGGGCTGCAGAGAAGCCCAGGCCCATCACTTTGGCTAAAAGTTCATGTGTTTTCTGTCTCTGCCAAACACGTGTCAGTCTTTTCCTGTCAAGCATGCTGAGGAGGAGCAGTGGAGGCCTGTGATGAGGATTTCCTTTCCTTTCTGTGTTGACTCAGACACAGAGCCAGCAGGCCTTGGTGCATACAAAGGACAGGCAGTGACAGCTTCAAGGCATGCAGAGCCAGAGCCCTCATCTAACTCTAAAACCTTGGAGGCTTCAAAAAATGCCCAGGAGATGAGAGCAATCGAGCTCCCAGTTAGATGAGGAGCAGACGCTCACAGGGAACCATGTTGAGAATTGGGTTAATGAGAATTCAAGGAACGGCAACTGGTATTATAACAGCCTGAGCCTGCTGTAAGGATATGATTGCCCTGGTTATATCATTTTAAACAGGCATATCTCAGCACACACTTGTGGAAAGAAAGGAAAGCACTGTAGTCTGGACAGCAGCTGCCAGGCCTTCCCTAAGCAGGAAAGACAAGTCTTTTAATTTACTGCCTCTAAAAGAAGCAGCAGTTTCTTTTAGAAGAAGTCTCAAGAAGTCCTATTCTTTATCAATAGGAATTAGAACATGCAAGGTACAAAATTCATTGTAGCTTCAAAAAGAAGGCAAGCAGAGAATGACTCTAGCTGTTCTCATCACCACGAGCTCCTGGAGACTCACCCAATTTGATGTGGACTCTGTCTGTGGAAAGAACCACAGAGGGGTACTGGTCGGCGGTGGGGGGAGGTGCGAGCCCAGTGTTGGCCGGGGACGCATCCCGTGGGTAACAGGCGGCCTCGATGAGGTTCAGCTGTCCATTTCGCTTCACTTTGTGGCCAAGGCCATATACGAGCACCCGTGCCCACGGTGCCTTGTATAAAGAGGAGCTGAGAAGGAGGGATGGGTGTTAATACAGGGTCCAGGCACACACACGGGGACAGGCAGCACTGGCTTCTCACCAGGGGATGTTAGATGAGAACTGGGCCCAAGTCATTTCCACCATACTTTAGAAGTTCATTCTTTATAGACTAATTCCCCAAACACAGAAATACGGAAAGAACTGTAGGTCATTTGCATTAAAGAATCAAAGTGATTTGAATTGTTTTCCTTGGGAAGTTTAACCAGAATTCATTTAGTTTTCCTCTCCCCATCACCATCTTCTTAAGAACAGACAACTTACTCTTTGCGGAATCCAGATTGACTTTCTTTACAAGACACAACAACAAAAGCTGCCCCGGGAAAATTCACGTCCATGTTGACTTTGGACTCGGAAATTGGGAACTCTTCAGAGGGGAACTGCTCTGGTGCTGTCTGCAAAGAGACACTGAATAAGGAGAGCCATGGGCTAAACACAGGGACAGTATCTCATCTTCTCATCTTACAAGGCCCAGGAAATCAGCCAAACAACTAACTAGTCCTCTGGAAGGAAGCAAGCTACAGTTGAGATAAAGCAGAAGACTTTCTACGAAAAGGAAATCGAGAGAAATGGGGATTTGGAGGGGAAAGGAGAGTCATTTTCAGCAAGCCAGTGAGACTCCCAGTTAAAAATGGTAACCACAGTGAAGGGACATTAGCTTTAGACTTCTACCTGCAGGAAAGAGCAGATCTGTTTTGTCAGCTCTAAAAGGCTCTCCTCGCCCTGGTGCAGGGTCCGGGTGATGGCCACATTGAGCCACTCTCTCACTGTCTGGGAGTTGCCCTGGTAAAAGAGGTCCGTGGCGGAGCAGTTCTGGGAATGGATGCAATGCTGCAGAGACTGTGCCAGGAGGATTGAGCTGGAGCTAATGGTGCCATCTGGGGACAGAAAGGAAATAGAAGTTGACAAGAATCAAAGCAGCCAGTAGCTGTGAGTCTTAGTAACAGACAATGAACAACCCATTCAGATACTCCACATGGGAGTGTTATCCCGGATACGATATCCTGGATAACAGAAGCCAGCAATCAGATCCTCTGCACCAGGATGGCAGAGGGGGACCCAGGAGATCAATGGGCTTCAGACTTCTGCTTTCTTTTCAGCTATGAAACTGCTTCCTAAAATAAAACCTCACACAGAGGCCCCGATCTATGAAATAGATCAAATGGGGCTGCTTGGGTCCAGTGGTTCTCAGAGCCTGACCTGTGTGACCACCCTGGCGCCTGCAGGGTACCACAGGGCAGAGCCTGTAGAGAAGTTTGTTAGATCATCGTGGCAAAGCTTCTGCCACCACATTTGATGCTTTCCAGGTATCTAAGTTCTTGGGGTGGGCTGTGGACCCCAGGTACTCAAATGGGCCAGTAGAGATGTAGTGCACATATGCCCTGGCTGGGTCAGACCCCAGAGCTGTGAGTTGGAGGGCAGCTACCCAGGATGCTGACTGAACTTGGAACGTGATCTGCAGTGAGCTTTGAGGGGTGCCCCTGCTGGCCTCACCTCTTGTTCCCATCTGAGTTGCTGGGAGATCAAGGGGGCAGGCTGGAGGCTGAGATGCCAGAAGAAGACAGAAAGGGCCCCTCAGTCCTGGACTGGGCTTATCACCTGGCATTCACTGGGGAGCAGACATAGCTCTCATGCCAAGGGGCACACAGGCTGGCTTTGGGAAACAGCTCCACCAGAACTCATGATGAACCAAATAGGTCTGCTTTGGAAGACACTGATGACAGGAACATTCGCTTTCTAATGTCAAATAGAATGTCTGTGGCAACAATACAGTGACCTGGTTTCATAAATAATAGTTAATTTTCCTTGGTCCACAATTATCTTGGGAAGCTCGATGAATGCTTAACAGAGTAATGACTCAAGTGAGTAATCCATTACATTTATCTAAGAGTGAGAAAGCCCTGCCAGGAGAATCCCAGTTCCTGGATGCAATTTCTCACGTGAGCCTATGCGCACCATGAGGCACTTCTTGTCCTCATGTGGGGAATGATTACACTATGTATAGCGCCTGCCTGGTGCTGAGTTCCAGAGTGACAGCAGCAAAGCTGAGTTTTACCTGGGAGGGGAGGTGCAAGGAGCTGACTGGACAGCAGCTGCAGGTGCTCCAGTGTAATGTCCCGGATGGCAGGAATGTGGAAGAGGCGGGTGAACAAGTGAGGCAGCTTGGGGGCGAAGATATTGAGTAGGGCCATGCGGCAGTACAGCCTGGCCAGCGCAGCCTCGCAGCGCAGCAGCTCCCTGCAAAGGAAAAGGTAGGTGAGATGCTCAAATCCCTGATGCTCCGGCCCCCACATCGCAGGTTCTGAAGGGAAAGGATCCCGTGTCATGCTTCTCTTCCAGCCCAATGTTGCAAATTCCAAGGGAGTCACTTGAATTTTAAACAAAAGTCACATTTAGTTATATTGTTGTTTGGTTTTTCCCAGCTCAAAAAAGCACTGTAGGGAAAAAAGTAAAAATACATGTCCACACAAAAACTTGTTCATGTATGTTCATCGTAACATTATTCACAATAGCCCAATAGTGGAGAGAACTCAAGTGTCCATTAACTCAATGGTAAGTCTATATAATGGAGTATTATTCAGCCATCAAACAGATGAAAGATTGATACATGTCACAACAGGAATAAACCTTGAAACATCATGTTCACTGAAAGACACCAGATACAAAGGTCCATATATTGAATTCCATTTCTATAAATTGTCCAGAGGACAATGCATAGAAACAAAAAATAGACTGGTGGTTGTTAGAAGACCGTGGGAAAGGAGGATGGGAAATAACTGCTGTGGGTATGGGTGATAAAAATGTTCTATAATTGATTGTGGTGATGGTTGGAAAACTGTGTGAATATAATAAAAACCACTGACTTGTGTATTTTAAATGGGTGAATTGTATGGTATGTAAATTATATCTCAATGAAGCTATTATAAAAATACCATTGTGGGCATTTTTTTACGTGAAGAATTTGTAAGGTGATTGTCATTCAATTTGAATAAGTTAGTGCCTAAGCAGGTCTTAGGGGCCAGCTGCAATGGCTTATACCTATAATTCCAGCACTTTGGGAGGCCAAGGCAGGAGGATCACTGAGGCCAGGAGTTTGAGACCAGCCAGGGCAACACAGTGAGACTCCCGCTCTACAAAAAATAAAAATTGCCCTGTAGTCTCAGCTACTCAGGAGGCTGAGGTGGGAGGACTGCTGAGCCCAGGAATTGGAGGCTACAGTGGACTATAACTGTGCCACCACAAGCCAGTCTGGGTGACACAGCAAGACTCTGTTTCTAAAAAAACAAACAACCTGGTCTAGGAAGAAACTTCTTGAATGAAAACAACAACAACAACAACAACAACAAACAACCTAGGACCCAAACGCACTCTGAACCAAATGGGGCCATTTGATATTCCTCATGACCCTAATCAAATTTAATGCTGGTGTATCATAATTCAAATTAAAGAAACAACCCAACATGGAACACTTGATGAGTGTATGTGTGAAGTGAAGATAAAAAGAAGACAGCTAAGAAACAACATCATAGCTGGTTTCTTCCTTATCAACACCAGTCTGTGTGGTTCTCATGCCAGGATGCACAATAAACTCACTTCTCCTGTCTCCTCCCTCCTTGGAAGCCCGTGTGTTACTGCATTAACTAAGCAATGAAGACTACGACAGCAAAACTTGTGAGGATTCAATGGGAAAGCTGAGAACCCCACGGTTCTCCCCATGGCTTTCACCTCAGACTTTATAGGCCAAAGTTACCAGGGACGGAGCTGTTTGTTTTCTTGGGCTTTTTTGAGATGGGGTCCCGTTGCCCAGACTGGAGTGCAGTGGTATGATCACAGCTCACTGCAGCCTTGACCTCCTGGGCTCAATCATCCTCCCACTTTAGCTTCTTGAGTAGCTGGGACTACAGGTATGTGCCATTGCTCCTAGCTGATTTTTTCTTATTTTTGTAGAGACAGGGGTCTCTCTCCCCTCTCCCCTCTCCCCTATCTCTCTCTCTCTCCTTTTTTTTTTTTTTTGAGATGGAGTCTCGCTCTGTCACTAAGGCTGGAGTTCAGTGGCCTGATGCCAGCTCACTGCAACCTCCACCTCCCAGGTTCAAGCAATTCTCCTGCTTTGGCCTCCCAAGTTGCTGGCATTACAGGCATGTGCCACCATGCCTGGCTGATTTTTGTATTTTTAGTAGAGACAGGGTTTTACCATGTTGGCTAGGCTGGTCTCAAGCTTCTAACCTCAAGTGATCCACCCACTTCAGCTTCCCAAAGTGCTGGGATTACAGGTGTGAGCCATTGTGCCCAGCTGAGACAGGGTCTCTCTCTGTTGCCCAGGTTAGTCTTAAACTCCTAGACTCAAATGATCCTCCTGCCTTGGCCTCTCAAAGTGCTGGGATTATAGCCACAAGCCACGCCTGGCTATGAGCTTGTTTTGGGTCTGACTTGTAGCCCCTGTTTGGACAATGTACACTGCTAATGCCTCTGAAGCCACTGCTGAGAGGCCCTTTAGCCTGTTCTCCAAAGTCCTATTTATTTATTTAATAATAATATTTTTTGTTTTTATTATTTTTATTTTTTCTATAAAGACAGAGTCTTAATATGATGCCCAGACTGGCCTTGAACTCCTGGGCTCAAGAAATCCTCCCACCTCAGAGTCCCAAAATGTTGGGATTACAAGTATGAGCCCCTATACCTGGCCAGCAATAAAAATTTTTTAAAAACATTAAATTTGCCATCTTAATAATTTTTAAGTGTACAGTTCAGTAGTGTTAAATATATTCATTTTTATTTATTTATTTTTTAAATGGCATTTTAGGTTTTGGGGTACATGTGAAGAACATGCAAGACTGTTGCATAGGTACACACATGGCAGTATGATTTGCTGCCTTCCTCCCCATCACCTATATCTGGCATTTCTCCCCATGCTATCTCTCCACAACTCCTCAGCCCCTGCTGTCCATCCCCTATTTCCCTCCGACAGACCCCAGTGTGTGATGTTCCCCTCCCTGTGTCCATGTGTTCTCATTGTTCAACACCCACCTATGAGTGAGAACATGTGGTGTTTGATTTTCTGTTTTTCTGTCAGTTTGCTGAGAATGATGGTTTCCAGGTTCATCCATGTCCCTACACGAACTCATCATTTTTGATGGCTGCATAATATTCCATGGTGTATATGTGCCACATTTTCCCTGTCCAGTCTATCATTGATGGGCATTTGGGAATGGGTTTGTTTTTTTCTTGTAAATCTGTTTTAGTTCTTTGTAAATTCTGGATATCAGCCCTTTGTCAGATGGGTAGACTGCAAAAATTTTTTCCCATTCTGTTGGTTGCCGATTCACTCTAATGACTGTTTCTTTTGCTGTGCAGAAGCTGTGGAGTTTGATTAGGTCCCATTTGTCTATTTTGGCTTTTGTTGCCAATGCTTTTGGTGTTTTGGTCATGATGTTCTTGCCTACGTCTATGTCCTGAATGGTTTTGCCTAGATCTTCTAGGGTCTTTATGGTGTTAGGGCTTATGTAAAAACAATATTTTAAACAAGGTCTTGCTCTGTTGCCCAGGTTGGAGGACATCCTTGAACTCCTGGGTTCAAGCAATGCTCTCGCCTCAGCCTCCCAAGTAGCTGGGACTATAGGTGTGTACCACCAAGCACAGCAAACCAAAGTCTTCTTTAAAACCACTGTGAGCCCTTTAGCACAGAATACAACCTTGATGAAAATCTATGCTAGGACCAGAAATCCAACCACTGAATGAACACACAGATCTGCATGGCATGCTTCCTACGTTCTCCAATACCAAGACAACTGCATTAACACTGAGAGTAAATGTCCCACACTTGTAAGCTGATTGTAATACAAGGACTTTCTTGCCTTCTCTCTCAGTTGTTAGTCAGCAGTCAACAGGTTTCATCTATCAAAGATGTTTGCTAAAAAATATGACCAAAAGACTTATTAAATAAAGCTTTAAAAGCTTTTAATAATACCATGTTGATATTTAGACATGTATGTTTGGGGACCCTTTTCAGCACCTAGTTTGAGTCTACACTGTGTGTCAGGGCCTAGCTTAGGCAATGGGGACTCTAGCAAAGAATAAAACAAAACCTCTGTTTTTAGGAAGTTTATATTCTAGAAGGAAGGGATACATGAACTTTTTTTTTTTTGGCTGGAGTGCTCAGCTCACTGTAACCTCTGCCTCAAGTGATTCTCATGCCTCACCCTTCCGAGTAGCTGGGAGCATAGGCACATGTCACCAGACCTGGCTAATCTTTGTATTTTTAGCAGAGATGGGGTTTCACCATGTTGGCCAGGCTGGTCTTGAACTCCTGGCCTCAAGTGATCCGCCCACCTGAGCCTTTCAAAGTGCTGGGATTACAGGTATAAGCCACCAAGCCCAGCCCACAGGAACAAATTTTAACAAACAAGTGAAATAACAGCAGTAAAAATGTCAGGTTCTGGGAGAGCATTAAAATAATGTAATTTCACAACAAAGAGCAAAGGCAGAGCTTTTTGAAGAGGTGACTATTCACTGAGATCTAAATTACAGAAAGACAGCCAGGGGATCTCCGGGCCATCCCTAAAGAAGAAGCATACTTGCTGTGCGAGCACTAAAGAGAGGCCGCCAGGCTCAGAGGCTCCCATGGGTTTTGTGAGGCAGGTTAGGGTTTGAATCTACTTCATGAGAAGATCTGCATTAGAGGAGGGAGAGCTGATTTCTGTGTCTACAAGATTGCTCCGGCTGTTGTGGAGAGGAGAGCTGAGGCCTAGGCTGTTGTGGTGGAGGTGGGAATGGAAACTTGTGCAGGTGGGGACATATTTTGCAATTGTCAACAGCACTTGCTGATAGCTTTCCTGAGCAAAAAGGATGGCTCATGGTGCTCTTCCAGATATGGGGAGGCCAGTGGCAGAGGAGAATTTTGGGGAAAAATTCAGATTCTATCTCACATGCTAGATTTTAGGGGGTTATAAGATGATTTGTGAGTTAAGGGTCAACAAAACTCTATCCTTGTCTACCTCAGAACTGCCCTTGTTTAAGCTTTTTTTTCTTTTTTCTGAGACGGAGTCTTGCTCTATTGCCAGGGCACGATCTCGGCTCAATGCAACCACCTTCTCCAGGGTTCAAGCAATTCCCCTGACTCAGCCTCCTGAGTAGCTGGGACTACAGGTGCATGCCACCATGCCCAGCTAATTTTTTGTATTTTAATGGAGACGGGGTTTCACCATGGCCAGGATGGTCTCAATCTCTTGACCGCGTGATTCACCCGCCTTGGCCTCCCAAAGTGCTGGGATTAAAGGTGTGAGACACTGCGCTCAGCCCGGGTAAGCTGTTTTAAAGTCAGTTCTTCTGAAAACCTGACAAAGAATGTCAGCAACATCACGAGGCACCGCTTATGATACTAGTGGACCCATCACAGGCAAGCTGTGTCTAAATGGGGAGGATTGTGAAGAAGGACATTCTTGGTAAGAAGCCACAGCTTCGAGGCTTCTGGAGCATGGTAATGCTTGTAACTGGGCATGCCTCTTGCTGGAATCCCTGGATTCCCTGCCTGTGGAGCATTCACAAGAGATATTAGCTCGGATTAGGACACGGGGTTGTTCAGCCACCGACCGCAGGAACCCTGCTGTGGAACATTTCTCCACACCTGAGTTGACATGTGCGTGGGTGTGTAGGTGGGGTGAGTGACTAGCCCCTGAACTTCTATGTGGACGACTGTTGAATAAACATTTGTGATGTTGCCCTGTGGTATGCCTACTTCCTGTCCTGTATCTCGCTAAGTAAAGCTAAGGTCATGTGTGACCTATTTGGTCTTGTGAATTTGACTGACTCATTCAACTTGAGACCACAAATGCTACAGTGCAATCTCAAGAGGTCGTGCCATGTAGATAGATAAGTGTATCTGGAGTTCCAGTGGGAGATGAGAGCTGGAGATACACTTAACTTGGTACAAAATTGTCAACATCATGAGAACTTGTGATGGCTAATGGATGAATAGCATGAAAAACAGTTTCTGGAAATTTTTATTAGAAAAGAACTCCATTTATTATTATATTTTCCTCTGAATTATCACAAAAGTTTTAAGATGGAAAGGAGTAATTCTCAGGGGAACTGGCAATGGTGAACATGAGGGAGCTTTGCCAGATCTCTAGGTTTCAGCCCACTGAGGGTAGGCACATGCCTCGAACACCTTCTCTCCTTTTCTGGAAGCCTGCACAGTGCTAGGTACATAGCAAGCACTCAAGCAAGACCTGATTAGCTTTATAGGGAAAGGAGCTTACACTGTACCTGAATATCTTCTTACCTTTTCTTGACTCATGTTACTCTTCTTAACTTTCCCCATGCTTTTCTAATCTCTAGCTACCCATCAGTCCTCCCAAATCACAGCAGGGTGCATGTTGCATAAGCCAGGTGATTCTAGATCCCCCAACTTTTGTGTGTGTGTGTGTGTGAGATGGAGTCTCGCTTTGTCACCCAAGTTGGAGTGCAGTGGCACAATCTCGGCTCACTGCAAACTCCATCTCCCGGGTTCAATAGATTCTCCTGCCTCAGCCTCCAGAGTAGCTGGTATTACAGGCGCCCACCACCAAGACCGGCTACTTTTTGTATTTTCAGTAGAGATGCGATTTTACCAGCTTGGCCAGGATGGTCTTGAACTCATGATCTCAAGTGATCTGCCCACTTGGCCTCCCAAAGTGCTGGGATTACAGGCATGAGCCACCAGGCCTGGCCTCTAGATCCCCCAACTTTTCTTTGTACCTCCTGCAATTTTGCTGTTATTTTTATTAGCTGCACCCTCTAAGTGTTAGCTTTGAAGGAGAAGCTTTCTTGCAGAGGATAAATGGTACATGTGGTAGAGCGAAGTTGGTGGATTTCTGTGACCAAGTAGAAGAAGGGCCCAACTGTACCTGTGAATTTGAAGGTTGGTATTGTCCAGTGTGACCAGCCCATTGGTGGCAGTCCTTCGGTAGCCTGCTGGGGGCCTTTCCAACATATCAATAGGATACCAGTATCGCACCAGCACACCTTCACTGCGGAGGTACGTTTCTACCTGCACCAATTCATTCACCTACAATAGGAAAATAAAATGCCTGTTTGTGCTGCTTGCTTTTGCTTTCTCTGTGTGTGTGTGTGTGTGTGTGTATGTGTGTATGTATTTTTAGTCCAGGTTTTTAGGTATTATAATTTATAATCATTGCTATTTCATGGACAAAACAAAAGAGAATTCACAGTACATTTCTGAAACACATATTATAAGTAATCTTATTACTATATAAACTTGCTACATGCTTTTCTAAGAAAATAACAAAATTACAAACATCAGAAATCAGGGAGATTTTATTTTTTTGAGATGGAGTCTCACTGTGTCGTCCAGGCTGGAGTGCAGTGGCATTAGCTTGGCCAAAAGATTCGCCTGCCTCAGCCTCCTGAGTAGCTAGGACTACAGGTACCACCACTGTGCCCAGCTACTTTTTGTATTTTTAGTGGAGATGGGGTTTTATCATATTGGCCAGGCTGGTATTGAACTCCCCACCTCAAGTGATCCACCGGCTTTGGCCTCCCAAAGTGCTGGGGTTATAGATGTGAGCCACCATGCCCGGCTAGGAATCAGAGATTTTTTTTTGAGACGGAGTTTTGCTGTTGTTACCCAGACTGGAGTGCAATGGCACGATCTCGGCTCACCGCAACCTCCGCCTTCTGGGTTCAAGCAATTCTCCTGCCTCAGCCTCCCGAGTAGCTGGGACTACAGGCATGCACCACCATGCCCAGCTAATTTTTGTATTTTTAGTAGAGATGAGGTTTCACCATGTTGACCAGGACAGTCTCGATCTCTTGACCTCGTGATCCACCTGCCTCGGCCTTCCAAAGTGCTGGGATTATAGGCATGAGCCACCACGCCCAGCCAGAATCAGAGATTTTTAAATGAATTCTTAAATGCAAATGTGAATTATCTACGTACTAGAAAGGCTAAAAGCCATTTATTTTTTTAAAAAAAACTTCAATCAAAAATTTTTAAAAGTACAGGATAATACACACACACACACACACACACACACACACACACAAACCAGACATATATATACATATATAAAATATATTTATATATATATATAATCAGACTATAGCAATAAATGCTAGTTTCATGCCATTGATTTAGTCCAAGTTCAAAGACATCTGCTTAGTACTGAGTGGTTTAGTTTTTCCATACCAGATGGAAAATTTTAATTAATACAATAAATTAAAGATTTTCAGTGTAATCATGAGTTAGCAATTTAAAGAGAATAGTGCTTTAAAGCACTATTTAAATTAGAAATTTAAAGAGATATTTCCAGCACACACTGTTGCTAGGTAAAATTTATGTTTATTGTTTTTATGTTAATAATATCTTAAAAGCAGGGATCTGTCTGATAGCTCTCTTTTATTTCTAGGGAAATAAAAAGCTCATACATATGCATTCTGGATGCAAATACCAATGCAATTTTCTTTTAGGAATTATTAAAATGGAGAGAATCAAATTACCTAAGAAATAACAGAATGATTACAATTAAGGACATTTTTATATTTTGAATTTTTATTTTCACACATTTCCATTGGTCAAAAATATTGTCAGTAATGTATTTTCTTATAAATCAGGGTCAGAAGTTTGCATCAGAAGGCAGTGGGAGATTAAAAGTATTATTGATGGAATTTTCCATTTGAAAGTTCACCTCAGTGACCACCAGTCAGTAGCTTCTCTAAAAAAGTTTAATGAGTTAAATAAATTACAAAATAGAATAAGATGATGTAATTTTTTCTGTTTGAGACAGAGTCTCTCTCTGTTGCCCAGGCTAGAGTGCAATGGCATGATCGTGGCTCACTGCAACCTCTGCCTCTGGGGTTCAAGTGATTCTCTACTTCAGCCTACTAAGTAGTTAGGATTACAGGTTTCAGCCACCATGCCCAGCTAATTTTTGTATTTTTAGTAGAGATGAGGTTTTGTCACATTGGCCAGGCTGGTCTCAAACTCCTGACCTCAAATGATCCACCTGCCTGGGCCTACCAAAAGTGCTGTGATTATAGGCGTGAGCCACTGCACCTGGCCTGAAGATATAAATTTTTTAAAGGTAACAAAGCATTAATGGAATCTAATATCATCTGTATCTCTCTAGATAGATACCAAAGTTTATATCTGTACAGTCGTTGATTTTATATATATATATATATATATATATATATATTTTGAGATGGAGTCTCGCTCTGTTGCCCAGGCTATAATGCAGTGGTGTGATCTTGGCTCACTGCAATCTCCACCTCCTGGGTTCAAGTGATTCTCCTGCATCAGCCTCCCGAGTAGCTGGAATTATAGGCGTGAGCCACCATGCCTGGCTAATTTTTGCATTTTTAGTAGAGACAGGGTTTCACCATATTGGCCAGGCTGGTCTTGAACTCCTAACCTCATGATCCTAGCCTCCCAAAGTGCTGGGATTATAGGCGTGAGCCACCACCCACAGCCTGATAATATTAATATTTTATCAGAGACTCTCAGGCTTGATCTATATATTATTACACCAGATTTTCCTGAATAGGAAGCTTCTCAAATGCAAGGATATGCATGCAACCTTAGAATCACATAGTCATGGCTTTCAAACAGGAGTCTCTTTTCAAAAGAAAGCTTTGGCCTTGCCCTCTCTCACTCTCTTCTCTTCTCTGCCCCCATCCCTAAAAGTCCTTGCTATGCCCTAGGAGAGAGCTTTGCAAAATGGAGGAGGAAACTACTGATTCAGTTTAATACACTCATTTTACAGATAGGGAAGTTAAGGCTGAGAGAATCAGTAAGATGACGGGAACAAAATGACAGAGACAGGAACTCGCTCTGTTGACAAGGCTAGAGGACAGCGACACCATCACAGCTCACTGCAGCCTTGAGGTCCCAGGCTCAAACATTCCTCCCACCTTAGCCTCCCACATAGCTGGGACTACAGGTATGCCCACCATGACTGACTAATTTTTTGTAGAGACAGGGTCTCGCCATGTTGCCCAGGCTTGTCTTAAACTCCTGGACTCAAGTGATCCTCCCTCCTTGGCCTCCCAAAGTGCTGGGATTATAGGTGTGAGCCACTATGCCTAGCCTATTTCTTTGATTTGTGTCTGTATGACCATTATGACAATGACAGATCATCCATTCATCAAGGACAATCGGGAATTTTCCCTGGGAACTTGGGTAGATACAATGCAGGAACAGTATGAACATGTTGGACACAAAATAATGGTAGAAGTAGTGTGGGCTAAAGGCGCTGACAGCTTTGAGACTGGACAGCCTGTCATCTATTGCCAGCCTGGACCTGAGTCTGTGAGGAAAGCTCAGGCAGGTCAATTGGTATTAGAGCATTTTTGCTTTGTGTCTTTGTCCCTGATTTGAAGAGAAACTCATCTGTATAATCACTTCTGTGTGTGTGTGTGTGTGTGTGTGTGTGTGTGTGTGTGACAGAGTCTCACTCTATATTGCCCAGGCTGGAGTGCAGTGGCATGGTCTTGGCTCACTGTAACCTCCACCTCCAGGGTTCAAGCAGTTTTCCTGCCTCAGCCTTCTGAGTAGCTGGGATTACAGGCACATGCCACCACACTCGGCTACTTTTTGTATTTTTAGTAGAGATGGGGTTTCACCATGTTGGTCAGGCTGGTCTCAAACTCCTGACCTTGTGATCTGCCCACCTCCACCTCCTAAAGTGCTGGGATTACAGGCGCGAGCCACCACACTTGGCTTGTATAATCACTTGTTAAGGTACTTGGGAGTCTGGGCATGAAAGCCTAAGTATACATAAAAGAGCTTATTAATCGGAATGGCTGTTCACTCACTGAATCAACATCTAAGACGACTCCATGAAGCCCAAAGGTTTTTAGCATTCCTCGGATGGCAAATTTCGGCAGAGCAGTTCCAACAGCACTATTGGCTACATTATTGCTGTCTGGAGAGCGGGTTACTACTGTGAGACCTGAGAAGTAAAAAGGGAGAAGTTTTTCAGGAAAAATACCACTGCATCTGGGTCCCTATATTTTGCATCTAAAATAGCTTTCTAGATAAAAATAAAATACAATAGAATAAATATAATAAAATAAAATAGAATAAATACAATAAAATAAAATAGCTCTATAGGCTTTAAAAGAATCCCCAGTTTTTTTATAACCAAGCAAGAACACAACTCAGACTGGAAGGTAGCATAACAGAATGTTGTAAAAGCTCTTACAGTTCAAGAATAAAAGGACAAATAAGCCAGTTTAAAATGGGCAAAGAATTTTGTTTGTTTTTTGGGACAGAGTGTTGCTCTGTCACTCAGGCTGGAGTGCAGTGCTGTGATCTCAGCTCACTGTAACCTCCTCCTCCCAGGTTCAGGGATTCTCCTGCCTCAGCCTCTGGAGTAGCTGGGTTTACAGGCGTACATCACCACGTGCAGCTAATTTCTATATTTTTAATAGAAATGGGGTTTCACCACATTGGTCAGGCTGGTCTCGAACTCCTAACCTCAGGTGATCCTGCCTTGGGCTCCCTAAGTGCTGGGATTCCAGGCGTGAGCCACTGGGCCCAGACAGTGGGTAAAGAATTTAAATAAACATTCCTCAAAACAGAAATGAAAAGATACAAATGAAAAGATGTTCAACATCATTAGTCATTAGGGAAATTCAAGTGAAAGCCATAATGAGATACTACGTCATGTCCACTAAAACAGCCAAAATAAAAAAAGACAATAAATAACAAGTCTTTTTTTGTTGGCAAGGATGTGGAGAAGCTGGAGCCCTCCTATATTGCTGATGGGAATGTAAAATGGTGTAATCACTTTGGAAACTAGTTTGGTCGTTCTTCAAAAAGTTAAACATAAAGTTACCATGTGATACAGTAATTCTACTGTCACATATATACCTGAGAGAAATGAAAACAAGCATCTATACAAAAATGTACACACAAGTGTTCATAGCAGTATTAGTAGTAGCAGACTAGTGGTTCCCAGAGGCCAGTGGGGAGGAAAGAATAAGTGATAAAGGCACATAATTTCTTTTTGTGGGGATAAAAATGTTCTGGAATTAATTGAAGGCGATGCTTTGTCGGTTGCACAGCTTTGTGAATATACTAAAACCACTAAACTGTTTACTTTACATTTTATTATTATTAGTATTATTATTATTTTTGAGACAGAATCTCACTTCTTCAGCCAGGCTAGAGTGCAGTGGGGCAATCTTGGCTCACTGCAACCTCCACCTCCTGGGTTCAAACAATTCTCTGCCTCAGCTTCCCAAGTAGCTGGGATTACAGGCACCACTGACCATGCCTGGCTAATTTTTATTTATTTATTTATTTTTATTTTAATAGAGACAGGGTTTCTGCTTCAAGGTTCCATTGGCCAAAAAAAAAAAAAAAAGAGAGAGAGAGAGACAGGGTTTCACCATCTTGGCTAGGCTGGTCTTGAACTCCTGACTTCATGATCCACCCACTTCAATCTCCCAAAACGCTGGGATTACAGGTGTGAGCCACCATTCCCGGTGTAAACTGTATATTTTAAAAAGGTATTTTATGATATGTGAATTATATCACACCACAAAAAAGAGACACAAAAAGTAAATATATATACCTGTCCTGACTGTAATGTTCTGGTATTTTTATGAAGGTCTTCTGGTAATTCTAAAAATAGTGGTTTTCAATTGTCTTTTTTGTGCTTTTCTGTATTTTCCTCATTTCCTTAAAATATGCAATAGATTTTTAACCAAAGATAACACATCCCATTAAAATTCTAAAAAGCTCAATTTAGCCACGTGCATGTAGTTTATCATCTCAGAATCCAGGACTAAGCCTGAGAGGCCCATCTGCAATCTTTAGCCCAGGCCCTACCCCTCTTCTTGTGCAGCTGCCTGCCTCCCTCAGCTCATGCTACTGAGCTCTGGGAAGTGGGAAGGGCACCACCAAGGTTGCTCTAGGGCTTCGCATGGGGCGGTGTGGAAGGGGTCAGCTTAGTCAGAGTAAGAAGAGTCACCCTAAGAGGGCCACCAGCTGCTTGTGCACATTAAGGAAAATTCAACTTCTCATTTCATAGATAGAGTAAGGAGGAAAGCAAAACCTTTTCGAACTTTATCAATTGTGAACTTGTTTGCTTCATCTTTAATGTCTTCAATGGTAGGAAGATAAAGGTCTCTTGGGATGCCACCATTCTCTTCATAGAGAAATTCAACCGTCTGTCGGGCAATATCCACCATACCTAAAAAATATAACAGCACCTTGTAACTCTCCAAAGAGTACACACAGATCAACCATGACACTGAATTACACCTAGAGTGAAATGATAAGCGAATCTTTCAAACGATGTTTATGGCAGTACATAACCCTTTGGAGAAGGAAATTATGCAGTTATCTACCATGTTTAGAATACTAAATGCACTACTTTTAGGAATGTCTCAAATCTCTTCCATATTAATACAAGCACTAAGGCCGGGTGCAGTGGCTCACACCTGTAATCCCAGCACTTTAGGAGGCTGAGGTGTGTAGATCACTTGTGGCCAGGAGTTCAAGACCAGCCTTGCCAACATGGTGAAACACCGTCTCTACTAAAAATACAAACATTAGCCAGGTATGATGGTGGGTGCCTGTAATCCTAGCTACTCAGGAGGCTGAAGCAAGAGAATCACTTAAACCCAGGAGACAGAGGTTGCAGTGAGCCAAGATGGCACCACTGTACTCCAGCCTAAGCAACAGAGCGAGACTCAGTCTCAAAAAAAAAAAAAAAAAAAATAGAAGCACTACTGTGCAAAGGTATAAGAACACTCACTGTAGCACTGCTGGGAGATAGTAACAAAAAAGTGAAAAAAACCAAAGTGTTCATCAGTATAAAATGGCTAAAAACGGTCCATTAAATAATGCAGTTATTTCATTTTCATTAACTCAAAATAACAAATTACAGGACAAATGGAGAGGAAGAAGAAAGTGAGAGTAGGCCGGGCGCGGTGGCTCAAGCCTGTAAACCCAGCACTTTGGGAGGCCGAGGCGGGTGGATCACGAGGTCAAGAGATCGAGACCATCCTGGTCAACATGATGAAACCCTGTCTCTACTAAAAATACAAAAAATTAGCTGGGCATGGTGGCACGTGCCTGTAATCCCAGCTACTCAGGAGGCTGAGGTGGGAGAATTGCTTGAATCCAGGAGGCGGAGGTTGTGGTGAGCCGAGATCGCCTCATTGCACTCCAGCCTGGGTAACAAGAGCGAAACTCCGTCTCAAAAAAAAAAAAAAAAAAAAAAAGAAAGTGAGAGTAATGGTTATTTCTTTTCTTTCTTTTGTTTTAGACGGGATCTTGCTCTGTCACCCAGGCTGGAGTACAGTGGCACAATCTCGACTCACTGCAATTTCCGTCTCCCAGGCTTAGGCGATTCTTGCACCTCAGCCTTCTAAGTAGGTGGGATTACAGGTGCACACCACCACACTCAGCTAATATTTTTGTATTTTTAGTTGAGATGGGGTTTCACCATGTTGCCTAGGCTGGTTTCAAACACCCGACCTCAAGTGATCCACCCACCTTGGCCTCCCAAAGTGCTGGGATTACAGGTATGAGCCACCGTGCCAGGCCATGTTTATTTATTTATGTACTTTTTACTTCAATAAACACATGTTGCTTATTTAGGAGAAAAAGAGGGCTATATGAGTTTCTTCTATCCACTTATTGAGATTGCTCTTTCTTCCCAGAGAAAGAACATATGGTTATGTTTGATAGCAACAGTTACTATTAATTAATAAACCAATTAAAGAAATGTCCATAGACCTGGGGGAAAAGCATTGTAGAAGGACAGCAAGGTGGGCACAATTCCTCCACGTCCTGTTGTTGCCTTAGACCCCACAGTGCTCAGGACATTGTGGGTGAAAAGGTAGGTGTTGGTCGGGGCGGTGGCTCATGCCTGTAATCCCACTTTGGGGTGGGAAGACTGCTGGAAGTCAGGAGTTCAAGACCAGCCCAAGCAACACAGCAAGACCCTGTCTCTACAAAAAATTAAAAAATTAGCCAGGCATGGTGGTGAGTGCCTATAGTCCCAGGTACTCAGGAAGCTGACGCAGGAGGATCTCTTGAGCCCAAAAGTTTGAGGCTGCAGTGAGCCTCTTTACTAGAGACAGGGTTTTGCCGTGTTAACCAGGATGGTCTCGATATCCTGACCTCGTGATCCACCCACTTCGGCCTCCCAAAGTGCTAAGATTACAGGTGTGAGCCACTACGCCCAGCCTCTACCATTCTTTTATTCACTAGTCTTGCTGCAAGGAAAAGGCATGGCAATTTTCTGAGCAGAGTTTAAAAGGGGGCTGTGATTAGAGACAGATGCTTTTGGATAAAAGTGTTAGAATAAACAAGAAATTGTGACCTAATATTATAAGATTATAGAACAACAATCTTGGCAATGTTTTCAAAAGGAACAGTGGGTATAACAAAAAATTTTTGTCTGCTTATTAATTATTTTTTTGGAGACAGAGTGGCTGGAGTGTAGTGGTATGATCTCTGCTCAGTGAAACCTCCACATCCCGGGTTCAAGTGATTTTCCTATCTCAGCCTCGGGAGTAGCTTGAATTCCAGGTGTGCGCCACCACACCCAGCTAATTTTGTACTTTTAGTAGAGACAGGATTTCACCATGTTGGTTAGGTTGGTCTCAAACTCCTAACCTCAGGTGATCCACCACCTCAGCCTCTGAAAGTGCTGGGATTACAGGCGTGAACCACAGCACCTGGCCAAAAATGTTTAATAAGCAGGAATCAGGGAACAGTGAGAGACTGCCAAGTCAACCTTGCAAAGCAGATTCCATTTTAAAGATGAGGAAAGCCCACAGATGTTAAGTAATTTTCTCAAGTCCACACAGCTGGTAAACAGTGTGGCTTCAGATGTGACTGTTAACCACCAGACCACAGAGTTTCCCATTACAACCACTCCAGCTGCATTGCAGCAGTCCATCAACCCAAAATATTCGGCTAAATTGACAAGCAAATAAAAGTCCAGCAATGAAAACAAAAGATCAGAGTCCACTAAAGGTAAGGTTGAAGACACTGTTAAGTCTGGTGTAACATTAGATGAGTCTCTCCTGATTTATGTTCTGATTTTCATCTAACTCCTCACTTCAAGTCATGAAGTAAGCTCCTTAGCAGAACAAAAAGTACCAGACCTAGTTGTAAGGCCCCTTTTATCTGATCCAGGCCTGATTTCCGCTCTGCTTCATTGCGGAAACGTCTTCGGATGGTAGGAAAAACCTTGGTCTCCCAAGCTTTCACCAGCAGGGCATAGTGGTCCTCCTGGAAGGAGAAGGAACCTTATGAATGGAGGAGAAGGAACATCTGGTACAGGCATCACTGCTTCCCTAACTTTTAGCCCTCACCCTGAGGTCTTCACCCCATTTAAATGCCAGTAATAGAAAGATCAGGCATGGACCCCTGTACTAGATACAACCCCAGATGCCAGGGGAGAGAACAGCTAGACTAGGGCAAGCTCTTCCTTTTCCTCTGAAGAAGCCATAGAAGAGATCAGCATTAACTTCGAGGCCCTGCCCTTCGCCATGGCATCTGACAGTGACAATGATGCTAGCACCAGTATTGCATCAGACCCAGACACTCATGGGCCACCATGCTAGGTCCTTTCACAGGATTCTGAGCTATTGCAAAGCACTTCATTCTCTAGTATCTAGATCTTCACTGGGCAAAACGGCTCAGCAGATATCGCTACTGATAGGGGTTTAGAAAAATGAACACTCTAAGGTCACTGTTCAAGCACAATGATGTCACTGAGAGTAACAACACCAGCTTTGCACTCTTCCATTAAAATTACTCCTCGGGCCAGGCGCGGTGGCTCAAGCCTGTAATCCCAGCACTTTGGGAGGCCGAGGCGGGTGGATCACGAGGTCAAGAGATCGAGACCATCCTGGTCAACATGGTGAAACCCCGTCTCTACTAAAAATATAAAAAATTAGCTGGGCATGGTGGCGCGTGCCTGTAATCCCAGCTACTCAGGAGGCTGAGGCAGGAGAATTGCCTGAACTCAGGAGGCGGAGGTTGTGGTGAGCCGAGATCGCGCCATTGTACTCCAGCCTGGGTAACAAGAGCGAAACTCCGTCTCAAAAAAAAAAAAAAATCACTCCTCAAGGTTTGTCTTAGTCACCAGGGAGCTAAGCAAATACTGCTGAATCATGAACTAGACCTTCGGTCTCTTACCTGTGGGATATCATCATCGTCATCATCATCGCTTTCATCATCTGCAATCGGAGGCGGGTGAGGGTCTGGGCCAGAGGTGATGAAATTCTCATAGCTTAGCTCAACTTTATAATGACAGGAGGTGTCACTATCGTATTCTGTAACAGAGCACAAGGACAGCAAATTATAAACAAGAGCAGGCTGGAACAACCCTTAACTTCTCACCCTCAGACAAACTAGATTATCTTAATTTGCATGACAGGATGACTCCTAGTACGCTGAGGAATTTTAAAACACAGACTCTAGGAATAACTAATTACCTATAATTACCCTGAATCCTAAAATAGTTTTTGTGAGTATAATTCATTCAATTCAGAGAAGAATTTAGGAAGTCCTTCACTACGAGATAGAACCAAATAGACTCTTTATTTTTTTATTTTTTATTTTTTGAGACAGGAGATCACTGTGTTGCCTAGGCTGGCATGCAGTGGTACAAAGACAATTCACTGAAGCTAAACCTCCTGGACTCCAGTGATCCTCTCACCTCAATCTCCTGAGTGGCTGGGACTACAGGCGTGTGCGCCACCATACCTGGCTTTTTTTTTTTTTTTTTTTAAGACAGAGTCTTGGTCTGTTGTCAGGCTGGAGTGCAGTGGTGCGATTCCGGCTCACTGCAACTTCCATTTTCTGGTTTCAAGAAATTCTCCTCCCTCAGCCTCCCGAGTAGCTGGGACTACAGGCACGCACCACCACACCTGGCTAATTTTTTTGTATTTTTAGTAGAGATGGGGTTTCACCATGTTGGTCAGGATGGTCTCGATCTCTTGACCTCGTGATCTGACCACCTCAGCCTCCCAATATTTTTAAAATTTTCTGTAGAGACAGGGTCTCAGAAAATTTATGTTGCTCAGGTTGGTCTCAAATTCCTGGGCTCAAGCAATCTTCCTTCCTCAACCTCCCATTGTTGGGATTAAATATGTGAGCCACTGTAGCTGGCCCTAAATAGAATCTTAAAACAGTTTGCAAACCAGTATCCCACAGGCCAAATATGGCTTGCAGACATCCTTAATTTGCTGAGCTGTTTTATTTAATTTTATGAAAAAATTGTTCAAGTAATCATAAAAGTTTCAGTGCCCACCTATATACCCACCACTTAGCATTTTATTATTCTGTAATGACCTTGGTTTTAGGATAATTTTTGAAAATAAGTAACACTGTGACTCATGAGGAGACTTCATACAAAGTGCTGGGGTTCCAGTGGTCTTGCGATGGCTACCCTGGGGCACGGCAGGCTTCCTGGAAATGGGGATGCACTTTGGTCTGCTATGCTTCCTCCTGCTCCCCTCCTTCTTTCACCAGGCCTGTGACCTCATTACTAATGGGCACTTGGGTTTGCAACTGCTGATTGTAATGAGGATGACCCAGTGCAGTGGGTTTATGGAATTCATAGCATTTATGGTCCCAGGAAGACATGGGAGGCAGTAAGTCCCAGGAAATGACTTACGTTGCTGAGCAGTGGCCACGGCAGCAATCCGGCATGGTGGCCCATGAGTGCCTGGGTCTGAAGCAATACTGGTGCCAGCATCATTGTCACTGTCAGATGCCATAGCGAAAGGTAGGGCCTCAAAGTTAGCGCTGATCTCTTCTGCTAGGTCGGTGCACAGGTCGGCAGCATTGCGGTGAGCCTGCCCTTCCGCGTAGGCAAATGGCCGGGAGCCAAAGTTAGCTCGGGTTTTGGTGTTCTGGAAAGGAGACAAAACGAAGAATTTGGAAAGACTTAGGTTTATTTTTATTTTTGCAAGAGCCCAAGGTGCAGCTCACTAAACATCTTATTGGAAGAATAGCCCGAAGTGTGTGCTGGCAAGAGAAACCAGGCAGGGGCTGGAGTAACTGAGCATACCTGTGCTCAGAGCCCTGCACAACCAGCCCTGCCTCCCTGCCCTCACTTCACACTCTCATGCTCTTTGCTGCTCAAACACATTGACCTCTCTTGTTTCCAACACTGTTCCTCTCTACCCGACACCAGCACCCATGCTGTTTCTTCCACCTGGAACATTCTTTTGTCCAACTCTGTCTAGTTAAGACCAGTTAATATTCCAGACCTGGCTCAAGCAGCACTTCTTCGGATTAAGAGACACAAAATCAGATGTGCCTGCTACTTGCTTCCAGGAAGTCTATGATTCTCATTCACAGCATTTATTAGTCTGTGATTACATACATACACATGTATATTTATGTGATTATTTGATGCCTGATTCCTCCAACTGATCATAGCCCGATGAAGACAGAGACCATATCTGTTTTGCTCACTGCTACATACCCAGAGCTTAGCACAGTGCTTGACAGTTAATTGTTCAATAGATATTTGTTGAATGAATGAATGGAATAGGCTGAGAAATGCTGCTTTAAATTACTGGCATCATTAATTCATTCAACAAATACAGAGATAAAAGATGGTATCAGAGACATGGTACAGGGCCAGATCCTACAGGACCTTGTAGGTTATTTTTTTAAAAGATGGAGTCTCACTATGTTGCCTAGGCTGGAGTGGAATGACTATTCATAGGGGTGCAATCATAATGCACTGTGGCCTAGAGCTCCTGGGCTCAAGTGATACTCCCACCTCAGCCTCCAGAGTAGCAGAGACTACCCTGGCACCACCACACCTGGCATCTTGTAAGCCATTATAAAGACTTGGTCTTTTAAAATGCATGACATGAGAAGCCATTGATTGGATAGTGACATTCTAACCAACATTTTAAAAAGATCACTGTGATTACTGGGTTGAAAAGACATGTACTGGTAGGGCGTGGTGGCTCACACCTGTAATCCCAGCACTTTGGGACGCTGAGGCGGGTATATCACCTGAGGTCAGAAGTTTGAGACCAGCCTGGCCAACATGGAGAAACCCCGTCTCTACGAAAAATACAAAAATATTAGCCAGCCGTTGTGGTGGTCGCCTATAATCCCAGCTACTCGGGAGGCTGAGGCAAGAGAATTGCTTAAACCTGGAAGTCGGAGGTTGCAATGAACTGAGATTGCACCATTGCACTCCAGACTGGGCGACAGAGCAGGACTCCACATCAAAAAAAAAAAAAACACACATGTATTACCTTAGAGATGTCCTGAAGAAAAAAAAAAAGACAAGATGTGTGAACGGGCAAGAATGGGGGCTGGGAGAGGAGTAAGAACACTGTAATGAGCTACTCAAGGGAGGATGGTGGCAGAGCCCAGTTGTTGAGGGAGGAATGGGAGAAGTGGTCAGATTCTAGATACATTTTGAGGGTTAGAACCAAGATATGCTGACAGGTTGAATGTGGAGCAGGAGAAAACAGAGGAGTCAAGAATATTAAGGTTTTTGGCCTTAGCAACTATGAGCATGTAGCTGCCATTCCCTGAGATGAAGAAGACTGGGGAAGTGGCAGCTTTGTGTTTGGGGCAGAGGTAGCCTCAGTCTTGGTCATGTTAACTTTGACATGCCAATAAGGCAATCTCTTTGGAGATGCTGCCCAGGTTGCTGGGTATGTGAGCATAGTTTAGGGAAAAGTCTGGGATAGAGATAATGGATTTGGGAGCTACCAGCATGTAGTAACATTCCATAACACTGGATATTATTAATAGATGCTCCTTAAGAAACAAGAGTTCCATCATTAAATACGTGTGGGGATGCCAGTTAACTAAGTTGAACTTACAAATCTTTACTGAAGGATCTCTCCAAATTTTTGATATACTGAGCAACCAAAGAGAATCATTTTCAAAATTTACGTGATCACAGAATCATTTTACTGACATTTGAAAGAACTCTAGTGTTCCTTGCATTGTTGTCTGGGAAAGGTTGCTAAAAGGATGCCAAAGCAATGAAACACTAGGTTCCTGATACAGTATCCTTCAATCTAAGATTGTGGGGTCAACACAAAGGAAGGCACACACTGGCTCAGGCTGGCTCTGCCCTTCCTCTGTCTTTTGTGTACCAACACCATGTACGATGAGGGCACATTTGGTTCCTTTCATTTTTCCATTTCTAACAGGAACACATGATGAAGGAGAATTTGTTTTCCTTTCCCAACAAGATAACCTGCCTTTTTCTGAATGTGAACCACTGGCCACATGCCACCAGAGACGTCTTCAAGATGAGGTGAGAGGCGCTGCCCACAGTATGTGAAGTATACCCGGCCCTTGGCTGGCTGTCCTGGAGGAGGTGGAGTGCCCTCGGTTCTCTCCCAGCCAATTCCTGCCACATCACCTACAGCAGAGAATGGGAAGGAAAACAAATTTTCTCCCTTTTATTAAGTAAATTTTAAATTTGCAACCAGAGTGACACACTACAAATCACTGTTTATGCCCTCATTTACTTCTGAAAAGGACATGAAGTTGTTGTATTTATTTATTTATTTGGAGTGCAGTGGTATGGTCTCAGCTCACTGCAACCTCTGCTTCCCAGGTTCAAGCAATTCTCCTGCCTCAGCCTCCCAAGTAGCTGGGATTACAGGCACCCACCACCATGCATGATTAATTTTTGTATTTTTAGTATAGATGGGATTTTACCATGTTGGCCAGGCTGGTCTTGAACCTCAGGCAATTTGCTCACCACCTCAGCCTCCCAAAGTGTTGGAATTACAGGCATGAGCCACCGCGACTGGCAGAAGTTATTGTATTTAGATATAAAGTAACATAACAGAAGCAAACCATTTTAAAAAAACTTTCAGAATTTTTTTTAGAAAATGCCTAGTGTCAGTGTTAAATTTGTTACCACAATTACATATTAAATTTAGCCTTTATTTTCCTGGCAGTCAAGACAAAAAAAAAAAAAGGGGGCATCATTTTTAAAACAGAAAAATGTAAGTTTTTCTCTTTTGACATGTGGAGGATTACTTATGACAAATAAGTAAAAAGGTAATAGTAATTCCACCTCTGGTGGAATATTCAGAAATGGCCTCAAAATATATAATTTAAGGCCAGACGACATGATGGTTCACACCTGTATCCAGCATTTTGGGAGACCAAGGAGGGAAGACTGCTTGCAGATAGGAGTTGAAGACCAGCCGCGGCAACACAATGAGACCTCATCTCTACAAAAAACATAAAAATTAGTCAGGCATAGTGGTGTGTGCCTGTAGTCCCAGTTACTCAGGAAGGCTGAGGTGGGAGGATCATTTGAGCCCAGCAGGTTGAGGCTGCAGCGAGCTGTGACTGCACTATTGCACTCTAGCCTAGGTAACAGAGTGAGACCCAGACTCAAAAAAAAAAAAAAAAAAAAAAGAAAAAGAAAAATACATATATATTTTAAACTCCACCCACAATGTAAGCTAAAGATAAGACCATTAAATTCCATTGTGTTCCCTATTTGTAAGTATTTAAGGCATTTTGCAAAACATTAAGGTAAATAACATAATTCAGGCTGCTATCTAATAAGATGACTGGACACCGAGGTAGGCCTTACAGAACCAAGAGGAGCCTGTATGTCGCATCAGCACTTAATATCGGCTGCCTCAGGCAAGCTGCTAGCACATGTGGCCTATACTTTATCTGTTGTAAACTCTCCAATAAGTGCATGAAGTTCTAAGGTTCTGTTTTAATCACAGAGTTTCCTATTGCTTAAGTACCACAGGAATGGGAGCTTCCCACTGGCTGGGGACTTGTCATTGTTCGCCACAGCATCCCCAGGGCCCAGAAGAGGGCCTAGCAGGTAGGAGATGCTCAGCACGTATCTGTTGATGAATGGAAGCCCAGGTATTGGTACAGGGGGTGAGATTCTGTTAGAAAGATTAGGTTCTAATCCCTATTCCTTTGCAGACATATTTCTCTAGGAAGAGGGCAGTCTGTGTGCCCAAAGTCCACACCCAAAATGCTGGAATTATAGGGATGAGTCACTGCGCCTAACCCAATAAGGCATTTCTTGAGTGCCTCATGGTTAGTGGTGGAGTTCCATTTTTTTGAAGCTATTTATCTGCTCATTAATGAATAAGTGAAGACTAAACTTCAGAGAGAGAAGGAAAATCTCTGAATTATCTAATAATGAAAGAACAAAAGTACACATAACTCTGGAGTTACCAAATGGAGGCTCTAATAGTGAGGGCTCATAAAGCCAGGGATTTGGTGTAAACTAGAGGGCAGCAAGTTTGGTTTTCACTAAATGATGACAAACGGCCCATTTCCAGTTGCTAAATTTATTTAACTTTAACCTATTTAGACCCAAACCTGACGCCAACAGAATCACACAGGGTGAAAAAACTCCCACTGCACTCACCGGGGGAGAGAGTCACGTCTAAGCGAACGCTCTTCCACTGTAACAAACTGGAGCCATTGTAGTGCACGGCTCGACCATTGCTATGAAAAATACAAAGAAGGGAGGTCAAAGACAAGAAAGAGAAGCCTCACTGGCCAACACACAAGCAGGGAAGTGGTGAAGTGGGGGGAGGGGGGGTGTCAGCATTGTGAGATTATTATAATATCACTTCAGTATTAAAATATCTGCACCAGTATTTCCCAAGCTGTATTCCTAGAATTTGGGAAATAAACAAGTTTTTTAAAAATTACAGGACAATTAGAAAGGAATCTTATTAATGTACACTGGAAATCTCCAGAAAGGAAAAATAATGCTCTCCTTTCCCCAAACTTATTGAAGACAGAGCTCTATTTTGACTTCCTAAACACCTATACACACCTTGTAGGAAGCTACTGTTCTCTGCCATACTGAGCTACTTCTTTTACTTACTTATGAAAAAGACAAGTGCCCACTGGATTAGTCCAAGCCCCATCTCGCTTCTCTGCTTCTGTAGTGAAGCCAAAGGAAACTATGGGCCCGGTGTCATCATCAGTATCTCCATAGGAAACTATTTCAATTTCCCAGTAAAAAGATGGGGCCTGAGGAAATACCAGAAGAGAGCAGCAATCAGAGGGCTAAGCCTGGGCCTGAAACCTTTTCTTTCAAATTTGAAGAAAAGACGCAAAACACAGTGTGTCATGTGATGTCTCACCTGAACTGGCAGTGGTGACGTGGCATAGATAAAAGTACCCCGGGGCAGGCCTCCCCCAGCACTGGGGTCAGCCAGGAAGGTGACTGAGGTAAGGTGAGATGAGAACATGCAGGCTCGAACAGGTGGAAACACTCGAGAGGGGCTCCAAGTAATCTCTTTGGGCTACATTGGGGAGAAAAATCCATATTCAGTAGAACTGCAAACACCAATCCCTTTACTCTCTCAAAGAAGAAAAAGAAATTTTATCTGATGGTACTGAAATATAGGCAAATACATCGGGGAGAAAAACCCATATTCAGTAGAACTGCAGACACCAATGCCTTTACTCTCTCAAAGAAGAAAAAGAAATACATGTGTATTTGCCTGTATTTCAATACCATCAGATAAAATGTGTATGCATACATACACACACACATTTATTAATCTAGAGACAGAGTCTCACTCCCATCACCGAGGCTGGAGTGCAGTGGTACGATCACAGCTCAGTGCAGTAATCAAACTCCTGGGCTCGTGATCCTATTGCTTCAGCCTCCCAAGTAGCTGGCACTACAGGTATGCATTGCCATACCCAAGTAATTTTTGTATTTTTTTTGTAGAGACAGGGTCTTACTATGTTGCCTAGGCTGATCTTAAACTCCTGGGCTCAAGCTGTCTGTCTGCATCAGCCTTCCAAAGTGCTAGGATTACAGGCGTGAGCCACTATGCCCAACCAAGCACACATATATTTTTTAAAAAGCATCTTTTTTCCAAATTAAACTTTGATCCTTACTATCTCTTTAAGACATTATTTATCTTCCATTATCATCAATTCCAAGGTCTGGGTCCCATCCTCTTATAGTCCCCATGTAGTTAAAGGACAAATTTTAGTTCAAGTTACATATGCATGACTTAATTAATATTCAACTCAAAGCTAAGGAGGGATACAATGGTGACACTTCTTTTTTCTTTTTTTTAAAGGTTAGTTGTCTTGCTTTCTCACTTTTATTTTTAACCATTCTAATCATAAAAATCTCAAGCTTCTCTATTAGATAAAAGCACCTTTTTCGTTTTTTTGAGACAGTCTCATTCTGTCGCCCAGGCTGCAGAATCCCAGCTACTTGGGAGGCTGAGGTAGGAGAATCACTTGAATCCAGGAGGTGGAGATTGCAGTGAGCCAAGATCATGCCACTGCACTCCAGAATGGGTGACAGAGTGAGACTCCATCTCAGAATCTCAGGAAAAAAAAAAATTCATGTAACACACAATTCACCCATTTGAAGTGTATAAGTCAATTTTTAAAATATATTTATGGGTACATGGTAGGTGTATATATTTATGGGTAAGTCAGTGGTTTTTAGTATATTCACGGAGTTGTGCAACCGTTACTATGACCTAATTTTAGAATATTTTTGCCCCTATCAAAAAAATTCCATATCCTTTAGTAGTCAATCCCGATCCCTCTCTTCCCTTAATTCTCCTCTGCCCCCAGCTCTTGGCAATCACTAATCTGTTTTCTATGGCTTTACCTGCACGAGACATTTCATATAAATGGAATTATGTAAGATGTGGTCTTTTGTGTCTGGCTTCTTTCACCTAGTGTAATTTCAAGTTCATTCATGTTGTAGCATATATCAATACCTCATTCCTTTTTATGAACAAATGATACTCCATTAATGTAATGCTACAGGATATTTTATTTATTTATTTATCAGCTGATAGATATTTGTAGTTTCCACTTTTTGGCTATTGTAAATAATGCTGCTAAGAACATTCATAGATGTATCCATATTTAACCTTTTGCCACCCCCCCCCTTTTTGGAGACAGAATCTCGCTTTGTCACCCAGGCTGGAGTGCAGTGGCACAATCTCAGCTCACTGCAACCTCTAACTCCTGGGTTCAAGCGATTCTCCTGCCTCAGCCTCCCAAGTAGTTGGGAATACAGATGTGCACCACCATGTCCAGCTAATTTTTCTATTTTTCGTAGAGATGGGGTATCAGCATGTTGGCCAGGCTGGTCTCAAACTTTGGCCTCATGTGATCTGCCCACCTCAGCCTCCCATATTGTTGGGATTACAGGTTTGAGCCACTGACCCTGTAACCTGGCCCACTTTTGTTTTTTAATTACTTGCTCATGTTCTGTATTATGAAATGGACTGTATCTCTAAACTTAAAAAAAAAAGGCTTTTTTTGTTATTGATAACACAAAGAAACGATTTATAAATTACTAAGTTTTGCTTCCCTGCTATGATTTTCCAGTATTTAGAATGTCACCTCTATTTGCTTTGACATTCAAAGATGAAAGCATGTCACCACAAAGGAGAGCATGTTGCTGCAAAAGAATGCACCTGTAAACAGCTTTAAGGACATTCAGAGTGAATGTCCTTAACATTTAGACTCACTCTGAATGTCCTTAACTTGCTGCTGGCCTTACTCAGTGATGTGAGTTGTGGCTGTAGAAGGCACAAACCTCTGCAGAGGGCTCACCTGTCTGCGGTCAGCCTGCAAAGGAGGTGGTGGGGGCCGAGCACAGTCCCGGTAGAGCATCCTCAGCCGTTCACACTGTACCTCCACAACTGCAAGTCGTTCTCCTGTAGAGGGCACACGTTGAATCTGTGAAAACAACTCCTGCAACTCCCAAGAGGGTACTGACTCTTTTGGAGCAGCATCAAAACAATAAAATGCACTTATAGAGCTCACTTAAATTCTTTTTTTTTTTGAGATGGAGTGTCACTCTGTCACCCAGGCTGGAGTGCAGTGGCGGGATCTTGGCTCACTACAACCTCTGCCTCTCGGGTTCAAGCAATTCTCCTGGCTCAGCCTCCTGAGTAGCTAGGATTACAGAGGCCCGCCACCACACCTGGCTAATTTTTGTATTTTTAGTAGAGATTGGGTTTCACCATTTCGGCCAGGCTGATCTTGAACTCCTGACCTCAGGTGATCCACCTGCCTCAGCCTCCGAAAGTGCTGGGATTACAGGTGTGAGACACCATGCCCAGCCTGAAATCCTTACAGAAGAACAAATACCCCAAGACATCTTTGTCTTCCATACGTAGCCCAGCAGCACAACAATGAGAGCAAGTGTTCGGCCTCTGGTGCAGTCCAACTCCTGGATTCAGAACCTGGCCCCAGTACTCGGTATTTACCATCTCACTTGCAATACTGGGTAACAGTAGCACCTGTGTCTCACGGGGTTGTTATGAAGATGTGATGAAATAACTTAAGCCCTTGGCTAAGTCCCTGGCACAGGTACTCAATAAATATGTTATTATTCTCATCATCTAATAATTGAAGACTATTCTTATCATCTAAATTGATTTTTAAAAATCTAATACCTACGGAGCACCTCCTAGGAGCAAGAAACACTGAGAGGTGTTGGAGAATACAAAGATATATGAGCCAAAGCCCCTATGGTGGGAAAATAAGGCACGCGTGCGCGCACACACACACACACACACACACAGTAAAGTGCAAGGCTGCAGTATGTGAATATGTAATATAAGGCACAAGCACAGGCACAGGTGAATGAGCAGTGATTTCAATCACACATCTGAAAGGCTTAATGAAAACATTATTAAGTTAGATGTTAGAAGGCCAAGTGTGGTGGCTGACACCTGTAAACTCAGTACTTTGGGAGGCCAAAGCAGGTGGATCACTTGAGGCCAGAAGTTCAAGACCATTCTGGCAGGCCAGGGGCAGTGGCTCAAGCCTGTTATCTCAGCACTTTAGGAGGCCAACCAAGGTAGGTGGATTGCTTGAGCTCAGGAGTTTAAGACCAGCCTGGGCAACACGGTGAAACCCTGTCTCTACTAAAATACAAAAAATTAGCAGGGAGTAGCAGCGACCACCTGCAGTCCCAGCTACTTGGGAGGCTGAGGCAGGAGAATTGCTTAAATTCAGGAATCAGAGGTTGCAGTGAACCAAGATTGCACTATTGCACTCTAGCCTGGGCTACAGAGGAGACTCCGTCTCAAAAAAAAAAAAAAGTCTAGCCTGGCCAACATAGTAAAACACCATCTCTATAAAAAATACAAAAATTAGCCAGGCATGGTGGCATATGCTTGTAATCCCACCTACTCGGGAGGGTGAGGCATGAGAATAACTTGAACCCAGGAGGCAGAGGTTGCAGTGAGATGAGATCACGCCACTGCATGGGTGACAGAGTGAAACTGTCTCTAAATAGATAAATAAGAGATATGAAGCACCTGCCTTGGCCCTGCATGGTGGTGCATGTCTATAATCCCAGCGCTTTGGCAGGCTGAAGCAGGAAGACTGCTTGAGCCTAGGAGTTTAAGACCAGCCTAGGGGACAGAGTGAGACCCTGTCTCTACAGTTTTTTTTTTGAGACAAGGTCTCTCACTCTGTTGCCTAGGTTGGAGTGCAGTGGTGCAATCTCAGCTCGTTGCAACCTCTGCTTCCCAGGCTCAAATTATCCGCCCACCTCAGCCTTCCAAGTAGATGGGACCACAGTTGTGAGCCACCACACCTAGCTAATTAAAAAAATTTTTTTGTGGAGACAAGGTCTTGCTATGTTGCCCAGGCTACAAAACTTACAATTAAAAAAAAAAAGCACCAGTTTTAAAGAGTTGGTAGAGAAAATGGACAGGTCACATGCCAGACTGTAGGGCTAAAAAACTGAAAAAATTAAAAAAAGAGAGAGAAAATGCACAGGAAAGGGATACATTTCAGGAGCATTTTATTTTATTTTATTTTATTGAGACAGGGTCTCACTCTGTCTCTCAGGCTGGAGGGGAATGGTGAAATTGCAGCTCTCTGCAACCTTGACTTCCTGGACTCAGGTGATCCTCCCACCTCAGCTTCCAGAGTAGCTAGGACTACAGGTATCTATCCCATGCCTGGCTTTTTTGTAGATGCTGAGTTTCTCCCATTTAGCCCAGACTGGTCTCAAATTTCTGGGCTCAAGCATTCCTCCCACCTCAGCCTCCCAAAGTGCTGAGATTACAGGTGTGAGTCACTGTGCCCAACCTCAGGAGCATTTTCAAGGAAGAACTGGATATGGCAAGTGACTGGATATGAAGGGACAAAGAAGAAACATTACATTTGACTAAGTATCTGGGCATCAAAACTAGCCTGGCATGGCATCTCAGGCCTGTAATCCTAGTACTCTGGGAGGCTAAGGAGGGAAAAATTACTTGAGCCCAGGAGTTTGAGACCAGCCTGAGCAACATAGTGAGACCCTGTCTCTCATTTTTCTTTTTTTTTCTTCTTCTTTTTTGAGATGGAATCTCACTCTGTCGCCCAGGCTGGACTGCAATGGTGTAATCTCGGCTGACTGCAACCTTCACCTCCTGGGTTCAAGTGATTCTCCTGCCTCAGTCTCCTGAGTAGCTGGGACTACAGGCACTTACTAACACACCCAGTGAATTTTTGTATTTTTAGTAGAGATGGGGTTTTGCCATGTTGATCAGGCTGGTCTCAAACTCCTGACCCCAGGTGATCCACTCGTCTCGACCTCCCAAAGTGCTGGGATTATAGCCGTGAGCCACCGCGCCCGGCTCTCATTTTTCTAACAATTAAAAAAATTAGGCTGGGCATGGTGGCTCATGCCTGTAATCCCACCACTTTGGGAGACTGAGGTGGACAGATCACTTGAGGTCAGGAGTTTGAGATCAGCTTGACCAACATAGTAAAACCCCATCTCTATTAAAATTACAAAATTAGCCAGGCATGGTGGTGGGTGCTTGTAATCCAAGCTACTCAGGAGACTGAGCCAGAAGAATCACCTGAACCCGGGAGGCAGAGGTTGTAGCAAGCTAAGATTGTGCCACTGTACCTCAGCCTGGGCGACAGAGTGAGACTGTCTTTAAAAAAAAGTTAGCTGGACATGGTAGTGTGCACCCGTGGTCCCAGCTATTTGGGAGGCTGAAGCAACAGGACTACCTGAGCACAGGTGGTTGTGGCTGCAGTGAGTCTTGATCGCAACACTGCACTCCACCCTGGGTAACAAAGTGAAACCCTGTCTCAAAAAAGAAAAACAAACAAAGAAAAACTAGCCTGAATATTAACTAAAGCAGGGAATTTGGGAAGGAGAGCTGATTCCAGAGTAAGGAATGACTTTGGTTATCAATTTGGTGCATTCATGAGGCAGGGGAGGGGGATATTTTTAGAGAAGTAGCTGCTAGGCCTGGATCTAAGCAGAGGGATTGCTCAGTGTAGAAGGCAGGCAAGCTCAGGAAGGGAGGGTCAGGGTGAAACCTGGAGCCCTGTTTCTTCTAGTGAGGTCTCATGGTCCCTTTAGCCTGCTGTCTGGGATCACCCTCTATTTACAATTCTGACTTTGTAATTATGCTTCCTGGGGGTCCTGAGAAACTTTCAAAGTTGGAGAACATGTGGCTCAGGGAGTAAGTACGTTAGGAAGCTGGGAGAAGAGGAAACAGCTGAAACTGGGAGATTCTAGCTTCTACAAGGGGGTAAAATAATGTTGAGAACTTTTTTGGTTTCTATGTGTCTTTTCTTCAGGTTCAAAAATTTGCTTCCTCTGCTATTTCAACCAAGGGATCTGCTTAATGTCTCAGGAATATTTCTTTTTCTTTTAATTTTTTTTATTTTTTAGAAGGAGTCTTGCTCTGTCGCCCAGGCTGAAGTGCAATAGCATGATCTCAGCTCACTGCAACCTCCACCTCCCAGATTCAAGTGATTCTTATGCCTCAGCCACCTGAGTAGCTGGGATTACAGGCACACCCCACCAAGCCTGGCTAATTTTTCTATTTTTGGTAGAGACAAGGCTTCACCATGTTGGCCAGGCTATTCTTGAACTGCTGACCTCAAGTGATCTGCCCATCTTGGCCTCCCAAAGTGCTGGGATTACAGGCATGAGCCACCGCACCCGGCCTTCAGGAATATTTTTTCAAGGAAATAGTTCTGTAGTGCTATCTCCCTAGACCAAATGGAATCTGGTACTGCCTTCTTTAGATAGAGAAGCTATGAAATTAAGCTATTAGTGAGTAAATATTGGAATGGCCAAGTGGTACCAATTCTTTGGCACTTCTTTGATATTGCTACTTAATTCATCCCAGGAGAAGAAAAATAATAGAAACTGATCAAAATATTTTTAAAAATCTATCGATAAATTATTGCTTATAAATTTCATGACATTTTCATACATAAAATAAAAAATTTTAATACCTTAAAAAAATGAATATCAAGTAACTCTCTATCCTCCACCTACTCCTCACCTTGAATCTTGTTTATTAAACAGCTTTCCTCCTGAGCACAGTCTATGGCCCCCTGGTAGGCCTAAGAATCTACCACTGTTCTGCAAAGTAACCTCAAACACAGGTTGTTTTCTTTGGTTTTCATCACTGACTGACACTGGAGTCAGTAAACTTTGCTATTTGCTTTAAATGTCAGAACCATTTCTGGTAACCTAATAACTGAGTTATTAAGGATTCTTTCCATAGGATACTATTTAGAATATAAACCAATGTGCATACGCTCACAGTCTTCTCTTTTGTAGTAATTTACAAGCACTTCTCAAACATTTCAATTCTTTGGTACCACAAAGTTCTCTTTCACTAAGAAAAACAGGTTAGGTGGACCATGATCAAAACTGTGTGAGATCACTGCTCGAAATTATTACAAATCCTAGCTTGTGCATTAAGTATTAATGTAAACTTCCCAACTTAAGACCTCTTTATTCTGTAAAATATATAAAAAAGGATACCCAGAAACAGTCCAGTAGAAAAGCAAGTGATTAATTCAGCATGCTATATGCTGCTATAATCAGTCAAAATATATCTTCGAATGCCATCTAAGCCAACAGTATAAAAAAGTCAGAGGCAGTGAACTAAGGACCTACTAAGAGTACAAAACGAAGTCACAAGTAATTTCACCCTTGAAGCCTAGCACACCCTTTGCTTCTGTTGCTGTTCTCTATTCTTAGGATCTCTCTGAGGTTTATTAATGATTCCTGGATCTCCCAGCTGGAGCTTCTGCTGAATCCAAGGCACTACCCTTATCAAAAGAGATATGAGAAGTAAAACAGATATAGACAAATTTAAAAAGAAAAAGACAACAACAGAAATGACCACAATGTGAAAGAGTAACAAAAATTACAAAGAGAAAAAATATGAGAGTTACTGACAAAGTTAAGTGGCATAAGAAAAAGTAATATTAATTTTTTTAAATGACCAAAAAAAAAAAAAAGAGTATGAACCTACAAGCCTAAGGGAGTTAAAGCTGTTCATTTCTAACACATAGTTTGTGAAAATGTTAGCACTAGAATGTTGCAGGAATGCTAACTGAATTGTACACAACTTCACTTAGGGTGGTCCAGTTACATCCTTGGAGACAAAGGGTAAATTTTCAATTACAAACACTAAGGCCAACTACAATTTACAGAAAACAGAAGGGCAAATGACATTGGTAAATGATGCCACAGGGATACAGTCATCTAAATCCAGACTGGGAAAACCTTCCACAAACAAATTGTAAGGCAAAAAAAAAAGACTAAGAGGAGTCTATTTTTTTTTTTTTTTTTGAGACTGAGTTTCGCTCTTGTTACCCAGGCTGGAGTGCAATGGCGTGATCTCGGCTCACCACAACCTCCGCCTCCTGGGTTCAGGCAATTCTCCTGCCTCAGCCTCCTGAGTATCCAGGATTACAGGCACGCGCCACCATGCCCAGCTAATTTTTTGTATTTTAGTAGAGACGGGGTTTCACCATGCTGACCAGGTTGGTCTCGATCTCTCGACCTCGTGATCCACCTGCCTCGGCCTCCCAAAGTGCTGGGATTACAGGCTTGAGCCACCGTGCCCGGCCGAGGAGTCTATATTTTAAAATAGATTTAAAAAACAGCAACAAAGCAACAATTTGTAAACTTTATTTGATCCCCATTCAAATAAATAAACATAAAAACAAGAATTATCTTTATGAGAAAATTAGGAAGCTGAACACTGACTAGATACATATACACATATTTTTAGAGATGGGGTCTCACTATGTCGCCCAGGCTGCACTCAAACTCCTGGGCTCAAGCGATCCTCCTGCCTCAGCTTCCCAAGTAGCTGGGATTACAGGCATGTGCTGCCATGCCTGTCTTAGATACTTAATAATATTTTTTTAATTACTGTTAATAATTTAGATATGTGATAATGGTGTTGTAGTTATTTAAGAGTCTTTATCTTTCAGAGACATATACGAACACATTTATGAATAAAATAATATCTAGGATTAAAAGTAATTCCAGGGGTTACAGCACAGATAAAACAGGATCAGTTATGAGCTGACAACTGTTGAAACTGATAATGGAATCCTGAAGGTTCCTTATACTAGTCTCCCAATTTTGGTATGTTAGTGCAAACTCCTGACTGGAAATTCAAATGTTGCCAATGACAACAGTCAAAATGTCCACACCAGCCCTAAGGACTGCTCCTAAATATCATAGTTCTAATTGGCAAATAAAGGCAACAAACCAATAGGAATGAAGAAAAGAAAACACTTTGACATGGTCCTAAAGCTACATTAAAATATGCTGATTTCCTAGCTGGTATAGACTGAAAGCTTTTTATTTACATTTCTAGGTCTGTGACACACGTGAGTTGTGACAGGTGCTGTCCTCACAGCTCAGCTGTTTGACATGTGTGTATGAAAACACTTAACACGCCATTATCAAATTGCAAATGTGCTGAGAATTCAATGACACAGGGTGGTAAGGAAAGTTCAGGTACTCACCAGCACTGCACTCCTGGGCTACTAGGTTAAGAACTTCAACAGCTGCTGGACATTGTTGTATGAATTCTTCACAAAATAAGCTGTCTTCTAAAAGTTGGGCCATGACCAGGCATGCTCTTAATGTTAAAAGATTTACAATATTTCAAAGACATCAGTGTTCATTGTCTAAAAAAGTCAACTGTGAAAAACATTTCAATCAATTTTGTCCCCCGATTTATAACAAGATTCAAACTCCCCACTCCTCTTGCTTTTTTCTGAGCCGGGCTGTCTTGGAAATATATAAATAACTTATCTTTTGCCACACAGTAACTGCTGACACTGCATGAAGAATTGGAAAAGGAAAAAATGGGTGCCATAACCACTAAATGAAGACACAAAGTTCCAGGTGAGAAATCAGTCCTGTCTCTTAAAAGCTTTTCCTATACTGTGCCCTAGGGGCATTTAGAGCTCTGGAAGCAAGAGGGATTAAAAAACTGGGAAAATCTGTATGGTGACAGATCTCACCTGATTCAAAATACATACTGGAAGTTTCTAAGAAGTTCCATTGTTGGCTGGGCATGGTGGCTCACACCTATAATGCCAGCACTGTGGGAGGTTGAGACAGGTGGATCACCAGAGTTCAGGAGTTTGAGACCTGCCTGGCCAACATGGTGAAACTCCGTCTCTACTAAAAACATAAAAATTAGCTGGGTGGCCAGGCGCGGTGGCTCAAGCCTGTAATCCCAGCACTTTGGGAGGCCGAGGCGGGTGGATCACGAGGTCAACAGATCGAGACCATCCTGGTCAACATGGTGAAACCCCGACTCTACTAAAAATTACAAAAAATTAGCTGGGCATGGTGGCGCGTGCCTGTAATCCCAGCTACTCAGGAGGCTGAGGCAGGAGAATTGCCTGAATCCAGGGGGTGGAGGTTGCGGTGAGCCGAGATTGCGCCATTGCACTCCAGCCTGGGTAACAAGAGCGAAACTCTGTTTCAAAAAAAAAAAAAAATTAGCTGGGTGAGGTGGCATGTGCCTGTAATCCAAGCTACTCAGGAGGCTGAGGTAGGAGAATCACTTGAACTAGGGATGTGGAGATTGCAGTGAGCCGAGATCAAACCACTGCACTCCAGACTCCAGCCTGGTCGACAGAGTGAGACTCTGTCTCAAAAAATAATAAATAAATAAGAAGTTCCATTGTCAAAAAGTTACTTCTTAGTGCTGTTTAATGATAAATAAAATGTATTTGCAGGAAAAGACCAACATCAACCCTTCTGTGCATGCCCTAGTTTTCCCATCATAAGTTTGTAAAGTGATAGACCAGATATGTATCAATGTAGCCTGAACCATTTTGTTTATTTATTTATTTAATAATTTGAGACAAAGTTTCGCTCTTGTTGCCCAGGCTGGAGTGCAGTGGTGCGATGTCGGCTCACTGCAACCTCCGCCTCCTTGGGTTCAAGCGATTTTCCTGCCTCAAGGTAGCAGAGTTATTCCTGTGATGGAACATTCTTTTAACAAAGCAAGTCAGTGGAGCCTTACGTATGTATTTCATACATCACAATTTATTTGTTTCTTTTTCTTAGGTGAACAGCTAATCTTTATTTTGAAGTGTAGACACTGGGGAACACAACAAAAAATGCAGAAATAAAGCAATGCAAGGAACTGTGGTAAACACAGTGTAAAAGAATGGTTACTGTTGCTCAGCTGAGCGTGGGCTTCAAGCTGTGGACTCACTAAGTTGGGAGTGAAGGGGCCCACCAAAGTCTCCTCCTTCTGTCAGCTTGCACCACCTCAGCACATCAGGCAATGTGGGGAGGGTACTCACCTTGTCCTTATTTCAGCAAGGAGCCGAACGACTGCCATCACAGGAGCTGACCCATCTCCTGTTGCAGGAAGTGAGGTGTGAATAGAGAGACTTCCCTCCTGAGGAAGCAACATGGACTGGACTGCCTGTACTACCTTCTCAGTAATGGACAGTTTATGAAGAGGCAATGCCTGATGGCGGTGGGGGGGCATGGCAAAAAGTTAAATTCAAGTAGTTAGTTTATAAGAAATGAGGGTGTTATTATTACCTGGAGTTAATTCTTAAATTTCCAGTTAAGAAAATAAAATCACCATACGGAAAATTGCAAACCACATCAAAACAATTAAAAATATACTGTAGAAAAGCCCTAAACAACAAAGAAATGAATTTGGTCATCTAGATGAAAATTTTCACACAACCATTACTATTGAAAAATTATAACTGATATATAAATGTACATCACAAGTACAATTTAAGATAACCAAGCATTTGTGTTTCTGCACTGAGCATGTGCACAGACTCATTACAGTACAATTACCATTGGCAGTGACATTTTATGAAGCATTTAAAAAAATCACCTTACCTCTGATCTTGGAACACAAAGTCTAGACAATGGAATAGTCAATGTGTCTGATGCTTGCGAAGTCTTTCTACAGTCTATGGGTGGGAATCTGACTGTAGCTATACCTTCCTGTTCATTGATAGAAGCCACCACTCCAATGCTTCCTGAGATTCCTCTACCTAAAACCTGGAGACAGAGATAGATTAGCCCTACAGACCAGCTCTGATGTGTGGGCAGCTGTCTCATAAGACAAGAGGAAAGAGTAAATTTAAAGCTGTCATTGTTGGCATTACAGTAGTTTATACTACTAGGATAGCAGATACCAAGCCCTAGACATGAACTATAATATGCCCTAAAACCTAACTTCAAGGTGGTCACAACGAGCTATCATCTCAAACAGAAATTTATTACTGTTAGGCTGGGTGCAGTGGGGCTCACACCTGTAATCCCAGCACTTTGGGAGGCTGAGGCAGGTGGATCCCTTGAGGTCAGGAGTTTTGGACCAGCCTGGCCAGCATGGTGAAACCCCATCTCTGTTAAAATTATAGAAACTAGCCGGGAGAGGAGGTGGGCACCTGTAATCCCAGCTACTCAGAAGGCTGAGGCAGGAGAATTGTTTGAACCTGGGAGGCAGAGGTTGCAGTGAGCCGACATCGCATCATTGCACTCCAGCGTGGGTGACAGAGCAAGACTCTGTCTAAGAAAAAAAAAAAAATTATTACTGCTGTTTAATGGTAAATAAGGATTTGCAGGAAAAGACTGTTTTCCTTCCATGCTAATTCTACCTTCAATTCTAAGACTGATATTGATCACACTACAGGAAACAAGTATTGCAGTTAACTTGAGACAGTATTGCATTAATATATGACTAATGTATGGTACAGTGTGGATTTGAATTAGAGAGTTTCTCGGATTCCTTATTTAGCTTGAAGAAACAAGTTTTTTTTGGTCTAACTGGTTGGATACTTGTCTTACAGATGATCGATTAATCAATGATGCTTACATATATAAGGGAAGCAATTATTTGGGGAAAATGGTGGTTGGTACCTGAACCTCGGATCCTATCTTGATTGTCTCTTTGAAGCCTCCAAGTGCACACAGAGCGGCAACAGCCTGGCGGGCAATTCTCTGAAGTTTCGCAAGTTTCCTCCCACTGCTGCTGCCATTTTCCAGAATGCTCTCTGCGTATTTCCCCAATTGTGGAATGTACATCAGTGCCCGAGACAGAACCTAAATATAAGAAGGAGCCACGCACTAGGAGTTAAAGCTTTGGTTATTTTGATACCAAGGGTGATAAAGTGTCTACAACAGTGCCTGGGTCCTATGTATTGAAGGAACTCTGGACATGTGAGGCACCAAAAAACTATCAGGTATTGCCAGTGACATTTGCCCATATTTGTCTATGTAATTGGACAAAACTGGAAATATACAACTGGGAGAATCAAACATCATGTTACTAAAACCTCTAAAATAAAGCAATCACCTATCTGAAGAAAAACCATCCCAGCATATTGTCCACTTATCAACACTCGATTACCTTCAGGACATGTCATAAGGGGTTCATTTAAGAGTGGCTGTGGAAAGGGGGAACTGATTACAGATCTCTAGTTTCAGGCAACCAGTCTACTGTTTGTAATGATGAATCACTTACTGACAGGGCGCTCAGGCAGTATAAATCACGCAGAGGCCTCCTTGGACTTAGTGAGTATACTTAAACAAATCCAATAAACCAAGGCTGCATGATCTCCTAATGTCAGTACCAATCTAACATAAGCAAGAAGAAGAGAAACAAGTCCTGCCATTCTTTCCCTGAGAATACTGTCCTATCTTCTGCAAAATGAGAATCAGCAGTGACAGGAGACGTAGTTTAACAGAGTTGAAACTACTGTAGCAAAGCAAATTCCAGAGGAAAGTTGGTTAACAGGTGTATCTGACAAATTTGGAAAATTTCTCTTTACTAAAATGCCCCTTGCTGGGTATAATTCTAATTAGCTTACTTCTTACTTTTTCAGTTAAGTAGCAACACCACGCTAACCTTCTCTGCTGTTGTGGTCCATATTTGAGCAGCATTTGATTCGGGTGCCATGAGCAAGCTATGTAGCAAGGCGATCACTTCTGCAGCCATGCTGTTTGCCACGTGCCCACTGATGAAGGGACGCACGGGATCAGTCCTGCAAATGTCAACAAGGAAAAGTGTCAGTGCCCAGTGAAGAGTAAGACTGCAGGGAAGTGGCTTTCTGGGTTAACATCAGAGAGAAACCATTTCTATTTTTATACAAGAAAAACTGGATTCTGTTGACTGAGAAAACAAGACGCTACGTTATCTTTATGAAGAAATCACTGTGTCACATTCTTTGTGGTATCTGAATAACTGTCTCCAACAATGGACCTCAGACTTTATTTATAAGCTATAAGGATCAAGGAAAAACACTGCATTGCAACTATTCCTGGCTTTCAAGCACAAAACACCTTGAATGAACTTCACAGAGGCAACACTTAACTGTTGCTTCTGCTCCTAGAAAGAAGTTTGTGTTCACCTGGGTCAGTGGGAATGTACCATTTGCAAGAAATAAAGGTAGCAAGAACAGAGTTTACTAATACTACTCAAAAGAATCCTCTGGCTATAAATGCAGAGGATTTATAGCCTGGTGGGAGCATCCCTCTATTCCTTCATGACAATCTCAGACCTACCTGGATGGTCATTATTCTCCAATGTACTCCCAGGCTGCACCTTGAGTACAACTATTATAGCAGATGGGGCCTCATTACCGAGAGGTCAAGGGGATGGTAGAAAAATAAAAAGCCAAAAACAAACCCATTATAAAGTAATGGGTGTGGACAGCTTCTTGTGGAAGGTTTACCTCGCAAGTTCGGAGTTTCTCTCTCGGCAAATTGAAGTTTGGGCAGTTTTCTTTTTGTCGCCTGTGGATAGTCCACTCACAGTCTCTGGGTTGATGGACTCTACTGGTGGCCCAATGCTGACGATGAGGCCCGACTGTGCCCACTTGGTGGCTTTCCTCAGGGCAGCTGCAGCCTCTTCTGTAATCACTTCACAATAGCCACCCTGGGGGTAAGGTTGAAGACACTGAGAATATTTATTTCACTCTTCCCAGCACTGTATTTTTCAAGTCTCTTTCCCCTCAATTACCAAAGCAATCCAGGCTCAGTTTTTAAAAATTCAAACATAAAATATTATACATAGAGAGTAAAATTTCCATAGACATCCCAGGCTTCATCCAGGCTGAGATAATGGTTAGTCATCTAGATTACTTCTGTACAAATTCTGGCATACGTATCACAGGGCTCCGACACACAGGCTGCACGTCATTTTGCTTTAATCAGTTATCAGTGTATCACAGAGGCTCTTTCATATCAATACATGGAGATCTACCTCATTTTCATAGTTGCACAGTATTTCATTATATGACTGTAATAATTTCTTTAACCAATCCCCTATTTATGAGTATGTGGATCCTATTTTTTGTTTTTGTTTTTTTTTTTTTGAGACAGAGTCTTGCTCTGTCACCCGGGCTGGAGTGCAGTGGTGCAATCTTGGCTCACTGTAACCTCTGCCTCCTGGGTTGAAGCGACTCTCCTGCCTCAGCCTCCAAATAGCTGGGATTACAGGCGCCCACCACCATGCCTGGCTAATTTTTGTATTTTTTAGTAGAGACAGGGTTTTGCCATGTTGGCTAGGCTAGCCTTGAACTCCTGACCTCAGGTAATCTACCTGCCTCGGCCTCCCCGCAAAGTGCTGGGATTATAGGCGTGAGCCACTGCGCCTGGCCTATTTTGTTTGTTTTTTCAAACAAAACTGTGAAGAACACACTGCATTTATCTCTGGACACTTTAGACTTTATTTACCCTCACTTTGACAATAATGGGTATTCTTAATCTTTCTTAATTTTACTTGTCTGACAGATGAAAAATGACACATTACTATTGTTTTTATTCCTTTAATTATTTGTGAGCCTGGGCATATTTGTATATTTTTAATAAGTGTTTGTAATTCTTATTATCTGCTATTCACTTAGCAACCTTTCACTGATTTTCAACTACGTCACCTATCTCAAACTATTTTTAGGCTATTAAACTATTTCCAACTTCAAACTATTAAACTTTCTTAAAAGAGCTAAGAACAAACTTCTAGGTCAAAACTAAAAGTTCTGATCTTGACAAACTGATTTTGACTAGTTCTCTTTAAAACGGCTCAGTTGTGCCACTGACTTCAATTCTCGCCTTGCCTCCTTGTTGCAACTTGAACTAATTTTGCCTTTTCTCAATTTGTTCTGAAAATCTAAAGCATGACAAGTACTCTTCAATCATGGGTTTAATTGGGGCAGGTTTCCCTTCATGAGATTACCTTGGTCATGTCTCGATCCATCTTCACAACTTTCTCCATGTTGGCGCCAGTACCAAGTCGGAAGGGTCGTCCTTCTGAACTACTAAAAAAAGGCAGGCAGAGAGCAGAGCACACCTTACAGGCACTGCCAAAAGTGGGCTGCATGCCATGGGGCCACCCACCGTCAGGCCCCATTATACACGAACATTAGGTTTTTTTTTTGTTTTTTTGAGACAGGGTACTGGTCTGTTGCCCAGGCTGGAGTGTAGTGGCATGATCACAGCTCATTGCAGCCTTGACCTCCCCAGGCTCAAGTGATTCTTCCACCTCAGCCTCCCAAGTAGCTGGGACCACAGGTGCATGCTACCATGCCTGGCTAATTTTTGCATATTTTGTAGACACGGGGTCTCACTATGTTGCTCAGGCTGGTCTCAAACTCTTGGGCTCAAGCCATCCTCCTGCCTTGGACTCCCAAAGCACTGGGATTACAGGCATGAGCCACCATGCCTGGCCCTCTGACACTAGCTTTTAAAATCCACTAAGATTCAATTTTTCAAAAGGAAATAATTTATTACTGCTTAATCATATCACGTGAGGGCCTAAAACAACAGTGTTTTAGAGCTGTAAGGTTATCTAGAAATCCACATGAAAATAACGTACAAAATAAAAAACTGACATGAACCCAGAACAAAAGCAGGGCCTAAGGACATCATCTAAACCCCAAGGGGAGGGAACTTTAACGACAGCATGGATATGATGCTTTGGTGAATGTTTGGATTGTCCTTTCTAATAGTTCAGCTTTCCCTGCCTCCTGAACTGGCTCTCCAAAAAATCTTTGACCAAATTTGTGCTATGAAACACTGCAATGTCCAGGAATGTTTCTTGGAGATTTCCTCATGTAAGCCCTGACCTGTCATAATCCTGCTTAGTTTACACCATGGTCCCATTAGTGTTTTTGATTGCCATAAAGGCAGATGAGGGATTCAGTTATGAGGATAACAACAGTGTCAGTGAAGTAAAGAGAGGCCTCTTCCATCTGAGACATAAACACCTGCTCTGAATTCCCTTGTGCTATGTGGCAAGCCTTCCTGTTGTCCTGAATCCCACTAATAAAGCCCTGAAGGTTTGTAATATTTTGAGCAATGATTATATTTTTACTTCCTTCTTGAGTTATCATACCATTTCATACTTCAACTAATCAAAGCTTTAAAAAAGTGTCTCTTGTTTCTCCAACTCACATTCAATGAGTTGGAGTTTACCTAAATTTACCAACAGCTGAAAGATGCCAACAACTGAAAATCAACTGCATTATTCCTTCTCAAAGCCCAAGTCACACTGGAGACTTCCCAAAAACAATAATACATTGTCCACACGGCTTTAGCTCTCAGTTGGTTATAGAGAGACAGTACCAAGTCATGATTCAGAGTTTGGGTTCTGTGGTCAGAGAGGACTACATTTACATTTCAGCTCTGCCTCAGTTTCTTTCTATGTCACCACAGGAATCACAGTAACAGTGTCTATCTGGAAAAGTTGTAAAGAGGGCTGAGGCAGATGATACATGTACAGGGCTTACTTAGCACAGTGCCTGTGACATGGGTGGTGCTTGAGGATGTGTAGCTATCACAATCATTACCGTCACCTTAGCAATGGTTGGAGGACTTCATGGGATGACTGATCTTCCCGCTTGTGGATAAATATCGAGAGCTTGCCATCCACAGCTTCACTCTCTTCTCCAGGATCTTTATCTCCTTTCAAGGAACTCTTGGGACTGGTTTTTGTCAATGTGGTGTCCGGTTCAGAAGCGGTTGGAGAAAGAACTGTCTGACATCCTTTAAGCAAAAAACAAAGCTCATTCAGGTAAACTGCTGTGTTGTTTTGGCGGCTCTACTAAAATGAAAAACAATGGTTTGGGTTTGGAATCTCTCTTCCCCCTTCTCTATTCCTCTGTGTCTGCTCCCTTCTCTGTCACTCTCTGTTTCATCACAGGAAGCATAGATGCAAGTGGGGACCTGACTGGGCACAGAAAGGATGCACTGCCATGCCACTCTCCTGTTCAGGAGCATCTCACCTGGAACCACGTAATCTGCCAGCTTTGCTAAGAGCAAGGAGGCAATCTTGGAAGCTGGGTCGCTGGGATCCTCCTGCTCACTGTTTAAGGATGGGACAGAGTAGCTCCAGGGTGGGAGCTCCACGTTTCCACAGTCTTCTACGCTCATCAGTGGCAGGGCTGCCCGGCACAGCTGGAGAATAATAAGGACCAGCTTTGGAGACGGGCGTTGGTCAAGCAGCAGGGAGAGGAGTTTGGAAACACAAGCTGGCTGGCTTAGGATGGCTTTACCTATGTGGCTCCTGCAAAAAAAGGAAGAAAGGTAAACTGTGCTGGAAATGTTGATCTATAGACATTCAGAAGCAAGAGTTCTCTAAATGAAATAAACCAATAAAATATGATTTTAGGAAGAAGACATGAATTTGGCACTATGCTTCTGTGAAGAATTAAGAATTTTGGAAACATTTGAGGAAACCAAATGACCACTAATACTTAAAAAGAAAGATTTTAAAATATTTTCTGATCTCTGATGTTTACCTACTTGAGATCCTAAATTCAGAGTGCTTCATGGAGCACTGAGACTTAGAAACTCAAAGGAAGAGCTTTCCCATTTGTCATTTATTCTTTCATTTTTTTTAATAGGAAAAAAAGATATACAAGTTTATTTAGCATGTATACACAGGAGCCTTCGGAGTGAAGACCAAATTTCCCATGAGTTACAGAAGCTTATATACTATCTTGAGGTTACAGAAAGAATGGGAGCTTGGATCCTGGTAAATCAGGTTATGGGAGAGGGGAGGAGAAGTATTGTATTGAGGGGCAATAAATGATTGCTGGGAAGAATGACTGGATCTGGGAACAGAGATTAACTTGTAAATAGTTCTCTTTGGAATTTATGTCATTTATTCTTTCTTAATGAGTACCTCAAGACCAAAGCCATCACACAGTGTTGGACAGGCTTCAACATTCTGGAATCTGCCACAGCTAAAACTGCTGCATTCCAAGAAAGCTAAATAATCTGCAGTCAGTCATATGTGGACATTTTAAGGGCCCCATGGCTCACACAGAGGGTATACAACCAGCAAAGAATATCTTCTTTTAAAGACACAGTATGAGAAAGTGAGTTAATTACAGGCCCTGACTCATTACTTTTTAATCTTGCTATAATGAGGGTAAGATTTTTTGGTTAATGAATACAACTGCATCTATGGGAAAGGTTAGCAGCTGCTGTCAGTAAGCTATTAAAGCAAATGATAATATATTATTTTATGGTTTAGCTATTCGCCTAAATCATCTTTACATTTTGGAACTAAATACTATGTTTCAATGACTTTATTCTCTATTATTTTTTTTTTTTTTTTTGAGGCAGGAATGTGTCAAAATGACCTAGTAATTTAGCTATTTCAAAAGACAACCATCACCAAAAGAAACCCCAATCATTCAAGAGGAAAGCCAGCTTCTCCCAGAGCTCCAGGCTGGACCATGCATACCTTGAGAGATCATTGAGAAGACTAAGGACATCCTGGAGTGCGTCGTTCCCAGCAGCCTGGTTGCCACAGCACTCTGTGGCTCGGGCAAGGTGGTTGGTGAGAAGGCTGGACACCTGCCGGGCCAGACCTGAGTGCACAGCCTCTGTAGAGCCACCTTCACAGTTAAAAAGAGAAAAAAAGAGCTTGGTAAAAACCTAAGGGTGCCATGGTGAGCCTGCAGGGTGGTGAGCCCTGTCCTTGACTAATTTTTCTTTATCTTGCTCAATGTTTCATGAACCATTCAATTACTGTCTCCTTATTAGATAATATCCTTATATAAAAAGGATAATAGTTAAAAATAACTCAATGCTGGGGGTAGACATTACTATTAATGAAAATTGAGTATGATTAATCCATACATAACCAAACGACATACTTAACTGATAGGGAAAAAAATCACTATTTCACTGGTGATGAAAACATCTTGATGTTTTAACTCATACTTTCCCAAACACAATAAAAAACCTTTCTGGACTATTCCACATCCACCACAGTTCCAGAACCTCCCAAGCATCCCTTCTAAAAGTTATGAAAAAATATTTGTCATTTCCTGAACTTTCCATGCTCTTTTAGATCCCTGAGTCTAAACATGCTGTTTGTTCTGCTTGAAAGTCTTCTCCATCCTTCAAGAATAACTCCTGTGTCACGTTCTCTGGGAAGCTTTGCCAGCTCCCTAGCACAACTGGTCTCTGACACCTCTACACTCTACTGCACTTCCTATCTACCTCAGTTTTGGCACTGATTACACTACAATTATTTGCTTATTGGTCTATTTCCCTGCCAGAACTTTTTTTTTTTTTTTTTTTTTTGAGACAGAGTCTCCCTTTGTCGCCCAAGCTGGAATGCAGGGGCATGATCTTCGCTCACTACAACCTCCACCTCCCGGGTTCAAGTGATTCCCCTGCCTCAGCCTCCTGAGTAGCTTGGATTACAGACGTGCACCACCATGTCCAGCTAATTTTTGTATTTTTAGTAGAGACGGGGTTTCACCATGTTGGCCAGGTTGGTCTTGAACTCTTGACCTTGTGATCCACCTGCCTTGGCCTCCCAAAGTGCTGGGATTACAGGTGTGAGCCACTGCACACCTTAGACCATATTTTTAAAGGGAGAAACAATACCTTATTCATTTTTTGCCTGGCATACAACAAACTCTCAAGACATTAAAATGCATCATGAACAAATAAATAGATAAATAAGCAAGTTATACAAACAGGCCTGAAAGGGGAAGGGGAAATTTATTCTTCAAGTTTACTTTTTTTTTTAAATTTAGGTAGTGAAAAGAGAGGAAAAGGAGAGAAAGACTTCCACAAAGAGTGTGGAAGGGGATTCCAGGGGGGAAACCCAGGAGGGGAAAAAGAGCTCCCACCATGTGGGAGGGGATTCCAGAGAGCTGGAAATCCCTACTTTTTTTTTTTTAAACAAGATCTTGTTCTGTTGCCCAGGGAGTACAGTGGAATGATCACAGCTCACTGCAGCCTTGACCTCCTTGGCTCAAGCGATCTTCCCACTTCAGCCTTCTGAGTAGCTGGGACTATAGGCATGTGTTACTGTACCCAGCTCAAGTTTACTTTTTATTTGAATTGGTCACTAAAAATAAAATTTGGAAACATCACCTTGAAAATGCAACTGAGAGGCCACTTCAAAAAATATTATTTTTTTTTTTTGAATGCCAAGGTGCAAGGACTGCTTGAGGCCAGGAGTTTGAGACCAACCTGGGCAACATAGCAAGATCTTGTCTCTAAAAACAAACAACAACAACAAAAAACACTAGCTGGGCATGGTAGAGTGCACCTATAGTCCTACTTGGGAGGCTGAAGTTGGGGGATTGCTTACTGCTTGAGCCAGGGAGGTAGAGGTTACAGTGAGCTATGATTGTACCACTGTACCCTAGCCTGGGTGACAGACTTTATGTCTCATAATTTTTTTAAATTAAAAAAAATCTATTTGGAGGTTGTTAGCAGTATCGACAGGGAGAGAATAAAAATATTTTCTCAATTTCCTGGTTAATGTACTCCTTCAGGGTACGGGGATATCACTTAGTCTTATCGTAAAGCTGTAAGTTTTCAAAGAACCACACTGAGGATAAGTCACTCATGAAATCATCCACTGATTTAACTTATCTGATCATGTCATTTAATAGAGGCTTTCTTTCTCTTATTTAGCACAGACAACCTAATAAACTAACACACCAACCAAAGAAATCAGTGAGCTCTAGAAAGGAGTCCGGCGTCTCACCTTCTTCTTTTTCCCACTCAACACAGCGGTTGGCAAGCACTTGGAAGGCAGCCCAGGCCATGGTGGCCACCTTCTGCTTCTTGGTCTGTTTCTCACTGGAGCTGGACTCGGTCTGACTGCTCAAGCTACACAGGCGATCCATGAGCTGCACAAGGCCACTGCGTACCAAGCACTTCTCTTCACTCCTGACAAAGGGTCATGGATTGCACTAGATAAACATAACTGACCAACACTCCTGAAACTCTCATTGAGGTTCAAAGCATCAAAGGGGCATAAAACATGCTGGTGTAGTTCTTTCCCTACAACTTAGGATACTGCCGTGTGCAATCAAACACAAAATGATTTTCTTATAATGATGATTCCATTCATTAACAAAGAACTTCAAATTCTGGTTTATTACAACACCAAAGCAAAAAAATGAATGGATGGAATCAACTCATTGTTGCCATGTTGGAAAAAAAATAATATATTTGTCCTAAGGGAATTCAATTAATGCTTGACATCTTCAAATTAGTAACTAAGTGACCCAAGAGAGAAAATAAATGTGCATATGCAAAATATTTCTGCCAAATATGTAAGTAATTTCCTAGGGACCTTTTATTTTTCTTTGAACCTCCATATCTTCACAATGTAATATAATCCTAATGGCTGCATTTAGTCATGTAGACTCTCAATAATGAGAAATTTACATAGGAACCTTAGGTGTCTTTCAGGAGAAAAGTTTTGTTTAGTTAGTTCCCAAATAATGAAAGCAAAAATCCAGTTTTTAAAATTAAAAATACTTTCACTTAATCGACTATACTGCAGTGTAACTTACATACAACAAAAGGCCTTTCTGTACTTACCTTGTGTAAGGTATGGTACATAAAAGTCCAATGCTATTTGCACAAGCGATGGGGTAACGAGCACACAAAGACACAACAGAGGTCATGGTCTCGCCAAAGGCTTCCTGGACCTGCTCGACCATCCCACCACATGTGAGTTCTTCAATTCTGTGAAAGAGAAACCAAAGCTCAGGCTTCTGGAACCACATCAAGAACAGTGGATGTGACCATGTGAGCAGGCGAGGCCTCTTGAGAAACTCTAGCATATCTGGACGAATCCAGAACTGAAGGGATCTTAGAGAATATTCAACTTAGTGTTTCCCAAACTATGTAAGACCGAGGTGTGCCTCCAAAACAGTGGTTCACACTCCAGAAAAGTCTGAGAAATCCTGGGTTAAGGAAATTACAAAAAGACTACTATAGGACTTTTCAGAGCCTTTAATAAGGGTAAAGTGAATGGCCTCTCTCTACAAGCAGAGAACATTCAACACTTCCCAAACTTATCTGATCATGAAACCAGTACAATAACCCAAGTAGCACTGAATACTGTAAGTGCTTTTCTTAAAAATTTTTTTTGAGACAGGGTCTTGCTCTGTTACCCAGGCTGGAGTACAGTGGTACAATCACAGCTCACCGCAGCCTTGGCCACTTGGACTCAGGTGATCCTCCCACCTCTGCCTCCCAAGTAGCTGGGACCACAGATGCACACCACCATATCCAGCTAATTTTTTTGACTTTTAGTAGAGATGATGTTTCACTATGTTGTCCAGGCTGGTCTCAAACTCCTGAGCTCAAGCAATCCTCCCACCTCAGCCTCCCTAAGTGCTGGAATTACAGGCCTGAGCCACTGTGCCTAGTCAAGGCAGTTTTATTAATAAGATAACTAAGGTTCAAATGGATTAGTTAAGTGTCTGTTTTTGAGTTCACACTTCAGTTATTAGCAGAAGATGAAAGCCTAGTTGATATAAAGTAAGACTTTCCCAATGTAAAACACAAATAGGGCCGATTTTATACCAATTAATATTAGTTTAGAACTGAAACTATCAGGATTTATCTACAAAGACATGCAACATAATATTGTTTATAATAGCAAAAACAAATAAGCAAAACTAACCTAATGTTCAAAAAGAGGGAATTTGTTAAAGTTTCAAGCATATAATGCAGGGCTACATAACTACTAAAAGCACTACAGGAGACGTCTATGGTTAGAACACAGATACTAAAGTGTTAACAGATGTTACCTTAAGAGGTTGTACTTGTAGTTGATTTTCATTTTATTCTTTGGCATGTTCTACATTTTTTTTCAAGTTTCTGACAAATGACTTAATAATCAAGGGAAAAAGGAATAGTGTTGCCAGTTTTATGGAGAAATTAAATTGTGCAAATAGGCTGTGGTAATCATGAGGGCTTTTCACTGTATCTTTCTGGGCACCATGTGGTTGGCTGGGCAATGAAAAGTCTGGCCAATGAGCCAGAGTTCTGACAAGGAGCCTGGCAGCACTCAAGGTGGTAGTTTCCTCCTCTGTGATTACCACCAGCCAGCATGAACCCAACATGAACAGAAGCAAGACCTAAAGTTTTGTTTTCTTCTTTTTATTTTTTTGTGCAAAGTCTTGCTCTGTTGCCCAGGCTAAAGTGCAGGGTGGTGCAATCACAGCTCACTGCAGCCTCAATCTCCTGGCCTCAGGCGATCTTCCTGCCTGAGCTTCCCCAGTAGCTGGGATCACAGGCATGTGTCACCACGCCCAGCTAATTTTTTCTTTTTTGTAGAGACAGGGTCTCACTATATTGCCCAGGCTGGTCTTGAACTCCTGGCCTCCAGTGATCCTCCTGCCTTGGCCTCCCTAAGTGCTGGGATTATAGATGTGAGCCACTGCACCCCACAAAATTTTGTCTTTTAAGCCATTGAAATTTTGAGCTTGTTTCCAAAGAATAGTCTGACCTACCCTGCAGCCCCAGCTACTTGGAAGGCTGAGGTGGGAGGATCTCAAGATTTCTCAAGATACTCACTTCAGCACTTAATTAACCCATTTTCCTCCAGCCACTGGACACTCTCTGCCTATTGGCCAGAATTCCTTAAAGAAGTGCCAGGAGCCACAGCAGCTCCAGTCCGGGGCTTGTAGAGAAATGCATTTTCAATTTCTTCTTGAAGATCTTTGAAGCCCAATAGGAAATTCACATAGGAAAACTTCTCACACATGATTTATAAAACAATCTTCAAAGTTAGTATCTACAATTACATTTATAGAAATTGGTTCAGTAATAATAGTCACAGAAATATATAAAAATATAGGTAGAAGGAGGTTGTGATGGAAGCACTGTTGTTGGTGCAAAAATAAAAACAAAAGAAATAAAGACAAATGAACCTGTGTGTCCATCAGTAGAAAATGAGTTAAATTTTTAAGAAAAGGTCATCTATACAATGTATATCTATGAGCTCTTAAAAATGATAAAGTAGCCAAATGTGGTGGCTCATGCCTTTAATCCCAGCAGTCTGGAAGGCTGAGGCTGAAGTTCGAGACCAGCCTGGGCAACATGGAAGATCCCACCTCCACAAAAAATAAATACATTAGCTGAGCATGGTGGTATGCACCTGTAGTTCCAGCTACTCAGGAGGCTGAGCTGGGAGGATTGCTTAAGGCTGGCGAGGTCAAGGCTGCAGTGAGCCATGATCACGTCACTGCATGCCAGCCTGGGTGACAGAACGAGAACCTGTTTTTCTTTGGGGGAAAAAAAAAAAGGCTGTGCGTGGCGGCTCATGCCTGGAATCCCAGCACTTAGGGAGGCTGAGGTGGACAGATCACCTGAGGTCAGGAGTTTGAGACCAGCCTGGCCAACATGGTGAAACCCTGTCTCTATTAGAAATAAAAAAATTAGCCAGGTGTGGTGGCATGTGCCTGTAATCCCAGCTATTCAGGAGGCTGAGACATGTGAATTACTTGAACCAGGAGATGGAAGTTGCCATGAGCCAAGATCGTGCCACTGCACTCCAGCCTGGGTGACAAGAGTAAGACTCTGTCTCAAATTAAAAAAAAAAAAAAAAAGATAGAGCAGACCACACCTATATGTATTGACATAAAAACACAGATATCCAAGATATCTAAGACATACTCAGCAAAACAGTCATTGTCATAGAAAGGCATGTATAATATAATCTGAATTGAGTTGAAAAAATTAACACACATACACATTTATGTGTACAAAGAGAATTATACAGCTGCTTATGCCTATATGACTGCTGTAACGAGCTCTTAATGAACAGAGAGGAATTTAGAAGGTGAATACCGAGAGTTTTATATTCTATTAATATGTTGATTTTCTTTGCAAGATCATATGCCACTTTTATATAAATACTTTAGAGGGAAAACATTAGCAAATACTACCACCTATGTTTGGGCCACAGGAATAATCTTTGGAATGGCTCTGACCATTCTAGACAGGACAGCATAAACTAAGACAAACAACTAACCTGGGTCCTCCCTGAAGGACCATTGTCACCGGACCCACAAGATGCGTCACTCCCCCAACCCTCACGGCAGCTGTCAGCAATTCCCGCATGTGCACCAGTGCCTGCTTGCGAGTGTTTCCCCGGCGCCACCTTGTCTGTGCAGCCAAAAGAAAACTGCTGCTGGACACCTGAAATGCACAAGAAAGAGGGGCACCTGACTCCTGCTAACTGCCGCAAGCCCCGGCATACTGTTAGGTGCTATTCATCTAGAGCACGCAAAACATGACATACAGCTTGGTCAGGGTTGGTGCCGATGAAAGCAAATAGCTGCCCTAGCAGGACGCTGTAGGTGGGCTTGTCCCTGCTGTCCTCAATGGCCAGTGACTGCAGGAGAGTAAAGGAGCTGCTGCGGTGGCTGGTCACGTGGCGACGCCTACAGGGAACATAGAACAGACTGGCAAGACAAGAAACACACTTAGGGAGCTTGTTTTGATGAATGCATTCAGCTGCATGTGGAAACCCAACCCTGGTCATTAGCCATTTACCTCTGATTTGCTCTAGTAAATTCCAAATCTTCATTACCAATCATTTCCAGATCAGAAGGAGCTGACATGCTGCGAAGAAAAACAGGCTGCCTGACAGCGGGAGATATCACTTTTGTTTCAGAAGCTGATTTACAAGCTGGAAAAAAAAAGGAATAAAAAGGCCGAAATTTCTGCTATCTGTACAACAACAGCCAAATGCAACACAGCACTACCAAATCATCTAAGTGTATCTTTGCTTTCTATCAGAGTTCAGCCACCAATCTAGCTAGCGTAGCATACTGTCAATTTTTAAACCTAAATATTAGGTTTAAAATTATTTTAACTTAAAAAATTAAAATATTAAATTGGTTTTCTGTAGAAAAACTGAAAAATTCATTTAATTTCATAGCTATCAATGTTCACTTTAATGTAAGCAGTCTAAAAAACAAGGGAGGACACAGAAAATAATTTCCAGAAAACAAAAATTTTTCTTAATTTTTCAATTTCTTATTTTTTTGAGATGAGTCTCGCTCTGTCTCCCAGGCTGGATTGCAGTGGTATGATCTCAGCTCACTACAACCTTCATCTGCTGGGTTCAAGTGATTCTCCTGCTTCAGCCTCCCAAGTAGCTGCAATTACAGGTGTGAGCCACCACACCCAGCTAATTTTTGCATTTTTTTAGTAGAGACGGGGTATCACCATGTTGGCCAGGCTGGTCTCAAACTACTGACTTGAAGTGATCTGCCCACCCTGGCCTCCCAAAGTGCTGGAATTACAGGTGTGAGCCACCACATCTGGCCCAAATTTCTTAATTCAAATAAATCCAAATCCATTTTATTCAGAGATGAACTTTTTCCCGCTTTAACCCCAGATGTATTTAGCTGACTTATTGTCATTTGATGATACCTCTGCTTTGATCATAGTTAGTGGGAATAAATATCACATTTGAGTTGGAATCTGAATGGGTCTTTCTATAAGATACACTCCTTAACCTTGTCCAGGGAAATAGCTGTTTTATAAAACAATCCTTAAATGGAAGAAGATAAAACTATACATCAAGACTAGCTAAGAAAAAAAGATGTTGAGAAAGTAAGGAAAAAAACCATTTTCTTTTATTATTCTAAAACTTTCATTTATTTATTTATTTAGGGACAGGGTCTTGCTCTGCTGCCCAGGCTGAAGTGAAGTGCTACAATCATGGCTCACTGCAGCTTTGAACTCCTAGATTCAAGCAATCCTCCCAACTCAGCCTCTCAAGTAGCTGGAATTACAGGCACATGCCACCATGCCTGGTTGATTTTTGTGATTTTTTGTAGAGACCAGGTCCTGCTATGTGACAAAGCCTCGTCTTGAACTTCTGGCTTAAATGATCCTCCTGCCTTGGTCTTCCAAAGTGCTGGGATTACAGGCTTGAGCCACCACACCCGGCCCGAGAAAACCATTTTTTAATCTGTTTTAAGAGTGGTTACACAGCTTAAATATAAAAAAAGTATAATTTCTGAGGATACTGTTATCTCTGAGGTCAAGAGCCTCTGGGACAGTAGACAGCCTTACCAAGTGGTCAAGTCTATATATATGACCTTTAACAAGGGCTTATGTGTATAGCAGACCATCCTGGCATGTGATTATACCACACACTCAGCACATGTGTCTCTGCCAAACCTGTGTCTTCCCCTGAAGTTCTCAGGGAGAACCTGTGTTAGACAGTGAGATTCTGGGAGTCCTCCTAGACTTCAAGTCCCAAGTAAGAAGAGCCTTAAATGACCAGCTGGGATGAAAACAAGTTTGCCTGCTCCTTACTGCCCATTGGGCAATGAGGCTATGTAACATGGACTCTTTCAATTAAGAACAGTTTATTTAACTTTATCTCTCAAGTTAAGAATGAATGCTTGTGGGCTGTGCCGTGTTAACAGATCCTGTCTTAAGTAAGAAGACTCAATGATTTTCCTGAGAGATGCATTTTTAGGCTAACAATTAAAATGTGACCTAGACAAGGTGTGGTGGCTCATGCCTGTAATCCCAGCACTTTGGGAGGCTGAGGTGGGTGGATCACTTAAGGCTAGGAGTTCAAGACCAACCTGGCCAACATGGCAAAACCCTGTCTCTACTACAAATACAAAAATTAGCTGGGTGTGATGGTGGGTGCCTGTATTCCCACCTACTTGGGAAGCTGAGGCAGGAGAATTGCTTGAAACTAGGAGGCAGATATTGCAGTGAGCTGAGATCCAACCCGGGCAACAGAGTGAGACTCTGTCTCACAACAATAAATAAAATGTGACCTAGAAAACGTTAATTCCCAGGAAGTCATACCACATAATTACTAAAGATGAAATGCAAACTCAGCTTCAAGTAAAGAGGAAAAAATGATATTGCAAGATTCACAATGTTAACTAATTATATATGTTACTATGAAATCTAATTATATACGTTAGTATGAAAACAAAAATAGGGCCAGGTGCAATGGCTCACACCTATAATCCTAGTACTTTGAAAGGCCGAGGCAGGTGGATCACCTGAGGTCAGGAGTTTGAGACCAATCTGGTCAACATAGTGAAACCCCATCTCTACTAGAAATATAAAAATTAGCCAGGAATGGTGGCACATGCCTGTAGTCCCAGCTACTAGGGAGGCTGAGGCAGGAGAATTGCTGGAACCTGGGGGGGGGCAGAGGTTCCGGTGAGCTGAGACTGCGCTACTGCACTCCAGCCTGGGTGACACAGAGCAAGACTCAATCTCAAAAAAATAATAATAATAAAATAAAGAAAACAAGAAGTTGACCACAGGAATTTAATGACATATAAGTATTTCTTTGTTTTTCTTTTGTCACTCAATTGCTTTGTACAGAAAGTACAGGCAAAATTAAGTATGTTAAAAGTTCCTTTTATTTTCCTTTCTAGGTGTACCCAAGAGTGAGTTTTTCAAAAAACAGCTGATGTATCTTATATGAACAGACTAGGACCAGAAGTCGATTAGGGGCTATCTTTGAGCAGGAGTTTCAAAGATACCTGGCGTTTCAGCAGGAGTCCCAGAGATGCTTCTCGTGAGGCCCGACTGGGCTGCGATGGTGACATGCAGCAACAGCTCAGCTCGGTTCATTAAACTTTTCACTAACGTCTTTGTTTTAGCCAGTGGGTGTAAGGGTTTCTGAATAAGAGAATTCACTTCTTGTAGGAACTTCTCCCTATAAAGAAAGACTGATGTGCATTGAGTTGTACTCTAGCTAACCAAAAACAGTATTAAAAAAAATTACAAAGAGTCAGGGAAGACACAGGGGAAACCAAGCAAAAGTAACCTAATCAACATTGCTTAGTTCCCTGTTTCCTCATCCAAGGGGAACAGTGTTAGAAACTTTGGCCACTTCTTGTTCCTTTTTCTGTTTCAAATGCCTGTGCTAACTTTTGAAGGCTAAAACTCAAACTTCCAATTTACCAAATTAGTTCCAACTCTAAAATATTTAGTAAATTCACAACATTTAAAAATATATCTATTAAGAGACTAGACCTTTACAATGTGTTTTGAGCATCAAGGTGATAATAGCCTTAATAGTTATTAATACCACTAACCTCAGTGATAGGACCATGTTTTCAAGATCATTTCCATCAAAGGAGACTTCCTTCATTGAACACAGAAGTTCTAGTTCTTTCATTTTGTTCTAAAGAAGAAAAAAATTAAAAAAAAGTTGGTATGCAGGATCTGTAAGAACCAAGTTTTACTATACATATATTAAAATGAACAGAAAATTTCAGAGAAAAACCACCACCTTTGGTCCATATTTCTATGCTTGAAACCCATTTGTAAGTTCTTATTTGATATTTTAATGATTAAAAATGGCACTGACTACTTTCTGGGGATTCTTTCAGGGTTATAATTTTACCTACTTTTTGTTTTTTAAGGCTTGAAAGCAAAATTTGACCATGATGACAACTTCTTAATATATCTTTATAAAACTATTAACCAGTTAAAGAAAAACAACTTAAGGCCGAGTGCAGTGGCTCATGCTTGTAATCCCAGCACTGAGGTCAGGAGTTCGAGACCAGCCTGGTCAACATGGTGAAACACCATCTCTACTAAAAGTACAAAAATTAGCCAGGTGTGGTACTGCACACCTGTAATCCCAGCTATTTGGGAGGGTGAGGCAGGAGAATCGGTTGAACCCAGGAGGCAGAGGTTACAGTGAGCCAAGATCATACCATTGTACTCCAGCCTGGGTGACAGAGCAAGACTCCGTCTGGAGAAATAAATAAATAAGTAAAATTGGCCAATGTGGTGGCGTGTGCCTGTAATCCCAGCTACTCAGGAGGCTGAGGCAGGAGAATTGCTTGGACCCAGGAGGCAGAGATCATGCCACTGCATTCTTGCACTGGGTGACAGAGCAAGACTCTGTCTCAAAAAAAAAAAAAAAAAGAAAAACGTAATGAGTATTTATTTATATATTGCATGTTGAGCTAATCAATTTTCATTTAACCTCTTTTAAAGAATGGGTATGTTTTTAGAGTGTGCAACTTTTGAGGAAATGACATTTTACCTCTACAAACACACACACACACACACACACACTCACACACACACACACACACACACACACACACAGTATATATGTTTGCTGTCTAAATGGCTATGCCCCAGTGACAAATCATACACCTTGCTCACCTCATTAAAATGGTAATCATAAAAGAAAGGCATGTTGTTCTCCAGTTTCCCCTGTATGGCATCGTCTACTTCACTTTGCCATTTTTGTTCCAGTTCTGCAACACTCTATTAGATACATTAAAATAGATGCAAAATAAAAACAAGTATAATCTGTTTGAAAATTCAAAATTTTAGTCACAATAGTAATTTTTAAAGCTTAGATCACATTCTAAATTTCTTTAAATTTCCAGGAAAGAAATTATTTCCAACAGTTATCAGACATTTACCTGCAGCTGTCTCTCCATGGCATTGAGCTTCTTAAAGGTCTCTCCCATAATTTTACATAATAAATCATATTCTTCAGCATGTTCTTCTTGATATTGAAAATTTATTAGAGACTGCAGTGCATCAACTAAGTTCAAGTGCTTAATAACACAAGATACCACCATTTCCTCCATCACGTCTGGCTGAATCACTTCTCTGTGATCACAATGGAAATCAGTCAGGTATATGCCATGCTCTCAGCTTCTCAATACTGTATTTTATTTTCATTTTTAATTTTTTAGAGACAGGGTCTCCCTCTCACCCAGGCTGCAGTTCAGTGAAGCAGTCATGGCTCAATGCAGCCTCAAACTCCTGGGCTCAAGGGATCCTCCTGCCTCAGCCTCCTGAGTAGCTGAGACTATAGATGCATGCTGCCATGCTTAGCTAATTTAAGAAAAACATTTTTAGGGGAATTTCTCACTATGTTGCTCAGGCTGGTCTTGAACTCCTGGGCTCAAGTGATCCTCCTGACTTGGCCTCCCAAAGTATTGGAATTACAGGCATGAGCCACTGTGTCCCAGGCCTAATACTATATTTTATAGGTTGGGGAACTTAGGCGTTAATCTAAAGATATTAAATATTCACCACACCTCCTTTATTACAATAGAGTAAGAGGTATGAATAGTATAATGGCATTGTAGGAGTCTTACGTTGGCAGATAATTTAGTATATTAACTGATAAAACTGAATTTGGCTGATAAAGCTGAAAATCAAGAGTAAAGAGACTTCAGCCTGGAATCCCAGCACTTTGGGAGACTGAGGTGAGTGAATCACTTAAGGTCAGGAGTTCAAGACCAGCCTGGCCAACATGGAGAAACCCTGTCTCTACTAAAAATACAAAAATTAGTCAGGCGTGGTGGTGCACGCCTGTAATCCCAGTTACTCGGGAGGCTGAGGCAGGAGAATCACTTGAACCCAGGAGGCGGAGGTTGTAGTGAGCCAAGATTGTGCCACTGCACTCCAGCCTGGGTGACAGAGTGAGACTCCCTCTCCAAACAAACCAACGAACAAACAAGAGTAAAGAGACTTCATTTTCTATGATTGCTACATTTTGAGTTAGAGTCATACTAGAGCTGGAAAAGGGCTAAGGCTAAGAAAAGATCTTCAGCAGCATCTATCCACTAATTAATTTTATGTAGTGTTATAGCCTGCAGTATTCGGTCCAAATAGATGTTGGGCTGAAAACAATGGTGTTTTCTCTTTTTTTTTTTTCATTTTAAATTTCATACATTCTCTAAAGTTTTCTCTCTGAAATCCTGCCTCAGGAGGCAGGGCAGAGGCCTGCAAAACAGATTTGACTTTAAGCAAGAATACTACAGACATTTGTAACTGTAAGTTTGTACATTCTGGATTAGAGAACTCCTCACCATTTCTCTAGGCATCAAAAATAAACACATGTCTCTAAATAAACTCTGGAAACTAAAGTAGAGGCTGATTGCTAGCAGAAGGTCAACATACTGAACATAAACCTAGAACTCGGTCACACTTTAGCATGCATCAGTCACATGGGAAACTTGCTAAACTGAGCCCCATCCTCAGAGCTTCTGATTCAACAGGTATCAAATGGGGTTCAAGAACTAACAAGTTCCCAGGTGATGCCAAAGCTGCTGATTTGAGGACCAAATTTTGAGAACCCCTAATCTGGAATACCACCTGGTGGGCCCTCCAGACTCAGTTAATTTTAACATTCATGCAGTAAACATAAAATTAAAGGTTCATTTCCTAGACCACAGAAGAAATACATCCATTTCAATGGTTGAAACTTTTTTCCACTGCGAAAAGTAAAACACTACACAGCAACATACTTTATACTTGGTCTAAATTGAGGTCTAGCACGCCCAGAAATTTCCCTGAGCTTTATCATGATTCCTGGAGGCAGCCTGATCCGAGGCAGATCAAAGTAGTTTCCAACAGGAGGCACGAGGACATCAGAGGGGTAGGTGAATTCTCTGTCTTCCTCTATGGTCAGAGGCAGTGGAGAGGGGCTCGGAGTAAGGGCAGGGGAGATCACGCCATTGGCCTCCACCTGCCACTGGCACCTGAGCAGACAGAAAAGAGGCTCTTCACTTCTTCTCTCATCAAGATTATTGGAAAGCTATTGGATGTTTGCAGATACATCAAACATATGAAGGATCACATTCTGTGTTACTCATCAAAACTTCTCCAGAAGCTAAAGAAAAATGAGCACTGTATGAAAGCCCATCTTTGGAGATCTAGCTCCTCCCCAATATTTAATCATTAAAACTTTGAAATGTATAGAAAAGCTGAAAGAATGACATGGTTGATGTTCACAGACCCACTTGTATAGATTGTACAATAAACATTTGCTGTGTTTGTTTTATCATACAATCACCTATCCTCTTGGGGATCATTCAGTTTAACTAGACAATAATTGTGTTGCAGAAAAGCTTATGCAGTTCAAAGACGTAATTTTAAATTTAGTAAAGTAAGGGCCAGAAAGCACTATGGTGTAATTTTCATCTTATTTCTTAGACACAAAAACACCCATGAGATTGCCAAGCAGTAGGCACTATCACCTGGGAAATGTACCGAAAGGAGTTTTCCATATAAAGTCCTTTTTCCTTTGCAGGCAACACTAGCTAAACTTTAACCTTTTTGTTACCTTTGTAAAAGTTTGGACCGCAATAGATCCTGACAGGCTTCTTCTTCTTTGGTAATTTCTGGTCCATTGTACAGGATTCTTAACATGGAACAAGCTAACACAGACAGACCTAAAGCCAGGTCTACCAGAAAGGGCAAGCCTCCTGAGACATCCTCCGAAGACTCCTACAATGCAGACAGGGGTAAACCACACTGGTCAGAGCACACTGGCAGAGGCAGCTACTTGTGCTGCCCCACACTGCACTGTCCCCAAGCACAGGGTTCTACAGAGCAGCATCAAGTTATCACTGCTAGGGGACACAGGTACAGCACCTAAATCATGACTAGATGGTGGCACTGGAATGACCAGAATGAAGTTGCAACACAATTCTGCAGAGAAAATAGCTGACCAGACCCCATATTAGAAATAGCACAAATCAAATAAAGAAATCCGATTCTTTGATAGCTTCCTTTCTGTTGTGCCTAAGTATAAACCACTATTTTGTTTTCTCACTTCCATCCTGTGCTCAAACCGTGATGTTGTCAATGGCTGCACTGAATTCATTCAAGAAATATTTACTGAGTGCCCTCTGTATGCCAGCCACCGTTCTAGGTGCCTGAGATATATCGGAGGATGAAACGAAGATCTCTGCTCTCATGGAGTTTACATTCTAGCAGTTAATGCCACTCTGGAGAGTCTTAGCTTGGTTAAGCTTAAGAAACCTCAAAATCTAAAACATATTTTTAGAATCCGGCAACTGGAGGGGTCAGTAGTATGCTTAAGTCCTCTTTTTTTTTCTTTGAGACAGAGTCTCACTCCGTCGCCCAGGCTGAAGTACAGTGGCACAATCTCAGCTCACTGCAATCTCTGCCTCCTGGGTTCAAGCAATTCTCCTGCCTCAGCCTCCCGAGTAGGTAAGACTATGGGCACGCACCACCATACCCAGATAATTTTTGTATTTTTAGTAGAGATGGGGTTTCACCAAGTTGGCCAGACTGGTCTAGAACTCCTGACCTCAGGTGATCTGGCCACCTCAGTCTCCCAAAGTGCTGGGATTACAGGTGTGAGCCACCATGCCCAGCGGGATGCTTAACTACTCTTAAAACCCAGGATCCAAGTGCTTATTTCTACTAAGTTCTATTGAGTCCTCTTTGCCCTGTGGAAAGATGCTGGGGTAAGGTCACCTCCCCAAGCTTTGAAGAAGGAGCCCCAATCAATAGATTTATTTCTGTGCTGCTGAGCTGATTTTAGGTCATGGTAGGTTTTATTCTGTAAAAGTACTACTAACTGCTAGTAGTTGACTAGTGCCAAATAGAAGAGACAGATGAAACGGTGACTCATATTCTGCCCTGTTTCCAAGGCAAATATGATGTATGTAATCAAGGCACATAGCAGATAGTATATTTTGTCCATGGCAGTGGTTAGATTCAAGTACCTGAGCGCGAACTGTGCAAGCAAAGCCCCACATGGCTTTATCAGGAGTGTTGTGTTCACGGCCACTTCTCATTTCAAAGGAGAAGGTGACTGTATCTCCTTCCACCTTAAAATTTAAGGAGGGGGGGGGAAATGCACTTTAAAAACAAGATACACAATTTTCAAAAGAGCAATTAATTTCAGAGATTTACTTTCAAAAAGGACCACAGCAATATTTCACTCCTTTTCTCACTTGCTTTTTGATTCAAATTCCATTCCCTCTCATTTAGACTCCCAGTCCTTTAAGTGTCTCTCCTGACCAGGTGGCCTTTGGGATGAGGCATCTGTGAAATGGGCCACAGTTGCCCATTAGCAAGATCAAGGCAAAGGTTAATCAAATCATTTTCTTTTTTTTTGAGACAAGGTCTTACTCTGTCACCCAGGCTGGAGTGCAGTGGCATGATCATGGCTTACTGAAGCCTTGACCTCCTGGACTAAAAAGATCCTCCCACTTCAGTCTCCTGAGTAGCTGGAACTACAAGTATGCAGCACCATTCCCAGCTAATTTTTTTTTTTTTTTTTTTTGGTAGAGACAAGGTCTTACTATGTTGCCCAGGCTGGTCTCAAATTCTTGGGCTCAACCAGTCTGCCTACCTCAGCCGCCCAAAGTGCTGGGATTATAGGTATGAGCCACTGCACTCGGCCTTGAGCATAATTTCTCTTTTATTGAGATGGAGTTTTGCTCTGTTGCCTAGACTAGAGTGCAATGGCCCAATCTCAGCTCACTGCAATCTCCGCTTCCTAGATTCAAGTGATTCTCCTGCCTTAGCCTCCTGAGTAGCTGGCATGACAAGCACGTGCCACCACGTCCAGCTAATCTTTGTATTTTCAGTAGAGACAGGGTTTCACCATGTTGGTCAGGCTGGTCTCGAACTCCTGACCTCAGGTGATCCTCCCACTTCGGCCTCCCAAAGTGCTGGGATTACAGGCATGAGCAGCCATGTCCAGTCATAATTTCTAACAAATGGCTTGTCATCTACGGCTGAATTAAAGAGGGTCCGTAATGTATATGAAATAAAGGCCCTAGGAACAGACTTTGGAGACATTTTTGGGTTTTAACAGACATTTCAGTTTATATTCATATTCCAGACAGATACATAGTAAGTAGTTTAAGGCCCAGATTACAAAGCATGGCCCTAATTTCATCAGTTTGAGAATGGATAATTGGTTTTGCTCCAGAGGCCCAAATTCCTCTGAACACATTAATTCAACACTTTCACACTGCAATGGCCTTGTGGTTCTAGGGTACTTCTCAACAGGAAGTGTGGAGGAGAACTAAGCTGGAAGAACTAGCAACCCTTTTAATCAACAAGGAAGAAAATGCTGTGACAACTTCTATCCATGGAATAACTTGTGAAAGGCAGTAACAGGGATATCATGTTCTACAAGTGAAAGGAGGGTCATTCTGAATAGAAATAGTGAGTTGATGGGCCTGGAAAGGTGGCTCCACCTCAACGAAAGGCCCCATGGCAAATGTTTTTCTGGGATTACAGTTAGTACTTGGACCTGTGAGGGCTGCAAGTTCATTTTCTTTTCTAGGAAGCAATTATGACTGGATACCATACCTTCACCAAGTCTTTCGGCCAACCAGTTCCTAAGACACTACGGCTGCCATATCCCAGTGTGTTGCCTCCATATTCAGCAACCTTCCTACTGTTTGTGTTAGGCCCCGCATATATCACCAACTTCAAAACAGAAAATATACTGTTAGACTGTAAAAGAAAAACAAAAACAACATCTACAAATAAAAAGGCTGCAAAAAATTTTGTTTAAAGTACAATTATAACCAGGCATTGGTGTCATTATAGTATAACTAATATTCCCTCATTTTTTAGGTATAACTGATACTAGTTTGGATGCAATCAGTCATTGGTATTTACAGGGAAGCCACAGAGTAATAACAATTATTAATTAAAAGAAGTATACTTTTTATATTACCATGCTTTAATTGGCTTGGGGATCTCACATTAAATAGTTATACTCAGCTACTGTACATCAGTATTTTTGAAATAGCTGTTTTAATGCTAATTAATAACATACAACTCATTAATAACAGTTTGGCCCCTTAAGTCCTCCCCAAAATTAATAAAGTGAGCAAATACAGATGGAAATATGGTTATATCTAGCACAACAACAAAATAAAAGCACCAAAAAGCAAAATCAATGAATAAATAAGAATTTTTAAAAATGCAACAAATTGAAAATAAGCCATATATTCTTAGAATGTTGCTTCATGGTAGAAAAAGAAAATGATACAAATTTGGGCCAGAAAGGGGGCTGCTGCTTCTTGGGTCAGTTTTCATGTATCAGTATGTCTCTAATTCATTTATAACCAGCTGGCTGACTTTCTAATAGGCAGAAGAAACATTTATAGCTCATTTGGCATTCAAAGACTTCCATAGGAAAAATAAAGCTCTGGCTTCTGTAAATACCAAACTCTGTCTTCTAATGTACACTTTGACTGCTTCTCACTGTGTCTAAGTTCAGATTTAGAAGCTCCATCTTCAGCCCTGAATGCTTATTATTTTGTGATTTCTTACCCTTTGGGGCCTTTTGCTGACACCAGCCAGGGACCACTGGAAAAGTAAATGTACTTTTATCCATGTAATAAGCCTCTTTGTGCTTCATCACTTTACACTAATATCTACTGCAGGCATAAGTTAGCGCATATCAGAAATGCAAATTACGGTTTTTAAAAGAGAAACAAAAAGACACCAACTAAAATGGCAGCCTCTCCCATTTCTATATTAAAAGTCACTTCACCTGAACCTAGGAAATGGGAGCAGTCAATGCCAGGAGCTATGAAGTAGGGTGGACTGATGCTAGGAGACACGTTTCTGAAAGGCCTACTAAAAGATCAACTCATACATTTTCTTGCTTCCAGCTAAGGTGAGTTATGAGGACAAGTCTTTGGGGGCACCTGGGAATCTTCACTATCCTAAAAGATAGGAAGAGGATTTTATAACTTGCCCAGAAATGTGTTTCCCCATCTCATAGTGTATAGAGTTAAGAAGTCCTTTATTTTTAACCTAAAAACCTCCCCAGATAGAAGTTTTTTTAAAGCCAGCCTCAGAAGTCAGAATCCCCTACTAGGATTTAAGCCCATTTGCCCTCACATAGTTCATAGGAGAGAGAGCCAACAGATTACTAACAAGCTACATAAAAGGAATATTCATGAAGCTATTAGATAATCCTCTAGCTGTTCTTTCATATGTTACATATTTCATTAGCCTTTCCTCCTAAGACTAACATGACAGGTTACAATTCAATAATTCTAAGTAGAAGAAAATGCTCCAATCCCTAAGATGCTTCCTTTCATTTAACTGTTAAGCCACCAGGTTGGAAACTACTCTTCCTCGAAAAAGGAAGAACGAATGTTTAAATAAATATAAACCAGATCCTAGCACCTCTGAAACTCTTCTAAAAAGCCACCTTTTCCCAAAAGATACATGAGAAGCTCCAAGAATTGGGCAGTGAGACCTTTCTAGATGAATGGACATCACACATCTGGAGGAACTTCAAGCACACAGGGAGGGCAGGGGGTAAGCAGAACGAAAAGGAACATTTCATTCCACTCAGATCTAAGCATCTGAAAGCTTACAAAGTACACTTTCAACACATCATTAAAACATTGTTCTTAGACCTCAGAGGTGGTGTTTCTCTAACTCCCTCAATCACTACCCTTCAAAGATAAAGAACTTTATCTTAAAAAAGTTCTCCTTAGAGATATCTGCAGACAGAAATCAGTCAAGAATGGTGACCAGCAGCAAAGAAAAAGAAGAAGCATCTAAGAATCAGCTTACTCAAGGTGGAACCAGTAACAACCCAATTCTTACTTACTTTGTCATAGTCATATTGTGAAGAGCATCTGCTATCAAATCTAAGGTACAGGCAGCGAGCTCCTGGGATATGGACCGTTTCTTTAAATTTATAGTTGTCTCTGACAGGGTGGACTGTTTCCACAGTCTTCCCAGCAGCCCATGGGGCAGGAATCTTTAAACCAGTGAGAAATCCTGGCTCCTCCTTCTCTTCTAACATTCTAAACAGAAAAAGAGAAAATGATTCAGCTTAGCAGGCAAGTTAAGGAAAAACAATGTAAACATTAAATTGCTCTTTAATTTTCCACAGCTTGCAGTATAATACTGGGGCTTTTAAATGCTTGATCTCAGTGGCAATCAGAAACATTTAAAAATTTTCTCCATTTAAGGGTTTTTTTTTTTCTTTGTTGTTATATATTATATTTGCTTTTTTTTTTCTTTTTTGCCTTTTTCCAGGACAAAAAACAGAAACATATTTTCATTTTTCCCACTTTTTTCAAGGGAGAAGCCCAGTTGATATTGAGGAGAAGACCTGATTAACTCTCATTTAAAGGTACTCAGAAAAAAAAAAAGGATACTGTAAAGGATCCTTAAGATTGGCCCCTTTCCAAATCCCACAGAATTAGCATCCTGTAAAAATTTCCTGTTGTTGATATCTACATGCTAATTGTTGAAAACTCCAAAAGTCTACATAACTACTTTTTACTATGATTTTTGCTAAAGTAAGGTGCCTTCAAAGGTTCTCTTAACTACTATAATTGAACTCTCAAGGATTTCATGGTGCCTGAGGTTGTGGAATACAAACTCCTGAAACTTAAACTTAGCTGCCATGAAATTCTCTTATTCTTTCAACTCTGAAACTTGAGCTGCAGAGTCTCACTGTCCAATATGGTAGCTACTAGTCACATGTGGCTATTTCAATTAAATTGAATTTAAATGAAATACAATTTAAAATTTAGTCCCTCAGTCACATTAGCTATCTTGCAGGTGCTCAATAACAACCTGTCGCTATGGCACTAGACAGCACAGATAGAAGTTTTCATCACTGCAAAAAGCTCAATTTCATATCCTTCTGTTCTAGAGAAACTCAGGAAATCTTTCCTTTCTGAACAATGTTTTTTAAGGACAGCTTTAATGCAACATAATTGATATAATAAATTGGACATATTTAAAGCATACAACTTGATAAGTTTGGACATTTGTTATATCTATTAAGTTTCCTTCTTCCTCTTTGTAACCACTCCATTTCTCCCCTAGGTGAACACTTACTTGCTGTCTGTCACTAGAGATTAGTTTGCATTTTCTAGAGTTTGATATACATGAAATCATACAGTACATGACCTAAGGGGATGCAGATTCTTTCCCTCAGGGTTTAGTATTTTGAGATTATATACATGCTGTTATATATAACAAGAGTTCATTCCTTTTTATTGCTGATTAGAGTCCGTTGTATGACTATTATCACAATTTATTTATCCATTCACTTACTGATGGACATTTAAGTTGTTTCCAGTTTTGGGCTCTTCTAACCAAAACTGTTGTGAACCTTAATGTAAAAGCCTTTGTAAGAACCTTGCTTTCTTTCTTTCTTTTACTTCACGTAAAAGTGAAGTAGTTGAGTCATATAGTAGATATATGTTTAACTTTTTAAAAAACAGCCAGCTGGGCGTGGTGGTTTATGCCTGTAATCCCAGCACTTTGGGAGGCCGAGGTGGGCGAATCACAAGGTCAGGAGTTTGAAACCAACCTGGCCAACATGGTAAAACTCTGTCTTTACTAAAAATACAAAAATTAGCTGGGCATGGTAACCCATGCCTGTAATCCTAGCTACTCAGGAGGCTGAGGGAGGAGAATTGCTTGAACCTGGGAGGCTGGGGTTGCAGTGAGCTGAGATCATGCCACTGCACCTCAACCTGGGTGACAGAGCAAAACTCCATCTCAGGAAAAAAAGAAAAAAGAAAAGAAACAGTCAAACTGCCTGCCAAAGTCATAATATTTTATATCCTCACTATTAGCATATGAGAATTTCAGATCAATTTTGAACTAATCTCTTGATCCATAGGGAAATTTATTCTAACCAGTTGCTATAAATCTACAAAGCAATTCTACAGTTACCTAAAATTTTATTCCAAAGTCTCTCTTTACAGTTAGATAATCCTTTCTAAAAATCATTTTCATAAAGAGTACTAGGCTTTCACCAGAAGAAAACAAGAAAAGAGTTCCTGCAAGGAAGCAGCATCCATTACCTCTCATCAGGGAACAGCCTACACTTCTGGTCTGGTGCACCACATGGGGAACAGCCCACCTCAGCAAAAACCGGACACTGGGTTTTAAGCAGCAAAGCCGTCTGAAACACAAAACCATCATTAAGTCTTTGAGTGCTACTGTCAGTTATCTGAATGGTATAAGAGCCAAACTTAGAAGTCTCTCTTAAATTACCTTTTTACAATCCTTCACTAAGAAATGCTGTGCTACTTAGACCACTTAACATTATTTTACTTAATGCTGGAATGGAACACATCATTTACATTAGCTACTATTAGCTGGCAAGAACTCAGGAGACAAACTATAATGGTAGGGTTTTAGTAGCATTGTATATTGGTATTTTTACAGCTGATTTGCTATGAACACTCACTAAAAGATTGCACTTAGTAATTTAGCCAAACAAACAAAATATTTTCCCTTAATATTTATTTTTATGACATATTTTTCTTCATTCCATCATTATTACCCTTAGTTTCTGAAAGACAGGATTATGTTTATTCTGTCTTCAGTGAAAGCAAATAGCCACCCTGTGAAGCAGCTTGGCCAAAAAGCAGTTCATTTGGCACACCAAGGATCATACCTGGCTGGTATAGAGTACCAGCTGCACTAGCTGAGGCATCAGGGCATCGGCCATGATCAGAGTCTGCAAATTTGGATGCATCAGGGAGGTCAGTAACACTGGAAGAAGGTGACCAAGCATAGTAGCCTTAGTAACTTGTTCCAAGCCTTTTAACCTACAAAAAGGTGAAGAAAAACACACAGCCTAAGCAATGCCCAAACATGTGAAGAAGCAACTAATGTCATCTTTATCTGACAAATTCTCTTAAACTGCATCTCCTTAAACTAGTTAAGCACTTTCAGTGACAGTCCACAAATTTTCCACCTTCTGTCACTGAAGAAGAGGGGAAGAGCAGAAAGTTATTAATGGGTTTCACCTTCAATCTGTGATTTTTGCCAAAAAGTTTATAAAGCGCCTTTTTTTGTTGTTTTAGAGACAGGGTCTCACTCTGTCACCCAGGCTGGAGTGCATTGGTACCATCTCAGCTCATTGCAGCCTTGATCTCCTGGGCAGAAGTGATCCTCCCACCTTAGCCTCCCAAACTGCTGCAATTACAGGCGTGAACCATGGAGCCAACCTACATGGCACCTTTGAAGCACTTTACAAATGGGTTCTCAAATGCCAATAGCTACTACCTGTAAAGCTCCCTTGCCTCTGGGGCTGCTGGTCGCTATGTTACACTGGGCACTCTAAAAAGGAGGAAGTGAATGGCTACAACATTGATTCACCTGCCCATAGCCATGACATCCATTACTGGTCTAGAGAAATTGAGGCTTGTCTGGGACATGCAGAAGCAAGCAAATTTTTTCTCCCAATTTTCTCTTATTATAGTAAAATAAACATAGCATAACATTTACCATCTTAACCATTTTAAGTGTACATTTCAACATTATTAAATAATGTGCAACTATCACCACCATCCATCTCCACAACTCTTTTGTGTTATAAAACCAAAACTCTATACCCATTAAGCAGTAACTCCTCATTTTCCCCTTTCCCCAGCCCCTGGCAACCACCATTCTACTTTCAGTCTCTAAGACTTTGACTAATCTAAGTAGGCAAATTTTAAATTTATCTTTAAAATCACATTCTTAATATCCCTGTCCCCTGCTAGAAGAATTAAGGAATGCAAAAAGAAATGGATTATGTAAATTCCTTAAGGCTACTTGGGATATTGGTATGGGAACCAGAAACTCAGGCTCTCCCATTAGATTGAATTATGTATTACTAAGCCTCAATGCAATGCCTATCTGGGTTATACTGTTCTCAATCCAAACCTCCTATCTACTCCCTAGGAGTGGGCAAGAACCAAGACCATAGTAACAGACAGGGTTACAGAAGCAAAAATTACACTGTAGGATTCTTTTAGATTTAATATTCAAATCGTCAAAAAACATAGTGGGCAATGCATTTCTAAAAGCAAACCACAGCAGAAGTTTTAATGTGAAGGGCTGAGAAAGGGCTTTATTACTGTGAAAGAGAAGTTTGCCCCATCAGTCATGTATTTGGAGAAGTAAAATTACAGTAAAATCTTGAGATATCACATCAGTGTCATCTTTTGAGTAGCAGTAGATAAGTCACTTCTTCCTCCCAAAGTCTTTATCATGAGGAAACTAAGTGTGCATGGTGCTAACCTCAATAATTAAAGGAAAGGCCAATTTGGGAGTGATGACAGTAGAAGTCCCAAGTGGCAGAGATCAGGCTGTGCCCTCCATAACCTTGCTACCCTTAGATCATGGCTGTTGGTCCAGTCTCACCTGAAAGCAGATGAAAGAGTGTGACTACACTTGGCTTTCAAACACTTGCCCTTTCAGCCTATTCTCACAAAAATCTATCTATATAAAACTAATCCTTCTATATTCTGTTCTAAAAAGATTTAGTTTTAATAAACAAATTTTTCTTCCCAAAGGGCAGTTGGTCACAGCCCACAAATCCGTTCCTCACCTCTGCTCACGGTCTGCTATGTCACTATTTATGAGGGCAGTTGTGACCTGCTGTAGCATTTCCAACACTTCATCACATCCAGTCAGGATTTGGGTGGCAAGAGCCAAAATACTGACTTTTAGCTCCTAGGCAGAAAATATCATCGTATTATTTTTAAGCTTTGTGATGAACGTAAGTTCACAATGACAACATGAAATGATGTATTTAATGATGCATTTCCAAATGAAATAATGAGGTGGCCAGAATAAGCCCAAAGCAGTAAATTCTGCTAGGATGGCAAGTAGCAATCTGGGAGACCAGGGTCTGGAAAGCTGACAGAAATACGCAGTATTTCAGAGGGATCACTCTGAGTCCCTAGGAGAAAAGGCCTATCTCCCATCCCATCCAGCACAAGAGAGCTCCTTGTGGCCAGCCCAGAAACTGTCCAGGTGGAAGACTGCCTTGGGTGGTATGAGGATAGCTAAAGAGAAAAACAGAACAGTAAAAGGCACATGTAGAGGCGGTGAATAAAATGAGACAAAAACACAACATTCTGAAACAGTACAAGTGACCTTTTACTTAATGCCTTAAACCCATCACACTTGAAAACAGGCAGTTAAAAAAATTCAATTAAAGTAGCAGGCAGTTACAGGCTAATAAACATTAAAATTACTATTAAAGAGTTCATGGGAGTACAAATACTAAATAATGTATTAAAAAAGACTAGCTAATATCATATAAATGTTTAGTTTACAGTTATTTTCGGCCGGGCGCGGTGGCTCAAGCCTGTAATCCCAGCACTTTGGGAGGCCGAGGCGGGTGGATCATGTGGTCAAGAGATCGAGACCATCCTGGTCAACATGGTGAAACCCCATCTCTACTAAAAATAAAAAAAAATTAGCTGGGCATGGTGGCGCGTGCCTGTAATCCTAGCTACTCAGGAGGCTGAGGCAGGAGAATTGCCTGAACCCAGGAGGCGGAGGTTGCGGTGAGCCGAGATTGTGCCATTGCACTCCAGCCTGGGTAACAAGAGCGAAATTCCGTCTCAAAAAAACAAAAACAAAAACAAAATACAGTTATTTTCAATTAAAAAAAATACAAACTCTTTAAGGGGACATGTATGTGTTTTTTAACTTTTCCCAAGAATCCTAGACAACTGAGACTATTCACCCTTTCCTAAGAGTCTTTATATTTCTCTCTATGGTTTAATTAAGAATGTGCTAAGGCTAGGCCGGGTGCAGTGGCTCATGCCTACAATTCCAGCATTTTGGGAGGCCGAGGCGGGTGGATCGCTTGAGGTCAGGAGTTCAAGACCAGCCTGGCCAACATGGTACAAACCCCATCTCTACTAAAAATACAAAAATTAGCTGGGCATGGTGGCGCACGTCTGTAATCCAAGATACTCAGGTGGCTGAGGCAGGAGAATTACTTGAACCCGGGAGGTAGAGGTTGCAGTGAGCTGAGATTGAGCCACTGCACAAAAAAAAGAAAAAATTTACTAAGATTAAAATTGTGCCTTCAAATAGACAAAACTTTCTCATTGCTGGAATTTTCTGGGGTCTTTTTTACTATTTTGGTTGATTGATTGATTGAGACAGAGTCTCACTCTGTTGCCCAGGCTGAAGTGCAGTAGTGCAATCAGGGCTCCCTGCAACCTCCGCCTCCTGGGTTCAAGAGATTCTCCTGCCTCAGCCTCCCAAGTAGCTGGAATTACAGGCAGGTGCCACCATGTCCCACTAATTCTTATATTTTTCAGTAGAGACAGGGTTTCACCATGTAGGCAAGGTTGGTCTCGAAATCTTGGCCTCAAGTGATCTGCCTGCTTCAGCCTCCCAAATGCTAGGATTACAGGTGTGAGCCACCACACTCAGCGACTGTTTTTAGTATTATTGAGATTTTTTTTTTTAATCGTTAACAGAGTAGGAACTCTGAACTAATGATGAGCCAAATCATATTTTAAGTCACACTAATGACATGCATGATCATCTACTGACTCCATACCACATAGCAGCAAAGTGCCAGGTATTACAGGGCTTGTTGCTAATACAGGAACTTTACAAAGAATATATTATTGTCCTTTTTTACTGATGAGGAAACTAAGGCAAGAGAAGTTAAATATTATCAACAACTTAAATTAAAACTGCATGTGGGCTGGGCACGGTGGCTCAAGCCTGTAATCCCAGCACTTTGGGAGGCCGAGGCGGGTGGATCACGAGGTCAAGAGATCGAGACCATACTGGTCAACATGGTGAAACCCCATCTCTACTAAAGATACAAAAATTTAGCTGGGCATGGTGGCGCATGCCTGTAATCCCAGCTACTCAGGAGGCTGAGGCAGGAGAATTGCCTGAACCCAGGAGGTGGAGGTTGCGGTGAGCCAAGATCGCACCATTGCACTCCAGCCTGGGTAACAAGAGCAAAACTCCACCTCAAAAAAAAAAAAAAATAGTATATACACATAAAGGAGTAAGAAAAGGGCAAACTGTAATGGCTTTTATCTTTAACCATGACTTCCTTGGTTGATTTTTCAGTGTGTTTAACATTCTAAGAAAGAATAAAGTTCTTGTTGATTTCTCTGATTCTCCCACAAAGACGAAATTCTGAAGAACAATGCAAACAACAGCCTTGAGCATCTGTCAAAATTATGACAACCATAACTATAAAAAAAATATTTGGACTACTATAAATTGTCATTTGGGAACAAGTTAGTGAGTTTATACAGAAGCTAATTTTAAAATAATTACAGAAAATGAAATTGACTTATAGGTTTAGAAACGAGATTATTCCGTATGAAGACTGAGAGAAAACTATCATCTTTTGAAAGTTATTTTAATCAAGAGAATAAACCATCCAAAAATTTTAAATTATTTAATGCTCCAAGATTTATAGATATATGTATGTCTATATAGATATAACTTTCAGGTACATATAAGATCACTTGTAAGTGCCATATTATATAGTTTTTAAAAGAAGATGGAAGTAAACAAAGGCACAAAAAGGTTGACAGGAGCACATGGATGACACATTATGAGTGTCACAAATATGGTGACCACTGTGCAATGACATAAAAAATCTGTGGAATGAGTGGCCTAATGTTATCTCTCACAAGAATATAAGCCACAAGGTGAATTCTGACGTCATAATACACAGAAATTTAGCCAATTAACTGCTTTACACACTGGGTAGAACACATCGTTAAAATAAAGCTTGGTGTTTACCTGTACCTTCAATGTCTCTCCCTGCAAGGAGCTGTCACTGTCATCATTCTCATCAGGTTTAATCAAAATAGTGTTACTGAGAAGATGATTCTGAACTGCCATCAGATAGCGCAGGCAGGAGGATGCAGCCTTTAATACAAATAAGGGCATTTAAATGATCTAAACCCTACTGAAAGAGCGATCATGTAATCCTCATGTTTTTAAAAGATTTTGACAAATAAAACAAAAAGAGAAAGTACAGAAAACAGACCAAGTTAGTTTTTCAGGTGACTTATTTCCAAATGGCTTACCATACATACTTTGACACATTTACTATAACTTTCTGCCTTTTGCTACACAATCCTCACTAATCAGAACACTTACTTGAATTTTTGCCTCAATAATTTATTCTTCCCCCTCCCTCTCACACACATCTACCTTATAGAAGAATACCCAAACCCTTAAAAGAATCTTTTGATTCCTATTGGTCTCTATAAAACTTTACTCATGGTTTAGAAAACAATGTAAAATTAAAAATTAATAAGGGAATAAACTTTCACTAGATAAAAACACCCAAATCTGATCAATTTATTGCATCAAGTAATTTTAAGCAGGGGGAACAGTCTCTGGAAAAAGTTTTTCAAGTGGATTTGTCTAGTTCTACATTTCTGGATTAAGTAGTAATCCACTGACTTTCACAAATTATTCTTATTATTCTTATTAGAGATAAAGTCTTGCTCTATCATCCAGGCTGCAGTGCGGTAGCATGGTCTCAGCTCATTGCAACCTCTGCCTCTTGGGTTCACATGATTATCCTGCCTTAGCTTCCTGAGTAGCTGAGATTACAGGTATGTACACCACATCTGGCTAATTTTTGTATTTTTAGTAGAGACAGAGTTTCACCATGTTGGCCAAACTGGTCTTGAACTCCTGACCTCAGGTGATCCACCCGCCTTGGCCTCCCAAAGTGCTGGGATTACAGGCATGAGCCACTGTGCCTGACCTTTCATAAATTATTTTAAGTCTATATGTATACTCACACCTGTCAATATAATAAAATGAAAACAGGGATGCTTGACATAATTTTTCTTTCATTAAACACATTTTTACTTACAGGCACAGTTGAAAGGAGCTTTTGAAAATCATCTTTAGAGACAGTTTGGCACTTGGTGATTAAGATACAGGATTCTCGTACAACAATCTTCAGAATGTAGTGTAAAAGTTCATCATTTAGTCTTAAAAATGCAGGAAAAATGTGACAATAAAATATCGATGGTTTATTCATAAAAGGATAAATTTTATATAATTGGTGTAAGATGACAAATAGAAGATATGTAATTAATTGATTCTGTAAGCAAATCACCTTAGTAATAATGCTAACAACTAGGTATATTATTTAAACCAAACTAATAGAAATCAAATGGCACCCAACTACCAAATCAATGTATTTTATAAATATCACAGAAAAACACCTTCATCCCTTTCACCAGCTCTAACACACATACTCAGCCTTTCTCATAGACTAGCAATTTGGACAGTACTCTGAGCCAAGATCTCCTAAATAAGTTCCATCTGTTATTTCTGCTACAGACCCTTTCCCCAGGCCCAACTTACTTTACTGATAAAACTGAAATGTGCAATTATCAGTTCTGAGGGTAATTGTGGAATTACCTGGTCCATGTTTTAGGTTTAAGATGCTAACGATCATATGCATTTTAACAGGAGGTTGAAGTCGATCAAACACATTTAAATGTAAATTGACTGTGAACACAAAGTTTAGGAGTGAATAATATAACTGGTGTCACCTGTAATGATCATCCTCATCGCTGCCAAATCGGTTGTTTTGGAGCTGTTCAGCCAGGTTGGTTAGGATCACATCCCGTAGCTGGGAGAGTCCACTGTTTCTCTCTCCTAACACAGAACAAAGTTTCATAAACTACCTTGGTAATTACTATTAGAAAACTGATGCTATTTAAAAAAGTGTTTAAACAAATAGATAGTTGGCAAGCTAGGGGTACTAGACATACAGACCGATAAAAATAAAAGCAGCAAAAATGACATCACAACAAATCTGATTTTTTAACTAGCATTCTGATCAAAGTGTAATTACCTTCTTGATATATCATTAAGTGTGATTTTCAGTCCCTTAGTGTTGCTTCTAAATGCCAACTGTCTTTAATGAAGTAACTTCTGTTATTGTTTTGTCTAACTTAAAAAGTTAGGCTCCAATGTGTGAAGACAACTGGCTCAGAAATCACCAGTGTCATTATTTTATTTGTTACACATCTATAGTCACATACATTATGCTAAGCAGTGGAGACAGAAAGTTTATAAAGCTTGCAGATATATAAAACACAGTTTTTGCTTTTTAAGCATATATGCATAGGGAGATACATTCTTTCTTTTTTTTTGAGATGTCTTCTCGCTCTGTTGCCCAGGCTAACTGTAGTCACGTCTTCACAGCTCACTGCAGTCTGAACCTCCTGGGCTAAAGCAATACTCCTGCCTCAGACTTCTGAGTAGCTGGGACAACAAGGTATGGGCCACCATACCCAGCTAATTTTTTTTATTTTTTGTAGAGTCAGGGTCTTGCTATATTGCCCAGGCTGGTATTGAGCTCCTGGGTCAAGTGATCCTTCTGACTTGGCCTACCAAAGTGCTGGGATTACAGGTGTAAGCCACCATGCCTGGCCTGCTGATACATTTTTTAAATATGCTGACTAACACATATAAAGAAGTATCAATTATCTTAATACGAAGTTGTTTTCTTGAGGACAAAAAAAGGACAGCTGTTCAAAGATAATTTAAAGGATACTTCTTACCTTCTGTTAAGACCAGCTTAAGTAAGTTATTGATTTCAGTTTCACCTGGGTACAAGATATTTAAACCAGAGCTGAAATGACAAAAAAGTCAAAAACATTTAATTGAATATTCTAAAAATCAAAACTCTAAATATTTAAATTCTTATTTTTATTAAAGATGCCAATTGGATTACATAAAACTGTGAAATACCTTTTATTTAAAAAAAATTGAGACAGCGTCTCAATATGTTGCCCAGGTTAGTCTTAAACTCCTGAGCTCAAGCGATCTACCTGCCTTGGCCTCCCAAAGTGCTGGGATTACAGGTGTGAGCCACTGCACCTGGCCCAAAAATGTATTTGAATTGAAATTCACTGTCGCGATCCAGTCCAATCACTTCCCTGATAAACGGCATCCCTCTCTTCCTCCTCCTCCTCCTCTGAATTACCAAAATGATAAGTTACTTAGGGCCAGATGCAGAACTGGTTAAAGAGCATTGGTAAGCTATGAAAAGTCAATGTAGTCAAGCCTACATATACCAATTGTGCCTCTCCAAAAAATCACTTAAGAAAGTGAATTTCTAATTCTCAGTTTTTCCAAAAAGGAGGGAAGAACAGTATTGCAAACAGCATCAGAATCTTTTTCTTTTCTTTTCTTTGTGTGTGTGTGTTTTAGACAGGATCTCACTCTGTCGCCCAGGTTGGAGTGCATGGAATGCAGTGGTGCAATATTGGCTCACTGCAGCCTTGACCTCCCGGGCTCAAGTGATCCTCTCATCTCAGCCTCCTGAATAGCTGGGACTACAAGTGCATGCCAGGACACCTGGTTAATTTAAATATTTTTGTAGAGATGAGGTCTTACTATGTTGCCCAGACTGGTCTCAAACGTGGCCTCAGTAATCATCCTGTCGTGGCCTCTCAAAGTACTGGGATTGCAGGCATGAGTTACCACACTTAGACTGTTTTCTTTTTCAACTGAGTTTTAACATTCAATCAATTCTAAAGTATACAATCTGATAAGTCTGACATATGTATACACCAATAAAACCATTACCACAATCAAGATAGTGAATATACCTATCTCCTCCAAAAGTTTCCTCAGAATAGCAGATTTCAATCATTGCCTTAATGCTCCACAGAAAGAGATTTGAAGCATAATGTACTGTGGAAGGAAAACAATACCCTGTCATCTATGCTCACCCCTGCCATATGGATCTTTCAGACCAACCACCCAGCTCTCTCAGTCACTAAATTATACTTAGTCACTTTAAGGCTGTATTCCTGAAAAAAAGTTCACTGTGGCCAGGTGCAGTGGCTCCCATCTGTAATCCCAGCACTTTGGGAGGCCGAGGTGGATGGATTACCTGAGGTCAGGAGTTTGAGACCAGCCTGGCCAACATGGTGAAACTCCATCTCTACTAAAAATACAAAAAAATTAGCTGGATGTGGTGTTGGGCACTAGTAATCCCAGCTACTCGGGAGCCTGAGGCAGGAGAATCGCTTGAACCTGGGAGATGGAGGTTGGGGTGAGCCGAGATTGTACCAACTAAACTTAAGCCTGGATGACAAGAGTGAAACTCTATCTCAAAAAAAAAAAGTTTACTGAACTAAAAAAAAAAAAAAGATTGACAATAAATAGAAAATGGCCTGTAAATTCTGCTCTCTTGTCTCAAAAGGTTTAAAACAGATTAATAAAGGCTCACATTGTTGTGCGCTTACTTTGCATCAGGTCTTACCTTAGGAAAACCTCACAAACCCATAAAACAGGTGCTATTTTTATGCCCATCTTACAGCTAAGGAAATGTGAACCTTAAACCAAGATCACACTAGTGAGTGGCAAAGTCTAGAACCCAGGTCTGCCTGCTACCAAAGCCTGCTTCTTAACTACCCTGCCACACTCTGCAAAATGAGAACATCAGCTTGCAAACAATGAAAATATCCACTTAAAGAATTTTTTTTAATCCAAACAGTGAGATAAGGAAATGTAGGTACATAGTTGGCTTTGGTGCTCTGCAGGTGGGGCCACAAACCTCTCTCCAGTGAAATTATTCCCAATCCATGAAGTCCTGACTGTGGGACAGGGTAAGTGACATTTGTACTACCAGCTTTCAGGGACGATTACAACGCCTTGCAGAAGAATCATTTTGCAGAGAGCACTACGAAAATCATTAGCTGTTTACCTGATGGCAAGGCAGACTTCCTTCTGAATTTCAGGGCAAATTTGATCTTTTGGTGCCATCAACAACTGCCAAAGAAGCAATCCCGATCGTCGAATGATGTCTCGATTCCTTTCAGTTTGTGGGCTGAAGAAAAATTTAAATACCACCTACAGAAACATAAGGAGTTTATCTCAAAATGCTAATTCTACTGGGGATAAAATTATCCCTACAAAGAAAGTACATGGTAGATATCCTATGAACAAATAACCAGGTGAATTTTTTTAACCACAATCTCTTCTATTGTGTAATAGTATAATTATAGTAAATATTTTGCATATATTAACTGCAATGAGCTATGTATAGCAATACTCCATTAATTACAGTGCAATGAATGTAATTCTAATTACAGGATTAGAAGGTGGGTAAGATGCAGAACAGGAAAGTTCTTAAATTTTTATTCTGGTAAAAATGAACTGGCTGAAGCAAAGGTTTGCATTTCCTTTTCTCTACCATCTTATTTATCTCCAAACAGTGTATTTACCTGAAAGACAACGAGAATGCAGCGTATAATACAGGTATCTCCATTAACCATGGCCTTCTCCATAATGTCACAAATACTGCTAAGATGATGTGCTTCAATTGGATGCTGCTTGCCCAAGACACTTGTGATTGGAAGATTGGGGTTGGTAGCAAGAAGATTGAGTTGGTGTATGCACATCGCACCAACATGGTGCAATAACTGGTTTATAACCTCATTCGTGGTTATAGCCTCTTCTAAAAGATGAAAAGGAAACTGAGTGAGGAAAGACGTCTCTATGGGTGGTCCCCAAAGAACAGACCTCTGATTTATAAAAGGTTCATGTGCACTAGGAAAGGGTACTTTGGCTATAATCTCTTCTACTGCTGTCAGATAACCCTTCTCCCTGCCACAGGTGCTAGGGTGAAAACACTTGGGGAGTTCATTTGTTTGGAACATAAGTAGCTACCACTTACTGTGCCCTTTCTATATGCTGAAGAATGGGCTGAATGCTTTACATGGTTCTCAACTTCGACTATTTTAGCCCCGTTGTAGATCAATAAACCAAGAGTCAGAGAAGTTAAGGAACTTGCCCTAGGTCACACAGCTAAGAAGTGTGTGATTTGGATTCAGTCCACAGCTCCTGTTGGTAACCATTCTAGTAAAACCTCTTCAGTAAAACCTCTCCAGGTCCTATAGCTGCTCCACATTAGAACCCATATAAATGGTTCCCATCTATATATGGCTCCTCATGTTTTGACATGTTAAGCTGTAAATGTCCATTAGATAACCAAGTGGAAGTGAATACATAGTATGGAGTTCAGGCAAAAGGTTTGGGAGTCACTAATATAATGTGGACTTTCTTTTCTACTTTTTCCTTTTAAAAAAAAAAAAAAAAAAAAAGCTTTATCAAGATATAATTTACATTCCATAAAACTCACCACTCTACATGCACAACTCACTTTTAGTAATACCATAATCAAGAATGAAAGCTGAGAAAATACACTGACCCTAGAGATATTAATTACTGTGGTGATTAACATTTGTCTATGAGTTCTCTGATACGCTTCTTCCAGGAAGTGGAGCTTAATTCCCCTTCCCTTCAGTGTGGTCAAGACTAATAGAGTATGGAAAGGGAAAAGTCACAACTTTATAGTGGAGAAACCTGGCAGATGCTATTTAAACCAAGTGATCAGTTTTTAATATCACTAGTAATAAGTCATGTCAATATCATGTATCCTAGAATATGATATAATTAATATAAAGGGGATATTGCTTCTATGGTATTCTTCCCTCAATCCATAACATAAGTTAAACCGTGAGAAAGCATTAAATGAACCCACAGAGAAGGACATTCCAGTCTACAAATGCCTGACCAGTACTCCCCAAGGGTCCTGTTTTGCTCTTCAGACAGAACAACTCTACCAATCTATGGCCCAAGTTTGCTTCTTTCTTCTCCCAGCAGCTCAAATCTGTAGTAAAGCCACTCTAATGAATTTTTCTTTTCAAATCCGGAATTTCCATTTGATTTTTTTAAAAAACAATTTCTTTACTGAAATTCTCAATTTGCTTAATCATAGTCATCATACTTTCCTTTAACTTTTTAAACTTGAATTCCTTTCGTTCTTTAAATGTATTTATAATGGCTGCTTTAAGTCTTCATCTGATTTTAAAGTCATCAGTCCAAACCTGAGTTTCTCCTGCATTTCGTGGTTACTGGGTTCTCTGCTCAGTTTATTTATTTATTTTTTCAAATCCTTGTTTCTTTCTTTCATTCATTCATTTGAGATGGAGTTTTACTCTTGTTGCCCAGGCTGGAGTGCAATGGCATGATCTCAGCTCACTGCAACCTCCACCTCCCAGGTTCAAGCGATTCTCCTGCCTCACCCTCCCAAGTAGCTGAGATTACAGGAACCTACCAAGATGCCCAGCTAATATTTTTGTATTTTTAGTTGAGACAGGGTTTGACCATGTTGGCCAGGCTGGTCTCAAATTCCTGACCTCAGGTGATCTTCTGCCCATTTCAGTCTCCCAAAGAATTTGGATTACAGGCATGAGCCGCTATGCCTGGCCTCATTTTTTATTATTATTCTTGTTTTTCTTTTTTCAGCCTGGCTTCCTAGGGGGTCACCCCTATTTGTATCCCTTAGTGGTTGTCAACCAATGATTGTGCTCAAACACCTTGAGCCAGTAACACTTTCACCCTGGATGAATCTGTGTGTTTTGAAGGAACTCCAGCAAAGTTCAGGCAGTTTTAAACTCTGCCCTGGTTTTTACTTCCTGTTAGGCCCTGTCACAGCTTTGCATGTGTATGCAGACTCATGTTGAGCCAGGGTTATGTGAGTAGCTTAGGCTGCCTTAGGCCTTTTCTGTGTAGGTGAGTGGTCCCCACAGCTTTCTCACTATCCAGATCTCACTAGTAAACTTCTAGCTAGTCAGCTGGGCCACTGCTTGCCCTAAATGGGATCATGATCTAAGGCCAGATGAGCCACTGGTTTCTGTTGTTTGCCACCAAGATGACTACTGTTACTGACAATGCTAATAGACTTGAGGTTTTTCCATGCTTTGCTCCTAACAGCAAAGCTGCTGCTTTTCACAATCTTCCCCACCCTGAATTATTGTGCGGACCAAGCTTGAGGTGCTCAGCAAAGTAACCATCTCAGAGCAGACTGAGGTGGAGGATAGGAGCAGCTTTAGCTAGGAACACCACAGACTGCCACCATTCTTACCCAAAGTTCAGGGTTTTTTCTAATGAACAACCACTCTCAATTTGGTGTATGCATTGGCAATTTCCAGAGCCAGGAAACAGTTGTTTTTGATAATTTTGCCTGTTTTAGTATTGCTTTATGGGGTGAGGACTTGCTGAGTGATTCATTCCTCCATATTAGTATAGTTGACTTTAAAGCAACAAGATTTTAAGTTAATATTAACAATATTAAGAATGTTCATATTAATATTAAAAAGTACAAAGGTCCTCATTGGTAATTCTATCTAAGTTTGTCTCAAACTCCCGACCTCAGGGAATCCACCCACCTCTGCTTCCCAAAGTGCTGGGATTACAGGCGTGAGCCACCGCGCGGCCACCTAACTATAAGTTTGTATATAAACAAGTCATTATCAATGCAAAACACTATGACAGCATATAATCCCATGCCAAACACAAATAATCAATTTTTGCACCAAAATTCCAACAGTTTCAGGAAGGACATAACAATATTCCTTTAAAAACATCTATGGACCACCTCAAAAGCTCTATTTACATACTTATTTGCTTAATCATAACTCATCTTTCATGGTTAAAGGTAACAAAGGACGACTTTAGATTTCAAAAGTTCAAAGAGGGAAAACTGGTGACACATTTTGGGGTTGGGCTATGTTTTCACCTACCAATGCTGTGGTATTCTCTCACATTTCAGAGGGAAATCTTTTCCTATAAGACCCTGAGCCCACCTCACCTTTGGGCTCAGTGATAATGTGACTGACTCCAAGTCTCTGGCAGACATAATGGAAGGCTTGATTCCCAGGGTTACACCACTGATCGATATAGTCATTAGAGCATGTCCATAGCATGTTGTTCACTGTGTCATAACACGCACCTGCAAAAACAGCATACTGTATTCAGTCATCATGCCACCAGCTACCTGTATACATATTTCTCACAATCACTGCTACAAAGTGGAAGGGCAAGGATGCTCTCTAATGTTAACAACCCACATCCCTGTTCCCATAGATTAACTTGGCAAGGCACTAGGCTGGGACTCAGCAAGAAGCCAGGATTTAATTTTTAATTTTGCTTAACTCCTGTGTAAGAAAGAATAAGTCTCACAAAATAGATAGCTCTTAGTAACTGACTTATGTGTGACCTACTTCCAAAAAGTATTTAAGTGGCTTACATTAAAAATCCAGGTATAACAGAACCAATTAACATTAATACACAATAAAAAGCCCTAGTAACTGAGCCCAAAACTTAGAAATAAGCTTCCTACCAGCCAGGACAAAGAAAAAATCCAATGGGATTACTTAACATTCATTTTCTAACAATAACAAGTATACCAATTAATAAACAGGAAATAAACTTTTTTATGGCATAAACCTTGAAAATTTCTTATGGGCATCATCACACAATCTAATAAACATTATCTTCAAATGCAGTTTATTCAGAGGAATTTTGCATATGGCAATTTCTTATACTGATTCCCAAAATTAAAATTTAGTATAAAAAAATTATTTCTGCCTGGGCACAATGGCTCATGCCTGTATCCCAGCACTTAGGGAGGCGAAGGCAGGAGGATTGCTTGAGCCCAGGAGTTCGAGACCAGCCTGGGTGACACAGTGAGACCTTGGCTCTACAAAAAAATAAACAAAGTTATCTGGGCACGGTGGTATGCTCCTGTAGTCCCAGTTACTCGGAAGGCTAAGGTGGGAGGACTGCTTGAGCCCGGGAGGTGGAAGCTGCAGTGAGCCAAGATCATGCCACTTCACTCCAGCCTAGGTGACAGAATAGACTCTGTCTCAAACAAAACAAAACAAAACAGGTTGGTCGTGGTGGCTCACGCCTGTATTCCAAGCACTTTGGAGGCCAAGGTGGGTGGATCACCTGAGGTTCGGAGTTCAAGACCAGCCTGACCAATTTGTTGAAAGCCTGTCTTTAAAAAAAAAAAATTAAAAACAAAAAACATCTTTCTTTTCAAGGAAACTAGAATGTCACAGGGGATTGCAAGATATTTCAAGACAAATTTGCTAAAACTTTAAATTTTCCAAAGAAATATGTGCGTTTATTTCTTACCCAATCCTGGTACAAGAGCACCACGCCCCAATGAGCTTCCAGCAGCATCTATGAGATCTGCACGACTTGTAAACTGACCATCCGAAATATTATACACCAAGCTGGAGGCTAGGACTTTGGAAAGAAACATTAAGCTGTTTAATGATCCTGAAGATTATTTTTAAGGTTTAAATTTCAGGCTATTAACGAGACTTTTATAAAAATCACACCCTTTTCTTGTTGTTGCATATTGGTGGTAATTGGTGGTAAAGAGACAGAGAATATATGCATAAGACCACAGAAAGAAAACTGTAACCAGACATCTTCCTAAATTTAATACTGAACCATAGTTTAGAAAGTGTTTTTAAAATGGTGACTTTTGCATGAAGGTTCCTTCTGATATACATTATCAAAAGGCTAACTGCAAGAGGGGTTATGATCACTAACATCACAAGATAAAAATGTTTACAAGAAACCCTGAGCAGTTAGTCAGTGTTCAGTAAAGCTTGATGTACACTCAAACACAGCTCAGCTACAATCCTTCCTAATACTGGCTCTAAAACTTGGAGAAACCCTGGCTTTTTCCCTTAACACAGGATAGTGCAGTGGTAAAGAGCATGGACTTTGGAGTTTGAATTCCAACTCTGACACTGCAGGTGGCCCTGGGAAAGTCACTGAACGTCTGTTTCCTCATTTGTAGAGTGGAAATAATAAAAAGTACCTACCTTATACAGTTATTGTGAAGATAAAATGAGTTAAAATATGTCAAGGATCCATATCAGCATGCGTGCGTGTGTGTGTGTGTGTGTGTGTGTGTTGCTATAATTGACTTTATTTTCTTCCCCACTTAAAAAAATTTTTTTTTATCTTTTATTTTTATTTTTTTTCTTCCCCACTTTCAAACAAAACTTCAGCACTGTGTCTCTTGAGTTTCTTTATCATATTCTCATCACCCTAGTAGCCCAGATCCTCATCATGCCTGACTTGAATTATAACATAAATGATACTCTTTTTTTCTATTTTGTTTTCCCATTAAACAAAAAGGACAGTAGAAAATTGATCTCCAAATCTCTTTTTTCATGGTACTTACCATACATATGCTTTCTCCCCACTTGGCCACTTATATGAATAAAATCCGTTCTTTATGGCGTAAACTCAAAACCTCATGAAGTCTCTCCTTTCTACCCCACTCCACAATAAGCCTTTCTTTCTCAGATTCTGCAACTCACAAATCTGCTCCACATGGTTCCTTCCAGCAGGGATGCAGCACTGTCTATCATTTTCTCATTGTCTCATACATGTATGTCATCTCTCCCAACTAAACTATGAGCTCTTTAAAGGCAAGCACCAATTCTTCCACTTTCTGAGCAGCCCACAAGTAGCCAAAGAAGAACAGGACACAGAAGGAATTTAAGCATTTACTGATTTGTTGGGCTAACGTAGGATCATTGTGTAAGCTATATCCTCATGAAAGAATGGTACCATGAAGACCCACTTTAATTAAATGGGGTCAATTTCAATTGAGCAAAAAAGCCATGCCAAGGAGACTAAACACAATTTAATAAGACTAATGGTCATAATATGTGGTAATCGTAGGAAAAAAAAAAGAAAAAACTGATGGTCAATAAAATAAAAACCCAATTTTTAAATGGACAAAAGATGTGAATAGATATTCCTCCAAAGAAGATAGACAAATGGCAAATAAGCACATGAAAAGATGCTAAGCATCATTAGTCATTAAGGAAATGCACAAAATCACAATGAGGTACCACTTCATATCCACAAAGATGGCTATAATCAGAAAAATGGAAAATAGCAAATGTTGGTGAGGATGTAGAAAAAAATAGAACCATTATACTTTGGAGATGAGAACATAAAATGGTGCAGCAACTTTGAGAAACAGTTTAGCAGTCCCTCCAAGGGTAAACATATGGTTACCATATGACCCAGCAATCCCACTCCTATATATGTGCCCAAGTATATGAAAAATTATCCACATAAAACTTATATACTAATGTTCACATCAGCATTATTCAAAGTAGCCAAAAAGTAGAAACAACTCAAGTGTCCATCACATTATGAATAAACAAAATGAGGTATTATCCACACAATGAAATAGAATTCAACCACAAAAAGTAATGAAGTACTGATTCATGCTGCAACATGAATGAACCTTGAAAACATTATGTTAAGTTTAAAAAGCAGTCACAGACTCACTCCATCCTGCCACTCTGTGAAGAAGGTGCCTGCTTCTCCTTTGCCTTCCACCATGATTGTAAGTTTCCTGAAGCCTCTGCAGCAATGCAAAACTGATGGATAAAAAAACTTGGAACCAATGAAAAAGAGCTGGGACTGGTGTCAGGAGACTTGGACCACATCACTTCACCTGTCTGAGCCTCAATAACCACATAGTGATCCTATCACTCAAGACTGAGAAAGATGTAGGATCACTGGTGTCCAGTAATAAATGCACATTTGCAAGCAATAAGGAGAAGACCTCATTCCATGTACTTTATTCCTAGAGACCAAGCCCACCACAGCAAGGAGTATCTTTAAGCAAGGGTGGAACTGTCCATAAGTGGAGAACACTCTCCATCTCTTCTCACATCACACAGCTCTCCAGTTGATACAATCTATAACTATATTTACATAGAGGGAAAAATGATTCTATATTTACATAGAACTCTCCATAATGTATCAAGTATCCTCACACTATCTTCTGTGGTAGATATAATTATCTGTACATTTTTTTAAATGGGAAAGTGGAAGCTTTGAATGACAAATTTTCCCAAGATAATAGTTACTAAAAGGAAGAAACAAGATTTTTACATGTCTGTCTACATCTATTTTTATAGCTCCTCCTGATTTTATTTTTAGCTCAGCCATGATAATATGCACAGAATGAGACAAAACAATAAGTGGTATTTTGCTACTATCAAATAAAACCAAAAATTAAAAATCAAGCAAGCAAACAAACAAACAAGAAAGCATTCACAAAAGGCCATATGTTGTCTAATTCCATTCACATGAAAAGTAGAGTATAGGTAACTCCACAGAGACAGAAAGTCAATTGGTAGATGCCAGGGGTCAGGGAGTAGGACAGCAACTGTTGATGAGTATGAGTTTCTTTTTGGGGTAATGGATAGATTAATGGTAACGATTACACAACTCTGTGAACATATTAAAAACCACTGAATTGTATATTTTAAAGGGGTGAAATTTATGGTGTGTGAGTTATATCTCAATAAAGCCACCACGCCCAACCCAAGGAACACTTTTTTTATTCTATACTTTATTCCATTTAACTATGTGTCCATTCTGAAGGCAAAATTGCACTGCTTTAATGACTGAAGTGTGCCTCCCTATAAAAATATATGTATATTTAAAAGTATTAATACAGCCAGGCATGGTGGCTCAGGCCTGTAATCACAGCACTTTGGGAAGCCGAGGCAGGCGGATCATGAGATCAGGAGTTCCAGAACAGCCTGACCAACAAGGTGAAATCCCATCTCTATTAAAAATCCGAAAACTTAGCTGGGCATAGTGGTGCACATCTGTAATCCCAGCTACTCAGGAAGCTGAGGCAGGAAAAAGTAATAAAGTACTGATTCCTGCTTGAATGGGAGGTGGAGGTTGCAGTGAGCCGAGACAGCGCCACTGTACTCCAGTCTGGGCGACAGAGCAAGACTCTGGCTCAAAAAAAAATGTTATACATTTTTACACATTTTCTTTTCTATGTCTTATGCTTAGTATTTTCTACGTGTCCTAAAATGGAAGTATTTTACATACATATTTTAATAGCTTTGAAATTCTATCAGCGGGGCATCATAACTCATGCCTGTAATTCTAGCACTTTGGGTGGGTCACCTGAGGCCAGGAGTTCGAGACCAGCCTGGCCAACATGGCAAAACATGGTCTCTACTAAAAATTAAAAAATTAGCTGGGCATGGTGGCATGTGCCTGTAATCCCAGCTACTAGGGAGGCTGAGGCAGAAGAATCACTTCAACACAGGAAGCAGAAGTTGCAGTGAGTCGAGATCGCGCCTCTGTACCCTACGGGTGACAGAGCAAGACTCTGTCTAAAAAAAGAAAAAGAAATCCTATCATAGTGAGTAGAGTTCTTACTGTGTCATCAGTAAATAATGTGACAAAATATTATTTTACTTCCTAAAACTTTGTTGAACTGATTATTACTTCTAGTAATTTTACAGGACAATAGTTTTCAAAAGTATACTATTATATCATCCACAAAAAGTTATATTTTTAAATCTTCCTAACCTACATTGATAACTGGTATTTTTTGTTGTTATCAGAGAGCTATTGCAAACAACTATTCAACAAAGTAAGTTTTAAATAATAGGAGAGCCTTAAATTTCAGAGTCTGAGATAAATCAGGGAAATGCCACAAGCAAAATTCACTTACTTTTTAAAGATGACAAACCACTTGTTCCACCAAAAAGAGAGCGGGTGGCAGAGCTGCCTGATCCCCCTGGAGGAGGCACTAGCATCACCAAGTAGGTGCCACAGGTATATATGGGTGTCTTCCGCAGCATTTTTAGAGGCAGCCCACAGCTAGTATTTGCTGGAGAAAGGAATGAAAATGCCAAGTCAAAATATTTGACACAGAAATAAATTTGTTTACCAAAACAGATTAGGATATAATGAGAGAGCCCCAAACTCAAACTAAGATTTGGAAAACAGATTTCCAAATTAGGAAAACAGATAAGAAGTAATCGCTAAGAAAGAAGATAATTATATTCCGGCTCCATAGCCTGATCCCTGGCCTCCTATTACACGTTCTGAACATTTCTTGAAGGTGTTCCCAGTCCTCAGTCTGCCCTCATGCCTCTACAAATTATTCCAGAAAAATAAATCTTCACATGGACTAAATCTCAAAAAAAAAAAAAAGAATTCTGTTTGTTTGTGTTTTCCCTAGAAAACTGATACAGGTTGCGTACATGTACCTGAAATCCTTGGGACCAGAAGTGTTTTAGATTTCAGATTTTTTCAGATTTTGAAATGTTTGCATTATACTTAAGGGTTGAGCCTTCCTAATTGAAAAATCCCAAATCCAAAATATTCCAATGAACATTTCCTTTATTTATCTTTACTCATTAAGTCTGAGGTTAGTGAGAGCATTTCCTTTGGGCATCACATAGGCACTCAAAAAGTTTCAGAATCGGGAGCATTTTGGATTTTTAGATTTGGGATGAACAACCTATATTCTAATCAAGATCTTGGGGTTCTTTTTCTTTTTTCCATTATATATAGAACAAATTCTTGACAGTTTGTGATACTGTACTCATAAACAGCTTTCAACATGAAATCAACCAAAAATTTCAAACTAATGAAAGCTTTCACAATATCTATCACAAAACAATTTTATAGCTATAACTATAATTTATTATAGTTTATTATAACCCCTTATATACATTTTTCTCTTTTTAAAGGGTCAATGACAAAAACTGTCATTAGGAAAATAATTATTGTTTCTAATCAAGCTGTATAAAATGTACTTTAATCTCCCTTACTGGCATATCTGAAACATGGAGTGAATTTACGGATCTTCTATATTCAAGCCTAGAGAGGATTGATGATGTCAACAGAAAATCAATCAGAGTGCTTTACTTAGAAATGTGTCAGGCTATAAAATCTAACTTATTATCTATAGCCTAGATAAATGAAAATCATTTTTGAATGGTTTAGATTAGAAAAGTGAGTAAAGTGAAACCTAATCTATTGGATACTTGTTTTGAATGCTTGTACTTCTAAAAAGCTTTATTTCTTTTAAGTGGCAAGACCCCACCAGGTATATTCTTCATTAAGGACATAAATTCAAGAAGATAAATTTCCACTGGTAAGAAACACCAAGACAGCAATAATTGGAAAATTAGTAACTTTGTGAGCATAACATTTTCACCAAGATGTTTTTAATAGACATAAACTTATTAACATTGGTAATAGGTATTAGTTTATAATGGAATAAAAACTTACAGACCCCTTGAATGTTTGCTTAATTTTCAAAAGTTTCTTAGTTCATAACTGATGAATTTTTAATGGAACAACATCATGTTAAATGAATATATAGAGAATGCATATAAAAGTACAATGATTGCTTGAGCCCAGGAGTTTGAGACCAGCCTGGGAAACATAGCAAGACCCCATCTCTTAAAAAAAAAAAAAAAAGTACATTGAGACCACATGTTAAGAATACAGATACCAGTTTCTACCAAATTCTAGTATATGTGCTGCCAAAGAGAGCACATTTCTACCAAATTCTAAATATACCCTTGCCTTCTGAGGTTTTATTTTTTTATATTATATATATTTTCAATAAGAATTCCTTTAGTATTTCCATTGTTTAGGGTAAGATTTCATTTTCTCCCAAGGGACAATACCAGATCAAGCCTTCAGCTTGTCATGAAAATGTTTATTTAGGTTAAAACAAACAAAAAAAAACTGTCCTCTGGAAAATATCTATAGCTAGAATTATCAACTTACTCAAATAATAACAACTATTAACAATTTTGCCACTTATCTTTGATACAATAGAGGCCTGTCCTTAAATTCTAATATGGACTAATAAGTATTTGATTTAGTAGTCTCATAGTGAATTGACCATAGTTTTTCTTCTTAGCATTTCCAACTATAAAAATAAGGCATAAAATTACACTGAATTCATTAAATGCATATTAATTCAAATGCAGATTTCCACATATGGCATCTTTTTCTAGCCTTATCTTTTACTACAGTTCACAGTTTGTTATAAATCCAGGTATTTAGTATGTAATCTGTAAACTCTATGGAATAACGGTTCTTATGTTTTTGGGGGTCATAGATGACTTTGAAAATCTGATGACAGTTATGACAGATACATATAAAATGGTATTTAAAAATTTTGAGGAGCACGTTTAATAACATACTCCCTTAAAGATGTATCCTCGTTATGAACTCCTACTTTAAAAGTGCAGAACAGGTCGGGTACAGTGGCTCACACCTATAATCCCAGCACTTTGGGAAGCTGAGGCAGGCGAATCATGAGGTCAGGAGTTCAAGACCAGCCTGGTCAACATGGTGAAAACCTGTCTCTACTAAAAACACCAAAAATTAGCTGGGGGTAGTGGTGGGTGCCTGTAATCCCAGCTACTTGGGAGGCTGAGGCAGGAGAATCGCTTGAAACTGGTAAGCAGAGGTAGCAGTGAGCCGAGACTGCGCCACTGCACTCCAGCCCTAGTAACAAAGTGAGACTCCGTCTCAAGAAGAAAAGTAAAGTGCAGAACACTGTATATAATATGCTACCTTTTATTAAGAAAAGGCAGAAATTATGAACATATAAATTTATCTTTAATTATATTTACATGAAGAAACCTGGAAAAGATAAATGAAAACTAACAAATATAGTTACCTGGGGTGGGGTAGAGTGGGGGCAGAATATAAAATTCACCAATGTGGTGGGAATAAGACTTCTCTGCATATACCTTTTTACATTGTTTTGACTTTCAAATTCTGTACATGTATTATCTATTTTAAAACATTAAATTACAAAAGCTAAAAAAATTAAAAATAAATAAAAAATTATAAAAACTAAATGATGAATTCTAAAAAACGAAATAGCTACTGTAGAAGGCTTTTCTCTTACTTGCTTGGTCAAGACCATATTTAGGGAAGATGATGCTAAAAATTAGGTTTTCACATTCACAGAGCATATGCAAAATATGAAATCAACTAATTTATACAAACGGTGATGATGATAAGGCATTTACAGTTTAAGATGGGGCTGTTTTGCATTTGTACAGGTTCATGCGAATTTATGTTCATAGCCTACAACATGTATTGGCTTGGAATAAAAAGCTGGACAATGACCAGAAGACCAAATAAGGTCAACTATGCAAAGGAAAGGGCTTTGTACAGCACGAAGGAAGTGCTCAATAAAACACAGCTGAACGAAGCCATACAAGGAAACAGGTCTGGGAAGTGCAGAGCAACATACCTGCTTGATCCTCTTTCAGTGTGTTGGATATGGTGGAACCAGTCAGGGCAGCCAGCGTTGCTGACGGGGAGGCTCTGTACCGAGAAAGTCTACTTAGAAGCATCTCATTAATGCTTTTTGCAGACTCGCCCTCTTTTCTCATTAGAATTGTGCGTTCCTGAAGCGGGTTGGCTACAAATACATCATTTTCAACCTAATATATAAAAAAAAAAGGGAGGTCCTAAAATGATATCTGTTTCAATTTAGTTAGCAAATTTCTTATTGAGGATATTACTGTGAGTAAACAAAAAATATTTCAAAAACTGCACCTGAGTAGATGTAAACCATAAAACTTAAATGTCCTATGGAAACTACTACAAATAAAAGAGACCATGCTAAGTTTGAGAGCTTTCATTTTTCATAATAGCTGTAACATTTAATAGGTCTATGAAAAGTTGTTGATTAAAATTCATTATACTGGATTCCACAGTCAGCGCTTACTAATTACATGCCTCTGACAGGTTGAAGTCAAATGAGAGGAAAACAAATCAATCAGTCTTTGATTTACTGTTAAGGACAACTATGAGGATAATGTCTTCTCGAAATATCATCTGTGGCTAAAATCCAAATTCTATATTAACAGCAGTTAACATTAGCACCAGCTGCTCAGGCCCTGGCAGAGCAAGCCTGGACAAAGGCAGATTTTGCTAAAAATACACATCAACTTCAAGTGGATCTTTGCTGGTGCTTTGCAATTCATTCACCACTTGGTTATTCCCCAGAAAACTCTTTGGAGTGGTGACTCCAAAATTCCTTCACCAGTTTTGAGCTTGACTTTCAGCAGATCACCTGGCTTTCTTTCTTTCTTTTTTTTTTTTTTTCCACCTGGCTTTCAGTATTGCTAAAAAGATCCAGACAACTTACCATAAGCTTCTCCCATTCATGCCTCTTCCAACTCAAGACTCTTGGGACCCAGCCTCATATATTATTTCTTTCCTCTTAATTCAGAGGAAGAAGGATTTCACCTATTATTTAAGTTGAAGCCCTCCACTTCTGCCTCAAGTCCTGTGCTCCCCTCTGCCTCTTCATCATTAGTGTCTCCTTCTCTATTGACCTCCTTCTCTTTGTTTTCAGATATTCACAGGTCTTAAACAAAACCTTGGTGGCCCATTAAGATATCATCCCTTTTGTCAAATCTCTCATGTCCCCTTTCTAGATCCAAGAACGTGGTCCCCAGCAGCAAAGACAGGCAGGACTGACCTGCAGCTGTAGGGTGTGGAAATTAGAGGAAATGGGAGTACAAAGTGACAAGTTTTCAGAAGCAAAGGGAAAGCAAAAGAGGCGTACACAGGGAAAGGTTGGTAACACAGAAGGGGCAAGAGAAAGTGAGTAAATTCAGGAGCACGGCCAGGAAGAATTCCCAAAGGTGGGTGTACATAGTGGAGGAGTCTTTCACGACATATTCACAAATGATAAAAGAAAAGATTTGTTAGAGAGTCCAAAAATGCTGTTTCTATGTCCCTATCCCATGGTGTTTAACCCTTTGCAGTTGGGATCTCTGAATTCAACACCCTCTAATGAGTGGACAATCTCAATGATCCACCGGTAACCTATAACCAAAAACATTGACCTTTTCCTTGACTTCTTTGCAGGTCACGCAGTCACTGCCATCTTTCTTGGGATTCTGATTCCTCAGTCTTGGTAACAGAACACAATCCTGGTTTGTTTGTTTTCCTGAGACAGAGTCTTACTCTGTCATTCAGGCTAGAGTGCAGCGGTGTTATCACAGCTCACTGAAGCCTCAACCTCCCAGCTCAGATGATCCTCCCACCTCAGCCTCCCAAGTAGCTGGGACCACAGGCATGTGTCATCACACTTGGCTAATTTTTGTATTAACACTTTTTTTAGAGATGGGGTTTTGCCATGTTGCCCAGGCTGGTCTTGAACTCCTGGGCTCAAGCAATCTGCTTGCCTCAGCCTCTCAAAGTGCTAGGATTACAGCACTTTGAGCTCACCATGGTGAACCACCATGCCTGGCCTGGTTTGTTTGTTTTTAACATGAACACTTACTGCTCCATAAAGTACTCACTGTGCTGGTTAGTGACACCAGCACAGTCCCTGCCCTCCTTCCTGTCTCTCTCTTTGCTGATCAACATCTTTACTTGCTTAAATGGAACCTTGCCCAAGATTAGACCCAGGCCCTGGTGTTCAAGATCTCCACCTGGAATGCTCCAACCCTAGACCTTCCAGAGGCAGGCTCTTTCCTATCATCCAGGTCTCCGTTAAATGTCACCTATTCAAAGAGGCCTTCCCTAGTGGCCAATCAAAAAAAGAATCTTCCCCAGCACCCCCAAGCCAGAGCACATCATGCTGTTTTATTATCTGCACAGCACTTACTATTCTCTGAAATTATTTTATTCATGAAGTCATTTGTTTGCCCTGCTACCTCTCCATGCCCCGACTGAATGCCAACTCCCTGAGAACAGGGATCCTGACTGCCTTGTTCACCATAACATCCCCAGCACTAGGAGGCATTCAATGAATACTCGATGGCTTGCTGAATAAACAGATCAGGGCCCTCCCCTAAATCCAACTCCACCTCTCTATGGCAACCCCCACATTTCTATTTATAGACCCATCCTTGCTACTAAGATCTAGTTCCACTTCTCTAACTGCCCCTGACCCTCCCCACCAACATTTCTACTTGAACAGCCTCCTGTCACCTAAAATTCAACATGTCCATCTCTTACTTCACTATCTTACCCGAACCCTCCTGCTAGATTAACCTTTAGCAAACATAGCTCTATTTACATCGCACAATTCTAAATATATCCCTTCAAAAGCATCCAAGATAAAAATCAATCACTTTAAGCTTGGCATTCAAAAGCATTACCCAATCTGGCCCTATGAGAAAATCAATGGATACCTTAAAGACAAACAAAACACTCTATTATTGTATTTGAGTACTTTAAAAATACTGCAAAGAAAAACTGATAAAGCACCTCTGTGACCCAAATATGGCTGAAGTTTGCTACAAAATGGTAAATCTTCTGGGAATCCCTACTTCAGCAAAGATGCTCTTCAAGGTAAGAAGCTGTGAAGTTAGGAAGGAGAGGAAGAGCTGGGAGGAGTGAGAAGCAGCCCAGAGTTTGTTGTAACAAGGGGCTTCCTTCCTGGCAAGCAATAAATAAAACCTGGCAATAAAACCTGGCAACTTGGACTTTCTGGTCCAAGTCAACATCATCTCAAGACAAATGACTGGACCAGCCTCCCAACCTGTCTTCCCAATTCCAAAGCACGTGGTTTACTCTCTGCATAGCCAGTGATCATTTTAAAATATAAATAAAGCCAGGCACAGTGGCTCACACCTGTAATCCCAGAACTTTGGGAGGCCAAGAAGGGAAGATCACTTGAGCCCAGGAGTTCAAGACCAGCCTGGGCAACATAGTTTGAGACCAGCCTGTCTCTATACAAACACACACACACACACACACACACACACACACACACACACACACACTCTTATCCAAGTTCAGTGGCACACGTCTGTAGTCCCTGCTACAAGGGAGGCTGAAACAGGAGGATCACTTGAGCCCAGGAAGTCAAGGCTATAGTGAGCCATGATTGCACCACTGCACTCTAGCCTGGGCAACAGAGGGAGATCCTATCCCACGCCATCCCACCAAAAAAAAAAAAAGTAAAAGCATGTCTTCCCCCATTTAAAACCCTGCAGTGGCTTTCCAACACACTTAAGATAAAATCCCAATTACTGACAGGGCTTCACAAGGGCCAATGTCTGCTGACCTCCTCAGCATCATCTTCCTCAACTCAGCCCTCTCTCACTACCTTTTTAGCCACACTGGCCTTCTGTTAGACCTCCAAAATACCACGCTTCCTCCTAATGCTGGGCCTTGGTACCTGCTATTCCATCTTCTTGGACTACCCATCCATTGCAGTTTGCTTGGAACTGTGCAGGTTTTAGCACCGAAAATTCCATGTCCTGAGCAATCCCTCAGTCTCAAGTAAACTGGGATCGTTGGTCACCCTGTCTGTCAGGATGGATGGCTTCTTATCATTCGAGTCTCAGCTCAAGGGTCTTTCCTTAGAAAGGCCTTATGTGCCCCGCAAGCTAAAGGAACTCCCCACCTCCACCCTGTGCACTCCCTATCACTTTATCCTGTTACATTTTCTCCCCAGCATTTATCAGTAACTGAAATTATTTTGTTCTTGTTGTTTACTTCCGTATTGTCCAACTTCCCATACTCTAATATAAACTTCACGAAAACAAAAGCTGATTTCCTCTATTACCCAGGTAAGGCAATATAGTAGGCCCTCAATTAATACATAATGAAGGAAGGGTAGCTTAGTTATCTGGATCACAACTGGAAGAAATAATAAACCCTTAGGGAGAAGAGGGGAAAGACACCTAGTGTGTCCATTACTACACTGACAATATCTTTAGGAAGTAACATAAAGAGGGAAAAATGGCAATAAAATTGTCACTGAATCTAACCACTTCAAAAACTGCAGTTTATACAGAGCACATGGGAGCAGAAGACCTCTCAGAACAAAACAGAAGTGAGGATATTTTTTCAAAAGAGGCTTGAAAAGGTAAAAAAATTTATAGGCCAGGTGCTGTGGCTCATGCCTGTAATCCCAGTAGGTAGAAAGGCAGAGGCAGAACATCTTGAGCCCAGGAGTCAGAAACAAGTTAGAGACCACAGTGAGACCCCATTCTCTAAAAAAAGACAAAAGGAGTTATAGAAGATTCTCAAGCAGGAATGTATCCAGTGTAGAAGTAGCCAAATCACGCAGAAAGATTCCAAACCTCAGCTCTTCTGTAGTCTTAAAGGCCAGAATTCTGTGGAGTTTCAGAAGGCCTGTTGCTTCATGTGGGTAGACTGCCACATTGGTGGTCCCTAATGAATGATGCATCCTTGTATTCATGCCCTTGTTTAGTCCTTGTCCCACACTGAGTCTGGACTAGTCATATGACTTTTTCCCCCCACATTAGAAAGCAAGTTGCTGGCCGGGCACGGTGGCTCACACCTGTAATCCCAGCACTTCAGGAGGCCAAGGCGGGTGGATCACCTGAGGTCAGGAGTTTGAGACCAGTCTGACCAACATGGTGAAAACCCGTCTCTACTAAAAATACAAAAATTAGCCGGGTGTGGTGGCAGCACCTATAATCCCAGCTACTCAGGAGGCTGAGGC